AATAATATAAACTTTACCGTGAATAGGCATAAGAAGACTTTTAGTGAACTATAAATTACTTTGAAGGAGCAGAGATGATTAAGTGAGAACGAGAATCAGCAACGTGTAAACGGTATAGGTACTGGACCTTTTAAACCCCTTGTAAAACAGATGATGAAAAAGAAACAAAAGACCATCGTAATAATCTTAACTACATTATATAAACATATCCCTATGCCATTAAATATCTCCCTAACGCCATAGTTTACCGAGTGATATACAGATTTTAAGCTGAGAGTTGGTTATTGATAACTGTTCTTATGTTAGTTATGTGAGCCAATAGGAACACAGGATCTACTATTGACGTCATCCACTATATATTATGCTATCACTTAATATATTTATCATTTATTAAATTTATTATTTCAAGAAAGTATTATACGTTTGTCATTTCTTGATTTATTTATTAATTCAATTTATTCATTTACCTGCGTATATATCTATTTTTTGTACATACTGTATATCTTTCTTTCTCTTACACGCTTGCATATACGCCATCACCACTACTAATACAACCACCCCAACCAGTACCACCACCACCATTACAACCACCCCACCAGTACGACCACCCCAACCAGTGCCACCACCAGCGTCCCATTTTGTCGAGTGGTTTATAATTGCAATTCTCAGAAACAAAAACAAATTAGTTTCTAAACGTTGACCATCAATACATGCTACACTATCTACAGTACACGATATTCATTCCGTTGCTGAAAAGGCAATATATATATATATATATATATATATATATATATATATATATATATATATATATATATATATATATATATATATATATTACAATTATCCTTGAATGTAAATTACTAAAGTTTATAATTTGCATGTTATATAAAATGAACATGGAAGTAATAAGATAATTTTTATCTTTTTTTCCTGTTACTGTGTCGAATTTTATACACGGTCTTTGTAACGAACGTATTCGGAAACATAATTTTGAAGTTTTACCGCTACGTTAGTTTTGGAGGGAGAGTTGAGAGCGTTTCAGGCATCGCAGTTATAGATAAGACATATATATTCGTATTTATAAATGATTGAACGTGAAAATTATACTGGTAGAAAAATAAATGGATAAATCGTGAACTAAACAGACGACCGGTATCAACACACGAACCTAAATATTTCATTATAGCGTAAAATAGTATCCGCTGTGCCAAAGAAAAATGCTAATAAGATAAACATTCCCTATGAATTTTAACTAAAGAAAATGGCAAAATGTTTTACTCGCATAACTTATTTTGAAGATAGGTGAGCGTATTACAAGCTAATTAAAAAGATTATTTTCAAAACATCAACCGCCAATCATAGCCTTCGTCATTGCGTGTCATTATAATTTTAACGTCATAATAATTAACATCAGTCGAACGAAGGTAAAAAAAATATAAAAAGCATAAATTTAATAAGAAACGTAAATGCAGACACGATAATCTTCCGTAGTTAAGTTTTCCTCCAGCAGGAGATTTGTAGCTCCGTCAGGCCTTGATCTTGTCTGACTTGGGAGTCTTAAGTGGCGTGAAGAAACCTATCATCACTGAGACTCACCTCTAGGGACGTACTAAGACTCACCCTTTACGATACACTTGCCAAATTAATACTGAACTTAAGGCTCCTTTTAACACACCTCTATGATTATTTAATGCCATTTTTTGCTCGAATTCTTCTCTTACTTTCTATTCCACTTCTACCGTCACAAAATATTCCTCCGCTTAAGTTCCTGTTGCCTGATATATTTTTATTTCGGGATTTACTTCTCATTATAAATCATCATTAACTTTCTAAGTCTATATTCTCCACCTTTTTCCACTAATTTGTTTACCAGTTTTTGTAATGTTTCTTCACTATCTGTAACAGGAACAATATCATCTGCATATCGAATATTTGACATAACTTTACCATTCACTTTAATTCTTCCACTACTACTTACAGCTTCTATCATCAAAATTTCTGAATAAGTAATGGCAAGCAAGGTTAGGTTAGGTTTCGGCCATTCGTGTATATAGATGTCCAAACTAACCCAACCTAATCTAACCTAACCTAACCCAATCTAACCTAACCCAACCTAATATAACCTAACCTTACCCAATCTAACCTAACCTAACCCAATCTAACCTAACCTTACCCAATCTAACCTAACCTAACCCAATCTAACCTAACCTAACCCAATCTAACCTAACTTAACCGACTCCCCGGATGAACGAAACTAAATACCAAAATAAAACTCATTAACCTCAAGAACAACAAAACACTTGACTCACTCACCCAAGGTTGCTGCCAAAACCTGAACTTTGTGAAATATAAATTAACTAACACAGTACTATATACCAACCTTTATTGTTGAGAAGATACATTATACCATCAGAAATCCTGGATCTCCCGGTAACTGGTGTCTCAGGTCCCGGTAATAGTTAACTGGTGTCTCAGGTCCCGGTAATAGTTAACTGGTGTCTCAGGTCCCGGTAATAGTTGGCCGGCTCACAACTCACTAATTCATATTTTAAATTTCGAAGTTTCTGTTCACTATTCAAATATTGTTCACTTATCACTACATTATTCACATTTATTAAGTCTGCTCTATAACAAATATCTAGATCTGCACCAAAATCATCCTACTTATATATTGAGTCATATGTAGGGATAAAAAGAAAGAAAAAATAATAATAATTAAATCTATATCATTTCCTCTACTTCATAGCCCTGCCCACTTTGAACAACTAATTATATCGTTTAAAAATAATCAAAAATATAAATTTGCGGCGTAAAAAGCTAGAGAATAAATTATACTCGTATTTAGATTTCTTCCTCTCTATATAATACTCAATATATAAGTAGGAGATAGTAACTATTAAATATTTACCACTAGTCCAAATAATTCACGAGGCTTGAGAACCCACGCTGGTGCCTATGCCAACAACTCAAATGAAATGTTATCTGTAATTTTCATTTACCTGTATAAATATCTTAATGATAATATACTTGCAAGAAAATTAAGTTGAATTGTTTTCCAGTAACTTATTTAATAAAATCATTGTCTTTCAATTATAAATACTATGTCTTTCAATTATAAATACTATAAAGTCTCAATTGGACTCAAAATGCCGTCGTCAAAATTGCGCTAAAACTCCCTCCTCCCGTCCCACCCTTCGCGTTTTCTTCAGATTTCGGTTTTCAGACATTAAGATCTGACCGAAATTTTACCAAATGTGATAGACCCTTAATTAAAACTCACCCCTACGACATACTAGCTATAGGAACATAATTATTGTTCTTTATACGTTTGCCAAGAGCCATTTAGATGTTTTCACTTCCACGGCATCAATTCCTAGACAGTTTCATAAGCTTACCGCCCTCTGTGAGAAGAATACTTCCTAATATCAATTGCATGTAATTTAATAGAAAAACACTATGAAACGAATTATTTTCTATATAATTTTCACCACTTATCAGCTTACTAGCAGTTGGTCTATCCAGTGTTAGTATATTAAGTTACGTGCTTGTTTATTTCACTCACTTTATATGTAACAAGCGTGAAAAATAGCTTAGATTTTCATTCTTATAATCATGCACAACTAAAACAACAAAGAATGACCAAAAGTAATAATAATTAGTACAGAAAATGCTTATTGTATTGTGAAATGAGGTATGAATATTTAGCTAACAAAATATTGAGTTATTACCATATTTTTAGAATTGCCAAATACCCATGACAACTTAATTAGTATATTTATTGTATTTTACCTTATGAGTCTATATAATTTAGCTTCGTCAGATACTTTAAATTTCTTTAGTTATCCAGAGGAATATTAACTTACATGTTCTCTTATAACGAATACTAGAAAACGAACTTGTGAAGGATAACTACTGCTAAATAGATGGACGATCTCACGCTGAACACGAATACATAGATACACTGTTTATACACTCAATAATATGGTAATAGTGGGTACGTGTTACTTTTACTGCTTCTAGTTCTGTGTGGAATGGATAAAGGGGTACAGAAGCCTCAAGGGAACTGGAAAATTATAAGGAAAGCGATGCAAGACGAGTGCATAGTGCCAAGAAAGGTCAAGATTATACACTCTGAAACTATCTCATCTCAAATTTAAATCTGTATGTAAAGGTTTAAAAACAAGACTCGCTGATGGAACCTACCAATATTTAATGAGTTGATGTATGAGAAGCTTAAGTGAGAAAAATAAATATTAGTGGAATGATCGAGGCTAAATTTAAATTTTTTCATGTAAACATTCACATGTGTATTGACTGATAAACTCCAACTCGTCATTCATGATTCTAGTGTAGAATATATAAAGTAAGTATGTGTGTTAGGAACTGAAGAAGGTTAAGTATATAAAACCGGATACTCATTGAAAAGAATAACTGGATGGTAAATTATTGAAAAGAGAAAACTCGGCCCGTTACACTAGGAGTGAAAATAAAATGTTCTTTATTCTTTATGTTTGATGAAATACCTGTACATTATCTACACTATATATACCTGGTAAACAACATTGATTCAACACTAACAATCTTCATTACTAATCCAAATTGAATAGTTTAGTTCTGTAGTTTGTATATAATAAACCTATATATATATAACACAGGTACAGGTATACACAATAATTAGTGCTACCTCGGGAGAGCATTTTAAACGTTGGTACAATAGGGTTTTTTAGTGATAACAGAATTGTCAAATTTGAGCCCGTAAGCCGAGCCATTATAAGTTTCTTTGTCATATGGCCGTGCTGGTCTCGTAAATATGTTTAGTGTTAACATCACATGACGACAGAAAGATTACAATGTGCAGTAAGGATGTGGCTCATTATAATCATTATTTATAATCATGGATGGTGTATCCGAATATTTCAAAATCGAATTTGAACACGTTGTATAGTCTGAGTACTTGTTCTTCAGACAATTCATTCATATAATCTTCATAACTTCTCTGCAAAAGAATCTTAATTTGATCATCTTCTGTTTCAGGTTTAGAAACATCTTTAGTCTGTTTGTCTTTTTGGAGTGACACTTCCTTCATTGTATTGTTTTTATTAGTTTTATTATATTTACTCATGTCTTTGTGTTTATCTAAAAGCTTGTGCTTTTTAGTGTTGGTCTGTCACTGGGAGTTGACTTATCATTCTTCGTCTTCTCGGTTGAGTTTGTTTTGTTGTCCTGTGATGTGGACGGGTTCATTCTCACACTCACATCTATCTTGTGCCTCAGGCCGCACTGATCAGCTATGAATTTGGTGTCTGAATCCATCGTGTCCAGTTTGCTGAAATGTTGGGACAGTTGTGTTACATAGTGTAAAGTCTTCAAATAAGATATGAACTACAGTGATGAACTTAAATCAGCCTTTGAAGTCTGTTTGTGGATGAGTTATAAGAAATAACCGATTAAATATTGTTTTGTTGTGATTTTTAGTGGCGACATCTAATGACGAATTATCTAATTAATCATACTTTACTTTATCCTCTTCGTCACTAATTGGTGGTCGGTTACGTCTCTGTTACACAATGTTAGCATGTACAGGGCATGTACTGTACTGGCTCACTCCAAAAAAAGTTTGCCCTGACAACTTTTTTGAGCTTGTGTTGTCAACCTTAATCTGTGACCACCAGTTATCTTAGCAACACAGAGACACAGTAGGAAAAATCTGATGTTTACTGCAATAATACTAAAGACAGATATCTACTGTATTATATTGTCTTTAATTCACTAACTTTAGTGTAGTATCAACTAAGGAAATGTAGATACCTCAATGAAGGGAACAATAATAGGGACAGTGTAAGAAAAATGTTAAAGGTGACTGAAAAAAGATACTCAATGTGTAGAAATATCAGCATCCATTAACTCATATCCTCAACCTACAATTCCTGCTTGAGTAATTATAATCCTTACCCATAAATATCGTAATTCAGGATACAGGGTGAACACATGTATGTTATGGGTATCCAGTGATGGTTTGGCTTGGGTGCGGTGTTGGGGTTCCTCGCCCAGGCCTCAACGGCGTCGGCAACATGGCGGCAAAATTCCCTAAAGGGGGGTATTGTAACACTGGGGTCGTGGTGTAAGCTGTTGATGATCCGCCGTAGTTTAACGGATTTAGGCTCGTGTCTGTGGCTTTCTACGATCTTATTCTGAAAAAATAAATAAATACTTCTACAAATTATGTAGTTGGATTTTGTGGGTGATATAACACACACACACACACACACACACTGTAGTGCTCCACCTCTGTACCTCATACTGTAGGTAAACATTATACACACCATCACTCTCACTCTGAAGGTGAACAATATCCTCACCTTATAAGCAGACACGAGCCTGTGGAAGGGGTGTCGGGAGACGACGAAGTTTAGGGCATCATCGACGAAACCTATATCATAATCCTTAACACTAGGAGAGGGTAGTAGCTCCTTCAGTAGGATGTGTGGGTTCCTCTGGGCAGCGATCACAGAGTCCTTTACACCCACAGCCCTCAAGAGATGCCATGCCCAGGTCGTTGATGCCACCTGAGAATAAACCAAAACTTGTAGAGGTATTTGTACAGGTAAACCAGAGCCTCAAAGATTCTCTGTGTAATATTTCAATCTGTGCCGCCTTAGTGTACAGTAATTTTTGACTACCAACTTCGTGTCATTGCTTAAGAGTTACCTTATTTCTCACATTATCTGTCATGGGAATATATTGCACGACTCTCAAATATCGTAGACACATGTAGGGCAGCAGTGAACAACCTTTGAGGGTGGGGAGAGGGATACTTCCTTCACTGGTTGTAATAAATGTCAGTTGCGTGGAGCAGTGGTCCCGAGGAACCTTATTGTGGAGTCCGCGAGGGTTTATAAGACAATTTTGATTTATTTGGGATTCTTTCTAAGAGGAAAATTAATTAAAATATGTAATAACAACTTTATATTTTGAGAGAGAGGGGGGGAAGGGGGAGGGGGGACTGCGTGTTTGCCCCGTCTGTGGTGTACAGGATGTGCATTTACCCCAGAGAGAGAGCCAGCCCTCCCACTGGGGTAAATAAACTCGTCCTGTCCAAATGTAAATGTATTTATTGGTAACAGTTAGACGTGTAAACTGCAAATAACTGTACAGTATAAATGAGATTTTTTCTTGAATATAGGTCCAAAGTTCTGGCGCCCTTCACTATATTTACAGTGATAAATGTGGCCCAGAGCCTACAGAAGGTCCACTGCTCTGGGGGTGGAGTCTGGCCCAGCTCTCTCTCTCAGTCCAGTAACGAGAACCAAAAGATCATGATCAGCTGGGGACCATGCAGTAGACGAGGTGGTGAAGGTGGTCCCAGCGTAGCTTATTAAGGATGCCTGTAGCTGGGCCTGTGCCCTTCATTGGCCTCCACCGCTCTGGTAATTCATCCTTTAGCCTGTCACACGCCTCCCGCGCCCTCTTCCGCCGCGCCTCCAGCTCCCGCGGCAACACACGAGGTACCTGCATAGAGTGTATGTATCATATGTGTTGCTGGGTTCCGCTTCATAAAACACGGTCAGCACGAGCAGTAAATAACGTCGCAACACTTAAATTACATGGACTGTGTGTTACTTATTAATTATTTTATTAAAACGTGATAACCTTTTAACATTCAAGAAATTTACCTGCAATTAACACAAGAGGTAAAGTAACACACAAGAGGTAAAGTAACACACAAGAGGTACCGGAACACACAAGAGGTACCGTAACACAAGAAGGTACCGTAACACACAAGAGGTACCGTAACACACAAGAGGTACAGTAACACACAAGAGGTACCGTAACACACAAGAGGTACCGTAACACACAAGAGGTACCGTAACACACAAGTGCCGGAACACACACAAGAGGTAAAGTAACACACAAGAGGTAAAGTAACACACAAGAGGTAAAGTAACACAAGAGGTACCGTAACACACAAGAGGTACCGTAACACAAGAGGTACCGTAACATACAAGAGGACTTCACGTTCACCTCAATAACGTTTCGTCAACTTGGCGTACGTAGTGTTGTTATGTATACATATGTAGTATACGTTTTAAAGTATACCTCTTCTAATTTGAAATATATAAAACTAACACACGTAGATTTCACAGAAAGTAAATAAACAGCTGTAGGCTGTAACGATAAAAAGTAAAATATTTGGATATTTGGTAACCAGTGGAACAACCAGCCTAGCGTCTTCATTGTTTACCTAACAGTTCTCCGGGCGCTGACCTCAATAAAGTCTTCTATCAGTTTCTCTTCACCTCTCAGTACAGCAGAAATGTTGGTAGTTTAACTTAACCTATGAAATTAAGTTAAATTTTCCCCTGCCAAAGTAATATGTATGTTAGTTAGAATAGTGTTACCCAAATATTGTAAGGCAATCTCAAATTTCTCAACCCTGGTAAAGTGGGGAAAAATGTCTAGCTCAATTATTGATCAACGAGACTACCAAACTCACATCAAAATAACACAAAAATAATGAAATCAGGCATTACTTCTTATCCCTTATAGTCGGGGGGAAAATTATCGTAGAAATAATAGAAAATTCCTCAAACTCTTGCAGTAAACATGTCGCCGCAAAATGGTCTGTTAGAATTGTTTTTTTCTACCGAGAATAAGACCCAAAATATATCTTATTTCTTCAGGTAATAACAACTATAACTACACTGGCTTAACATTACCCCAATACCTTTTATGGTTAGGTTAGCATTAAGGTGAAATAATCTGGGCTGTCTAATCATCAGATGAAATAAACTGGGGTGTCTAATCATCATGTGAAATAATCTGGGGTGTCCAATCATCAGGTGAAATAATCTGTTGTCTAGTCTAGTGAAATAATCTGGAGTTGTCTAAGTATCAGGGATCTGTATTCTTCCCTGACACAGGCCATCTACCCCAACTTACCGTGCAGTATGGTTTATTACGAGGTGTGGAAGCCGAGATGTTGACAGTGCTGATGCCTGGCTCGTGTAGGGGTTTGTGAGAAGCTAACTTGACTCGCCGTTCCTCTCTGCCATCCCTAGTCTTATTCCTCGTCATATTTTCCGTAATATTTCCTCCTCTACGTGTTCCATCTGTGGTTATGGAGTATTTCCCCGTCTGCAGTAGTGACTGGGTGTACAGCAGGATGGTAGCAATAAACAGCAGAACAGCAACGTGACAGTGAGTGATCTTGGAGTTAGCCGTGACGCAAGACCTTCTCATCCTAGCCATGTTTATCACTGTCTTGCGGATGCTTTCCTCACAGCTATAATAGGTCGTAAATAGGATAGGAATGCATAAATAAATATATAGATGAAAGATATTTAAACTCATACCTGCCTCGCACTAGTCAAACGTTCCTTACTAACGCAGGCTGTGAGTCGTTGATGTTAATTGCAGCAGTAAGATTATTGTCCCTAGTGTAAAAATAATACGTAAGTATAATCGGCCAGAAAAATATTGGTAATTATTTTGATCTTGACTATTTTTAGTGTAGCCGAAAATCATATCTCAGTTTGCTCAATGTTTGATGCTTAATGCAATGAAGATGGTGTTGGGGTGGAGGTTGTTGAAGCGCTATTTTCTTTTTATTCAATTTCCAAATTAACTCACAAAAAACAATATCTCCATTGCATTAAACATCAAACATTGAGCAAAATGAGACAATTATCCGCCTAACTAACAACAGTCAAGGTCAAAGTATCTAGTTCATATTTTGTTAAGTTTCAGTTCAAGCAGACTTGTGTCATGTCACCGGTCAGTACTTCCACTTTTAGGGTAATTACCCTATTTAGGAAAATCAAGCCTTTGCTGGGGTAGAGTTTAGGGCAGTGTTTGTTTAGGGTAAATGGGCAAATTTGGGGGTATAAATGTAGACTTTAGGGTAAACAGACATATTCGTTTAGAACAGAACAAACTCACTTTAGAATATTATTTATTGTTTGATATTAATAAATAACGAATATAAGATAAACAGGTATGATAATGAGGAATGGGACAACTGGCCGCCGCCATCTGGCCGCAGCCCAACTGGCCGCGGAAACTCGCCGCGGCCGACTGGCCGCCGCGGACTGGGGTAAACTGTCCTGAACATAGTTTTCAGCAAAGAAATGCAGCTGGAATGATATGCTTCCCCAAACTAAAAAGCGATCAGTAGTATGCTGCAACTGTTGAGCTTTTTTTAGTAAGCTATATCTGACAAAGACATCCAAGAGGAACAGTTTTAAGTAACAAAAGTTCCAAAACTGTTAGAAATGTGACAAGTAATGCTACTTGCAAAGAATCTGATGCCAGGACTTCATAAAACTGTACGTTGCACAAATTTGGAGTTGTCTTTAGTTTATGGATTACTGTTAAACTAATGGTAGTATAATGCATTCCTCTGGTTCTATGATAAATAATGTAACACTGACATGAAACTTTCTGTCTTTAGGTGCGTGGTAGCCTACAATGTATACAATCTTTCGGGTATAGTGCTTTTTTGAACGGTTCTGTTGCTGTGAAATAGACATTAAGGGGACTTACAAAGGAAATATTTTGGTTTTGTTACTGTGCACCAAATAATTTTCACAAAGAAAAATTAAGCCCCACATTCATTTCATCACAAGTGATTAATTTTTCATATAAGATTTTTTTATTATTAGAATGCTGTAATGTCATTTTGTTACAAACATTTACGGCATTTTATTGTTATTTTGTATTTTATACAAATACCCTAAATATTAACATGATGATGGGTAATATGGGGTAACTCACACAACGGTCCGGGGTAAAGAATTTGTTTTGTTTTGGAAGCCTTGTCACCGGACAACATCCAACTGATCACATACTTAACACGCTACAGCACTACCCCCTGTACTGTCAGGGACCTGCTACAGGGAGTCACTGATCACATATGTCACCAGGTTTTTTAACCTGACAATTTAGATGCACTTCATTAGTTACCCCTCACCTTGGTGGTACTACTGAGCCTCACTTGTTGTCTTCTAAGTTGCACCTGACAGGGTCTTCTAGTGAGTTCGTTGCCTCTTGGACGTAATCAACCAATGAAAATAACTATAGACCGGTGAGCCTGACCAGCATAGTATGTAAAGTATTAGAGAGCATTATAAGAGATGCCATGATGGAACATCAACTACGAAACAACCTTGTAAAGGATTGCCAACACGGTCTTATGCCGGGGCGCTCCTGCTTAACACAATTATTCAAAGAACTAGATATTTGGACCCAAATTCTAGAACGGGGTGGTAATATCGACAATATAAACCTAGATTGTGCCAAGGCTTTCGACAGTGTACCCCATGAAAGACTGAAAATTAAACTGGATGGGTACGGGATTCGGGGAAATGTCCAAGCGTGGATTGGGGACTTTCTCAATGACCGCAAGCAGTGTGGTGATTAATGGCACGAAATCATCATGTGTACCCGTCACAAGCGGGGTACCATAGCATAGGGTAGTGTATTGGGCCCGGTGTTGTTTGTTTGCTTCATAAATGACATGCCTGACGTTGTACACTCCTCCATACAAATGTTCGCGGATGACGCAAAGTTATTTCGGGAAATTAAGAACCGAGCAGACTGTAAAGAACTGCAGAAGGATCTCTGTGAGCTTCAAGAATGGTCGAAGAAATGGCTGCTGAGATTCAATGTCACGAAGTGTAAGAGGCTGCACCTGGGACGTACCAACGGTAAGGAGGCGTATCATATGTCTCAACGGGGCGAAGAAACTGCATTAATTGAGACTGAATGTGAAAAGGACCTAGGTGTGTATGTTGACAATGAGCTGAGGTTCTTGGGCCATTGTGAGAAGAATGTAAATCAGGCAACTAAATTATTAGGACTTATTAGAAAGTCGTTCAGATATCTAGACGGTCCGACCCTCGTAACGATCTTCAAGAGTGAAGTACTTCCCCGTCTGGAGTACTGTCACCCCGCCTGGTCCCCGAGATATGCTAGGGACTGTCAGTTGATTGAAATATCCAAAGGAGGGCCACCAGACTGGTGCCTGCACTACGGCACCTCAGCTACCCTGGGAGATTAGAGCGCCTGAATTTGCCGAGCTTATACTACAGACGGGCAAGGTGAGATCTGATTGAGGTGTATAAACATCTCAAAGTGCACTACTCAGTCGAGTGCTCCCATGGAGCTGGCGGAAGCTCGCCCCACAAGGGGTAGCAGCTCAAGGTTGAAGAAGCGGCAGGTCCAGAAAACTGTGAGGGCTAACTTTTTCGGAGTAAGAGTTGTCAACTATTGGATCAATGTGCCAGAGTGTTATGACAGCACCGAGTGCGAGCTCTTTCAAGACCAGACTTGACAAGCACTGGAGCAGGTTCGGATACATTCAGGAGCCAGTGTATGCCCAGTACTCGCCAACAGTAAGTAACAGAGACGTGACCGATCGCCCAAGCGACTAACAAGCCGATCAGTGGTGAAGAGGATAAAAGTAAAGTAAGTAAAGTAAAAATATCTATATTATCATAGTAAAACACATAGTAAAACACGTTTAAGTAAACGTGTAGTGGGTTCCTCCCCTACAAGCACCGAACCTTCTCGAATTCCCCAGCCTACGCCTCCAGCGCCGCCCACGGAGCGGGGGTCAACTATCTACCCGCCCTACCCCCGCCTTATAAGGCCTGACACCGCTGTGACCAGCTCGCTTTTCTACCCAGTGCCACCAGCAAGCAGCAACACCTCCTCCGCGGCAGCCGTGCGGCTGTCGCTCCCGCCAGCGACCTTGGCGTCCCTCAAGCCGCGTGCCCTCACTCTGGGCGCCCTCACCACCCACCTCTCTCTACTCAACTCTTATTACCATGCTACCTACCCAGCAACAAGCTGCATTACATCCAATACAATATGTATACAGTGAGTACATTGTGAGTTTCCTTTCTCCATTCCATCCTGAGTGTGAACCAATATCGCATACCCCTACAAACGTTTCAAACCCCATTAAGCACATTTTTCACAATTGAAATCCCGTCTTGAAGAAAGATATATACACTTACAGATCATACCGTGTAATGGTAGAAGATGTACCAGAAGCTGAAGGTCGGTGAGGAAGGGTGGTGGGGAACTTGGAGAGTAATACAGCGCCCGCAACACGGACAAAAGCAAACTGGACTAGCTGGCCCTGACCGCCCTGGGCCTCGCGAGTCGCGACAGCCCCGTTACGTAACAGATTTTCATTATTTCTTTTCAGTTTACGAGGCGGTATCTTTCGTATTATTTGCAATATTTCAGACGACAAGATAATCTCTTAATAACTAATGTGTTTTACACTGTGTTGCCACCAACGAGAAATTAATGTTTGAGTTAAGGATGTGTTAAGATTTAAGTGTAGGTTCTTGCCATTATATTCTGGAGTCTCAATTTAATAGTACTCTCTGGCCTGGTTTTGACGCACCAGAGACGAAATTATTTGTGAGAGCACTATATTTACGACTATTCATCCTTTCATGTGTAAGCAAAATGAATAAAGACTTATTATAACAATATCGTGCTCCGAGACCATGTTGCCATAAGCCACGTTATAACCCATATATTCACAACTACCCAGTTAAAAGTTTTTCCCTATTAACTTTAACAGCAATCTAATATAAGGCTTGATACCGCGACTGTTGTGAAAGTGGATACCAAAAGCATTCCAAAAGTGTGGATACAGCATACTGTACTAAGCTGTAGGTACAGTACACCAGGAGGCACTGCACTCGAGTATCTTCATTTCTCCAACTGTAAAGTCAGGTGCCCAATTACAGTGGGTTGACTGTTTGCTTCAGAATCTGGCCAGCGACCCATAGGACAGGTGCATGTATATATCACCACGCACCCCACAACTGCATCAAGCTACAGATCCCTAATTATCCATAATGGTTGAAGAAGCTACAAGTCCATAAAACATTTGGAACAATCTGCCAAAGAGTTTGTGGTAGCACCGAGTGGGAGCTCATTCAAGGTTAAGCTTGACCAACACCTCGATTGTGCGGTTCAGTTCTGGTGCCCTTATTATAGAATGGATATCAATTCACTGGAGTCAGTGCAGCGAAGAATGACGAAAATGATTCCGGGACTTAGAAACCTTCCATATCAAGACAGATTAAAGAAACTAAACTTGCATTCCCTAGAAAGACGAAGAGTGTTGGAGATGTGATAGAAGTATTTAAGTGGGTGAAAGGAATCAATAAAGGAGATATAGATAAAGTTCTTATAATAATCGAGCAAGATAGGACTCGTAGCAACGGATTTAAGTTGGATAAGTTTAGGTTTAGGAGGGAGATAGGAAGGAACTGGTTCACAAATAGGGTGGTAGACGAGTGGAACAAGCTTACCAACTTTGTAGTAAGTGCGGGAACTCTGGAAAGTTTCAAAAGGAGGCTAGATAGATTCATGGATGATAGAGAGTGGTAGTAACTCTCGACAGGAGCTGCCATGCACAGGCCAACCGGCCTATTGCAGACTCCTTATTTTCTTATGTTCTTATGTTAACATTGGAGCAGGTTCCGATATATTCAGGGGTAATTATTTACGCCTTCACAGCCGCTGATATATCATAGAAAACGAATTTTAAAAAATCCGCTATATCACTGTTTTATTTTGGACATTGTCGTAGTTATGGAATGTGTTAGAAGGTGGCTATTTATAAATTAAACCTAACCTTAGTTTATAAGAAAAACAAGTGGCAGAGGCGTTGTTAGAAGACCTTCTTAGCCGAGAGGCTCAACACTCTGTACCCCCCGGCATATGAAACAGAATGAACTTACGAGTTTGCGTTTTTTGTGGACGTGAGAGCAGCAATCCGATCTCTGTGGCTCATAAACATAGACTGGCGCCTGGCGTGAAGCGTATGGCCGCCTGGCGTTGATTGGTGGTAATTAGCTGAGTAGCAGTTAAAAGTGAAGTGTTAGGTAAAAATGAAGTACCAGACGTACGACATTCGGACAGCGGCGGACAGCGATCGGTTGGTGTTGCTCCGCAGTCAGCATCAGTTGAGTCAGTTCTGTTTTTTTTGTTTTTTTTCACGGTGACTTTGCTCGGGGGCAGCAGGACACACCAGGGCAGGCCCGGTAGACGCTACACCAGTAGTGAAGGCCGCCGGTGGTGGAGTAGGCCGTGGGCAGGGGGGGCTCACAGGGGGACCAACAGCTTGTGTCAAACCCGAAGAGAGGAGTGACTGGGTGGCAGGAGTAGGTGGGAGATGGTGGTACAGAGTGTAGCGAAGAGTTGTTCAATACGGTTGGTAAATTCTTGGAAGAGGGATATGATCTGTGTCATGTCACTGGTGGGGGGTTGTGGGGGGGGCACCGGTGGGAGCACAAGGCCTGACAGCATTAGAGTAGAGACGGGGAGGAGGCCCAGTAGTAGTTGAGTTAGGAGACGGCCGGGACTGCTGTGTTGCAGCCAGATGAGGCCAGGCAGGGGCAGGTGTTGTTGAAGAAGGCGTTGCTGGAGACAGAGGGGACACAGAGGGGTGTTGGCCCGGTAGACTGGGGGGGGGGTGCATTGTGGTAGACACGGTCTTCAGGGAGGCTTTTCACCTGGGACAGACAGGCGATTGGGGCATTGCCGTGAGTCCGCATTGTGCCGGCCACCATAGTTACAGCACCTGGGATCAACTACATAGCCCACACCACCCCTATTAAAGTGGTCTTTGATTTTCTGGGCACAGGTGACAGAGTTATGGTTACGTGAACAGAAGCGACATCTGGGACGATCACGTCGGCAGCAGGCAGTGAAGGTGTGACCCCAATGAGAACAGAAAACACAAAATGCAGGCCTAGGATGATGGGGTTCTGCATACAGTGGAGGGAGGAGTGGGTGAGCCTCCACATTGGTTGGGCATTCCCTTCCCTTCCACTAGAATTAAAGTCACTGGCATCTTCGATGTCAGCGTATAGGGGGAAACGTTTCACTACACTAGGATGTGGCAACATTCATCAGCGTCTACTGGGGGGGGGGGCACCAGGACAACCCCTCAAACCCAACAGTACTACAGGTAAGTGTTCCATAGACCTCAGGAGTCTGACACTTGATAAAGTTCCGGTTCTTACCTTGTCGGAATTGAATGTTGAGAGCGTGTTGTCTGTAGTACTTCATCATCCAATTAAACGGTTCCTCGACGGTTTTCAGGGAGTCCTTGGGGAAGTGCAGATTCAGCTTACTTGGCTGGTTGGCAGAGGGCAGGGTGATAGGGTCCGTGGCATTGGTGTTTCCACTGCGGCTAGTGTTTCCCATACAAACATTACCGTCACTGTCATAATCACTGGGGTCTGACTCTTGAAGGGTGTTGGATTCAGTGTGACCAGGCGAGTTGGCGATGGCATCCGTATCAGAGATGTCTGTGTCCATGAGAGAGCCTCTTCTGGGATGTTTATGTCGACCCCCCATTCTGGCAAAAACTTACCAGCTGAGGGGACCTTTGTGGGACGATCGGGAAGTCAAGAGCATCTATGGGCACATCTGTCCCCTTATGTGGTCACGCTACGCTGTACGTGCCAATACGTTTGGTATTGCTTAAATCATATTATGTTAATACAGTTTAGTGATTGTTACCTTAAGGTCAGGTTGTTGTGAGTGTTACCCTTAGGTGTATATTCGGATGGCCTATTATACATTGTCTTAATTTTTAACAGTACCTTTGTAAATAAAAAAAAGGACAAAAGATCACACTTAAGTTAGCCGAACGCTCTAGAGATATGAAAGCAATAAATCCAATAAATCCGACTTTACTACATGGCACTACACGAACGCCATTAAATGTAAACACTGAAGGGCTAGACCTGGTGCTGGTGCCTCCTCCCACCTCCAGCAACACAGTAAGTTAATATTCATTTATTGTGACCTTAGTCAGTTTTCTTATCATTAAGCTTACTTTGGTTAGTTAGTATTGTGAGCAGGTAATATATACGTAGTTTAGTTAATTAGTGGCGTGGGGCAGGTAATATATACGTAGTTTAGTTAATTAGTGGCGTGGGGCAGGTAATATATACATACTTCACTATCATTGTACCAAACTGTCAGACTTATCCACGAAGACCATTTGAGTGTCTGCCTTGTTTTAATTAATTATTTTTCTAAAACAATAGTTTTTTTTATATTACCTGTTTTAGAATGTAATGTTATTGGTATATCTCATTATTGTCTTTACGTATGTTTTTTTTTTCCAGGTTCACAGACTGACACGAACGGCCCAAGTTGTTGATACATAAATAATGCAGGTATGAGTGTCCCCGGATGCCGTGGTGGGCGTGAGTGAGAGGAGAGAACACTATTGGGGGTTTACTATGCTGGTCAAGGGACTACAAACATTTATATGATTCCCAAATATAGAATTAATGCTTGAATCTAACCTAACCTAATTTAACCAAACCTAGCTTAATATAACCTGACCTAAACTTAACCAAACCTAATTTAATCTAACCTAACCAAACTTAATTAACCCAACCTAACTAACTTAACTTGTAGCCTAATCTAACCTAACCAAACCTACTAATAATCGTCTAAGGAGTGGAATATAAAAAATTGCTTAAAATAGACAGTCATCCACATGGGAATAATCCACCTGATATAATATCACTGATGGATGATTATGGATTGAGTGACATGATGGATAAAACAGATCAACATCCTGAGAATTGTATTTTTATTTATTGTATTTTTTATTTATTTTTATTTTTATTCCTCACCACTCATCAACTCACTAGCCGTTCAGGCGGTTGGTCTATCCAGTGTTAGTACAGGAGGAAACAAGAGGCCGGGAAATCGGTGATGTTTGGTAGTGTCACACTGGACAACACCTTTCTCATGTGTGTCCCAGCTCGAACTTGTTGTAGAATGGACCACCACACAAAAAAAGCATTTGTTACAGTAGCAATAATGAATGATAAAGAGTCTGTATTTGTTCTTGCTTCTGGCCAGCCTTCATGATAAACGGCCTTGCAAGAGTGAAAAATGTTTATTAAATTGATTATTATTCAGTAATGGTAGACCCAGGCCTCTCTTCCACCATGCCTGTAACAAGGATTAGAGTGAGGGGTTAGGGACATGTCTTCTGTTAATATATCTGACACACCTTTATTCTGACAGTGATTGGAGGTATTGTAACCATGTGATAATACACTTGTTTAATGGTTCATGGTAATTATGACTCTTAGGAGAAAGTCTTAAGTTGCTTTTGATTTTATAGTGGGAAAGGACTGGCAAAATTGACAACTCACAAGATAAAAATTAATCTGGTAGTACATTTAATTCTCAGGGACAGAATGAAGACCTCTGGGGCCCAGCCACGTCACTGTCTGCTACCTCACCTGCGGAATCCCTGGATTTCGAGGATGCTTTCTCTCCCCCACAAGATACTACTTCCGGAGGCAATACTCAGCAACAATCCGCTGATGGTAATCCTTGAAACCATTTTCATGTGCCTAAAAGTATGTCAGAATAAATATTTTAATTGTACTGGTATCTATTCATCAGTTGTACTTCATATGATTTAGAATAAGTGCTGTAAACCTCATAAGGAAGTGAAGAAATTCTCGCATATTAAAAGATCAACTTGGTGAATGTTTTCTTTGTAATAGTAGCATTATTTTATTAAAACATGGATCTTACATAACTACACTTCTCTATACAGTATTTGGACAAAAAAAAGCTTGACAGTTATCAGTTCAGGGATCAATAGACACAGAACAATACTGTGCACTATCTGATGTATGACCCATATATTTCTCCATCACTCTGGATACCGTGTGTGTGTACAAAGTGTGAAGCTTGTTCATTTGCTCTAATAAACAACTAAGTTTTATTTATTAATGATTCTCTACAGTACAGTTTGCAGATTACACATAATTGAACAAGCCTTAATTTCTCTCAGGTGATTATGTCCCCCTGGATGACTCCTCACAATATTTAGCTGGACTTGAACGCAAGTTGGCTTGTGTTCAAGGCCGTACCACAGCTCATAGACAGACAGAGAGTCGCAGACTTATTGATGCTTTGGCAACCTCAAGGGACGACCACGCACACCACTTACTCAACAACACTAACAATATTGGTGCGGACAGTGATGTTCTCGAGCCAGACAATGACCGTAGTGGAGCTCTTACAGCTGCAACAGTAGACCCACAAGGTGAGTGAGCAGTCATTAACCTCTGCTGCTTCTTAGTAAATGTAGGTAGATTTGTCTTGTATAGTTCTGTGTGGTGTTACTATTCAAATGCAGTTAGTCCAACCCTCGAGACCAATCAGTAAATTTTTATTCACTCAAACAATTATTATACTGAAAATGACTTCAGAACAAATGGCTCGGAGAGGAAAGTTACTGTTTACAAGTTGGAAGATGACAGGGAAGTTGGCTGAGACTTAGTGATCATTAGAATACAGTGTACCAACACTTTACATTTCAGTCTCACAAGTAGTAAAATATAAACAAAGTAATAATTTTTTCTATTGGTGGTCTTCTGTATGACTTCATTCTATTTTCGAAAGTGCTGTACTGTAATATTGTTGTAGAATACTGTATGTACTTATTTCTCCACAGATGAGCTTTAAATAATAATATATTTTCCCCTGCCTCCCCCCACATTTTTTGTCATATTTTGTTCTGCCAAAGGTGCCCTGGGTGCCATGTTAAGGAGAGTTGCACCAGATAAAATAGCTCTTGCTCCTGAGGAACTGTGTCGTCTACTGGAGGCCGACATACTATCCAAGGTTCACGATGCTCTGGAGGAAGAGGCTCAGGCTCCACACCCACCCACACAACATTCCAAAAACACCTCGGAAGAAGACCAAAGCTGTGAGGGTGTCAGATCGGTCGATGGCTCCACAGAGAACAACACAATAAAACTTGCAGACCAGAAGGATCCCTCGTCAGATGAAGGAGAAAAGTAGTGATGGTTAAATGGTGATGTTTGTCTGTGACGGTGTACAAATCATAGGTGTAGAGATACTGTATATTGATATTACAGTATCTGTACCGTATATAAATAAATAAATGCCTTGCGGCTTGTTCTCGTGTTCCCAAGTTTATATATAATTGTTCTATTTTTTGGTTTAATCAAAATATTAACCTGAACTGCAAATTCTTAGATAAGCAATAAGCATGCATCTCACCTCTTCCTGTATAGTATTCCTGTTAGAAAACTTTGTGATTTTTTTCTTTTTTACATTATTGATCTGTATACCGATGTGAGCATCTTCGCTACTAGGCATCAGTAACAGCTGTAGCTATTTAGTGGATAAATATAATCCTTATACAGGTACATACTGTATACAGTATATAAACAGGTAATCACAAGGAAATAGAAACATTATGTTGTCTTGCATAATAATCCCTTAACGTCTTAGGTACTTTGCTGATCATCTCACATGTAACGAATTTTTTTTTTTTTTTAGATTAAACTCTTGTGTACAGAGAGTCTCTCGGTGACGGATAAAATAGCAAAAGTGGCGTCATGTAAAAGATATAATTTAACTTGTTACCTAGGTAATTCCAGTTGCTGAAAACAAAACGTGAACTAGCTTATGAAAGAACTTTGACAAGGGTATGGGAAAAACACAGTTTACAAAATGTTCAGAAACAAGAGTGACAAAGAAATCATAAACTGTGTCAGTACTGTGCAGGTTAGGTTGGAAATTTCTCTCTCCCCATCAGTCGGTCAGTCAGACTCGTGCATTGCAAGTGACTGACATGGGTAGAACCTTGTTGTTGGTACACTAGAAGGAAAAAATCGACTTCTTGCCCCCATTTCCCTTGTGGGATGGCTACATCACATACTGCTCTCTGTCCATTCTACAATTCTCTTCCACTTGGAATACTCATCTACCACTGTTATCCATCCTTTGTTATCCTCTTCTGTATCTGTCTACCTTGTTCTTGGTCTACATCCTCCTTTTATCCCCCAATTCTGTCTTCCATGCTTTCTTTCCCTGCTTCCCATCATCCATATACTGCACACAAGAAGGAAAGTACAGGTATAGGTCAAATATTAGCAACACAACTACAAACACAAAATTAAATATTATTTCTTTGTTATCTTTAGAATAAGTTGTCTTGAATGTATATCATTTTAAATATTGTAATATGAAAATAAAAATTGTTATTTAACACATGTTACCAAACTGTTTCTATACCATTACACTTAACTCTTGATAATAGATGGCAATGAAGCACGAGATATGTATGTTGACTTGATAGAAAATATCTGATTCTACCAGGTATTGAAAAATAAAAAATCTTGAGGTCTGGTTCACTATTATTTGAGAAAACTATATACATTTATCTATAAAAATAAGTAATGGTGATATAGTTATGTTGTTTATGACATAAAACAAAGAGCTCCAGATAGAGAAGACACTTTTAATTCTCAGAACATGAAACCTTCTACAACTGTATCATAAATTCTACACTGATGGATAAATATCAAAGTGGTATCATAATTCCTTTATTTTCTTACATGGAGGCTCCTCAATTGTGTCGGCATCTTTCAGCAAGACTTCTAATGGCAGCCGCACACTAACCCGCATCATTATCTTGTTTGGCGCAACCTTCCGTATGTTCACTACTTCCTGGACATATTGCCGCAGACCTCCAAAGCTATTTTGAGACTTAGTTTTTGAAGATTGTTCGGTGTTATTCTCAACTTGTTCATCACCGGCCATTGTATGTTCTTTCAATGGTTCATCTCCCTTGTGTAACATCTGTTCAACATAACAGGGATAACCTAAATGTTCAGCCACCATACCTAAGGCTATATCTTCTGCAACATCACTTGTAAACATGTAAACATGAACCATTGGTAAAGTAGGGTTGTGTGGTATACCTTCAACATTGTGATAAAGTCCCACAAATGCTGAAAGGAACTCGACTGCAATGGCTGGGAGGTTCATTGTAATATGTATATCATTACAGAAATCTGAATCTTGCCACTTTTCCAAAAGGTCAGATTTTAACACAGATTTTATGAATTCATGTCCATCTAGGTTATAACATTTGACTCTGTCCTTCACTTTGTTTGTTGCACAGTTCTTGACTAAAGCATCGTACGACACGGGGTTAAGGTCGTTCGCCCAAACCAAACACTTCCTTCGTCCTGCTGGAATGGCAAATGGTCCTATGCCCGCCATGACATCATAAAGAACGTCACCTTGTTTAAGTTTCTTCACTATACGTTCGTGCTCGGTTGAGAGTCGAGGGTTCCAGTACACCTTTGCAAAGTCTAGTGAGTAAGTGCAACCATTTTCTTTAACAGTCACTAGAGTATCTCCAGCGCCTGCCAAAACTTCCATCTGGAAATTTCTATAAGTGGAATCAATGTTGTTGGTTTTATTAACGACCAAAGAAATATTAGGAATTTTATCCAAAAACACCTGCCCGATCAAGGCCTTGTAGGGAAACATATGTTCACGAAGGTTAAGGTGAAGGATGTGTCCGATAATTGAGTAGCTCTGAGCACCTTCTTGATTGTCTGGTAGTACAGCCTTCAATATATCTTCAGCTTTCCAGTTTTCATAAGAGAGAGTAATTTCTTTAGAGAGGAAAGTAGCATCTCCTTCATTACAAATGTTCCCAAAATCCTCTTCAATATCCTCCAAGCTCCTCACCAACAATGGGTTAAGGAGCACCACTCTCTTATCTGGATCACTGTCGTCACTTCTAACAGGTTTTAATTTGTCGATCTTGAGTAAATGTTTTTTAAGGCATTTGAGTGCACTGTTGATTTTACTGTTCTTTACAATCACGTGAGGAACAACGATTTTCTTTTGGAATAGTTCTTGATTAAGGTCAGTCATGCCTTTCACACTAGCTGGGGGCAGAAGGAGACTTACATCCATATTTTTCCTGAGAGAGCGAAGAGAAGAACTGAACTTAAAGTATTGTTTCAGATCAATAAAATCTTCTGTTCTCTCAGTACATAACAAGTGCTTGTGTAGATGAATAAGCTTCCTGGGTGTGTATTCTAGGCAGGGCTGAGATGTAAGTAATATGAAGTCCAGTGATGCTCTTACACCAAAATACCATCTGTTATGTGTGAGGGTGTAGCAGGCAACCCGGAGAGCTCTGAAATGGAAGTAATTTGATATTGCTAATTGAACTGTGCTAAGATCTGTCACCTTTGCCAACAAGTAACATTTAAAATCTAGTGACTGTACACCTAGTTACATTATTGATAATTTAAGGCAAATAAATTCAGGTGAAAAAGAAAATAAGATTTAACTAAGGAAGAATCTTATCAAAGGAAATGAAGACTTTATTTTAATTCTTACTCTCGTCATATTTACAATCATTTCTTTTGTTAGCTGGGTTACATTCCCAACATATTGTACGGTAATATTACAGGAACCAGTGTTTTCTAATGTAGTCTTCAACAACATACTTACAGACTTTAAAATTTATATTTTTTACAGAATCACTGTATCTCATCATCTGTTCCTAGCATGCTGGTCATATATATACAATACAGTACAGTCTGAACCGTGATGTAGGCACCTTCAAGGACACTTAAACTATCATAATGTTTTCCTCTTGTACGAGGATAAAGGCAACTATACTTAACTTTTTGTCACAGGTTCTGCAATATCACCATAGCTATCCTGCCTTCTCATTTCTAAATGGTCAATTGTTAATTTAGGTAAAATTATCGTTTCAGCCACCCACCTATTTCAAATGAAGGTCAGAATCGTTCAAAATACATAAATAAACAAACACCAGAAAAACATATTTTCAACCTAACCTTAATGATAACAATGCCTTAATTTCTATCTCGTAAAAGAAAAGTCAATGTCTAATTCCACAGGTGTAGGCCAAGAATGACATGAGGAGAGGCTGTAAGAAATAACATAAGAGTTAGGACCTTGACAAGTGAGACTACAAGAAACTGTGCAGCATGGAGAGATGCCATCAGGTAACAGTGGCTAACCTACACAAGCGAGGAAAATGACCATAAAGTGACCATGATAACAGAACTTTTAGTGGTAAATATTCCTTCATTGGCTGTTGTCAGGTTTTAGTATAAGTTTATTTTAAACGTTTTTCGGTGTAATACTCAAATCTGACCTTCATTTTATGGAATAATATCACTGTTTCTCTATCCATACCCCCATCATAAATAAATACTATAAAAAATAAGTAATTTATTATCTAAGGTACAACACTAACAGGTGAACTCACTCAAGCATGTTAGTTGTGACATGGACGCCTTTTGACCAAACCTCCTACACATATAGTCTTCTTACTCTCTCTAACTTTACTTCGTCTTACAGTATAGTCTTAATAGTTCACCCCAAACTGCCAGTTGACACTAACTACCGGCCACTCGTCCATGTGTGTGTGCGTTCGTGTCCGTGAATCCGTTGTCGTTGTTGTCGTTTTTGTAAGTAAATCCATTACCCCTTTAGTTGCCTTGAGGCTAAAGACGGTTAATGTTAGAGAAAATGTATAATTAGAAGAATATTAAACTATTTTTCAAGTGATATGAGTGTCTAAAATAACCACAATATGTAAATATATATAAATAAGGTTAAAGTTAAGGTCTGGTCGTGTATTATCATAGATAGAATAGAGGGTAGTTTGAAAGTTGTGTTCGTGGTACTCTTCTAGCATTAGCCAGTTCAAAATGTCAAAAGCAATGTATTGTTCATCATTAATGGTTATTAAAGTGTTTGATAATAACTTAAATACGAACAATAAATAATTTTAAATTCTTCATATGAATTTCAACTTCAATCTGTCTATTATAATACTATTTTCCTACATAAACAAACAATCTTTATATATTTCTTTTCTACTGATCACTTAATTAATTTAATATACTTAAATAATTTTCTTAATATAAATAAATTTTATAAATATTTAACATATTTCTCAACATTTAATAATATTGTCTTTGTTCTCACCACAGGAACCACCGTGTCAGTTACTCTTGTTCCTCTACAGTTCAAAACAAGACTTGGTCCAGGTGAATAAGTTTTAGTTAAGTTTATATATTTTTGTCGTGTTATATGTATTTTAATATAGCATAATACCCTCATTATTTGTTTCTACAGTTAATTAAAATAGTAATAGATGCGGAAACATGATTTAAATGGTGTAAATAACATCAGTTGGTGAGGTGGGCTGTGCCTCGTATATATGGGAGTTAAATGGTTTATTATTTCAGTAAATTCATTATAAAACTTTACAATGATTTAGTATATATGTAGATCGTGCAAGTATATATACGTACTGTGTAAACATTTGATGGGTTAACTAGTTCAATAAAACCTTGGGTGGATATATGACCGTGAACCAGCTACTGGCATGAATTTATTATAATCAAACCTAATATAATGTCATAAATTATTTGGACCATTCTATCTACCCTAATCAAGGATCCGGCCTGATTAGGGTAGAGGTTGTGTTGGTTTTTGGCAATTTTCTGTTTTTTTTACACATATTTCTAATACTCAGAGAAATAACGGTGCACTACTGTATAATTGACCTTCCCGAGACACTTTTCTTCTATGACGTTTCTCTCACAAATGGCCTAACCTAACCATACCATCTAACCAGAGGACTCCGCCCCCTTCCCTGGACCCCCCCTGGCATATTATAGGTCGTTATCAATGGAAATGTCGAAGAAGGAAAGTGTCTTAGAATTGTCTAAGTTATTGATTACAACCAAGAATTTGGGGTAAATGTTAATAGAGTTGCCACTGAACTATATACTGTATTTTATATTTTGTTTCCATTTGTCCTTTATATGTACTTGTTTGTGTATGTGTCCAGTACCGTATCATAAATCTAATAAAATCATCACTCAACTGTTCAATAGTAAAAGGAACAAATCACTTTGTTCCTGCTGAAATCATTTACCAATATATTTTATTAGTGGTTTTTCAATTTCCTGAAGTTTGGTTATCACATCCTAAGTAACTCTGTCCAAAGTTGTTTTCTCACAGCTCAGCATCAGGATCACAAACTACAATTACATTCCAGCAGTAAAAGTTCTGTAAACAAAATCCCCCAACCACAAGTGCAATGGTGCATGTTATTACTCATTAGCTTCACCATTCTGGGCTGACAGTGCCATGGGAAGGTATTGTGGGGGGTTAGTATATGGCTGTGGTGATTTACTAGGTCTTGTCCAAGGATTTTGAACTACCCAATTGGCAGCCCTTAATACATGGAACTGCCTGGCCACAGGATGTTTCAGAAAATAGGAATTAATTTACAATCTTGTCGTTTATATTCCCTCAAAACAGTGTCCATTATGTGGATGTAAGTGACCTGTCATTATTTTACCAGTAGAGGTGTATGGTAGCTTCTCATACTTATAAAAACAATAATCTTCTTTTCAGACTGTCACCATTAATAGAGTAATGTCAGATAAAGGATCTTCAGCTACTGTCGGTAATTTATAACAATGGAAAACTGGGCAGTTCCAGGTGAAAAGAACATTCTAGCAAAGAAGCGTCACATTCAAGATGATTGTGGTAATCGTGACACTTCTCCACCCAAGGTTATGACCACGCCCAGCAGGTCAAGAGGTAGGACTCCTGAACTAAAGGATGGTGCCGGGTCAGTTAGTGAGACCTCAGCTGAAGATAGAAAAGCCAGCAGAACCCCAGGAGAGGATAGGAACACCCCCAGAACCAGGTCAGCCAGCAGAACCCCAGCACAGGATAGGAACACCCCCAGAACCAGGTCAGCCAGCAGAACCCCAGCACAGGATAGGAACACCCCCAGAACCAGGTCAGCCAGCAGAACCCCAGCACAGGATAGGAACACCCCTAAAACCAGGTCAGCCAGCAGAACCCCAGCACAGGATAGGAACACCCCCAGAACCAGGTCAGCCAGCAGAACCCCAGCACAGGATAGGAACACTCCCAGAACCAGGTCAGCCAGCAGAACCCCAGCACAGGATAGGAACACCCCTAAAACCAGGTCAGCCAGCAGAACCCCAGCACAGGATAGGAACACCCCTAGAACCAGGTCAGCCAGCAGAACCCCAGCAGAAAGGGGAAGTACTATTAAGAAAAAATCATCCTACGGAACTCCAGTGCTAGAGAAGAGCACAATCAAAACACAGTTGTTTAAGGGAAGTCCAGTACAGGTGAAAGGCACCAGTAAGCCAGGATCTCTCAACAGAACTCCATTAAAGCAAATAGTTACTGGGAAGAAAGGGACCCCAGTACTAAGACAGCCAAGATCAGTTAAAGAAAGTACATCCCAACAAGGTACTGGTAAGACTAGAACATCTAACAAAATTCCAGTATTACAACGAGGTACTGCCAAGAACAGAACTCGGGTACAAAAACAGTCAAGCACGAGCAAGACAGGATCATATAAGAGAACTGTAGCTTCAGAGAAACCTGTTAGTAAGTCATCAGCCACACAACAAAAGAAAAATTTTAATAAAATCACGACACCACGGCAGAAAAAAACTGCTGGAAAAATAACAACATCAGATGAACCTCTTGGGCAGAATGAAGATATCGGGGAGAAGAAAGAATCTGACAACTCAACGATAAATGGCAGAATTACAACAAAAGGGGAGATGTCTAATTGTTCAGATGAAGGCAAAGAAAACAGCGATAATGGTAAAGTTGAGAAATCAATTAATAATGAAAACATGACAGAGGTAAAACAGAAAGAGGTATTGGAGGAAACAAGTTTAAGTGAAAGAAAGAAGAGACGAATCAATGAGGATGAAAAAGAAAAAGTACAAGAGGAATATCAAGTTCAAGATACTGAAACAAGGTCTCAGACAACAGACACATCACAGGAGGATTCGGGACAAGATTCCTCAGTGGAAGCTGTGGCGCCATCTGTTAAACAAGGCATTCAAGCAGAGGTGGAGAAAGTGAAGAGAAGGAGATCTACAATTGGACGAGGAAGGAAATCTATCCAGAGCATTGGGGGAAGGCAGTCTCTCTGTGCTGCTCTACCTGCGTTGAGTCTGGAAGGTAAGGTTCTCAAGTTGGGCTCAGTTTATAGTTGAAAATATAACTCTTTTTTACTGTACTGTATATGAAACATTAATTCAGAATCATCTTTTTTATGTTTACATGATCCATAAGGTTTATTGTAGGAAATAAAATTAACAAGAATTAAAGTAAATTAAAATGTCACCAATTCACTAGATCTAATGGCTTTATATAATTCAACTAAATATTCATGATGTTCATAAAACAGTTGTCTTAACTTATTTTATTATGAAAGATATACAATACTCAATACAGTAGTAAATGTGATGGTGAAGACAATGATGAGTTCTTTTTATTGCAGACCAAATTAGCAAAATTGACCAGGGACTGCCCTGGTGTTCCAAAGTAAGTCATCTTATTGATATTAGCATCAGAGAGGCGATGCGAATCCTGGGGGCTCGTTGTCCCGGAGACAAGTGTGTGTCGGAATTGAGGCACGACATTCTACTGAAATCAGAGGACCTGGCTGGAGAAATAGCATATAAGATCGCTGGCCTTCCCTTAGTCGCTGAAGCTCCCCTACCTAACACATCATCATGCACAGAGGATGTAACAAGGTGTGGTGTATTATCCCATAGGAGTTTTTTAGAAATATAAATACAAATACAATAGAGTATTGATGAATCATAGCAACAGTTGTATAGTTTAATTTGCAAGTGGGAAAATCTTATGTATAATTATCTTTCCAGCTCTTCGGTTCCAAATAGTGAATTATTTGATTCTTCGTCTGTAACTCATACTCAACATATTCCATCCAGATGTTATGGGGTAATGGTATTGTTCTTTAAGGATAACCTTCCATTTTCCTTCTTGAAAAATTAAATAACTTGACCTTTTATTTTATGGTCTGTAACATCCCCCATGAACCAATGACTGCCGTGTTCTTAGTCATATAAGTATGGGCCCCATTACTCATATGGCCTTCACCCCATCCTTCCCTCTCTTCTTGGTCTACCCATCTCTTGCCTTCCATCCTCCACTTTTAAATTACATATACGCTCTTCCAGAAAATCCCATCCCAATACATGCATTCCACCTGAGCCATTGTGAATCAGTTCTCGATCCAACATTTCTTTCGCTTCCACAGCTTCTAACATCTGTATTTCTTATTCTCTGCAAGCTGTAATGTTCATCTCACATGTTGCTCTCGAGTATTTTCTTCTAGTTTACTTCTCTCTCTCTCCTTATTTCTCCATCCTCGTCCTCGTCCCACATGAAGCAGTTCTGTATCTCCGTTGTCGTTGTTGTTATTATTATTATTGTTGTAGTTTACCTGTTATTATATCCACTGTATAGCAAGGACCATTGTAGTTTTGTTATCAATATTTCTATTACTGGTACTGTAGTTATTTTATCATTCGGATTTGTTTTCAGCATGAGCAGAATGGCAGCGTATAAAAAGAAGACAAAAGAGCTGGAACATGAATACAAGACGTGGAAAACTCTGTTGAAAGAGAGGAAGTTGGCTTGTCAAGCTGCTCAGAGGTGAACATAGATCTTTCATTTTATTTTAATTCTCTCATCATTTTCTCATATTCTCTCTTTTGACATTTATCTATCATCCTTACTTGTTCAGCTCTTTAAGTACAGTAGATGTAACAAGAAGCCTCAAAAATAATTAACATAACTTTTAATCTTATCAATGTAAGTTATTTTTTTATGTATATACAGTACTATTATCATTATTGTAAGTCGCCAAATTTTGTCATCGGTTGAAGTCAAAAGATTAAGTAGGAAAATACTAAAAATGGTACACAAACAGTTTCTCCCAGGAACTAATTGTGTTAAAATGTTTCTTGTATTAACATGTTGGTATTAAGGTTAAACGATAAACTTCTTAAAGCTCTTAATGTCCTCCTAGGGAGTTCCTTGAAGCAAAATCAGGAGAGACAAAAATTGAGGAAGAGCAAGCCAATCACCTGAGCTCTCCACTGCGGATCATCATAGCCAGTCGACCAAACTATCAACAGTATTTACAGGTTCAGTATAGTATAGAAACATCCTTGTTACTAAGATAAAATAACATCCTCTGGGATGCTCTACCTCAGAAAGTAATGTTCAGGATGCTCAACTCTTGTGACAGATTCACTGTTGTGCCAGGCAAGGCTGAAAATTAGATACCATTTTGATCCACACAGCATTCTGAGACACTTGTGACTGATACTGAATGTATATGAGCAAGTTAATCATCAAATATCTAGCACAGTACATATAATGTTGCCCAGTTTGATATTGTTAAATTCTTTCTTTTGGTTATATTACAAGAAATCACGAGATAATTATTTCCATTGAAAATATATGAATCTCCGTGACAACATTATGTTTCATCTTGTGTATTATTTATTACTATGGGAACATGAGACTAGCATAATAAAGAATGATTGACTCAAGTATGTGATAATTTCTTGGTTGTTGACTAACTTCTATTTACACGACCAGGAGGTGAGGACAGTGCGAGAAAAGGCAGTGTTGAACATGCAAGCAGTGAAGGACAGAGTACAAGCTCTCTCTGGTTTTATCACAGCAACCAAAGCTCAAGCCAAGAGTTGCTGCTCTGCTGTTGGTGAGTTGTGTTGTTTTATTAATGAAAATATTAAAAGTTTTTGTAGTAGTAAGGGTGGAGAACCACATTTCAAGATCTGCTCTGTGAATTTGTCTGCAATTTACAGGTGAGATTTGTATTTTCATTTATTTTTTCCTCAAAGAACTAGAACCATTAGCTTTTGCCTTTAAATGACAAGTGTATTTCAAATTTAGACCAAATGGATGTTCAAGGGCCATCTTGTTACTAAATAAAATACTCTTAAAGTCTTAATTCTTACCACAAAGTCTTAGTAGAAGCCAAGTGAAAGTCTCCTTGGTCTTTGTGATACTGTATCTGTTGTCATGCCTTTAGTGTTTCTCCAAGATCAAAGAATAACTATCAGCTCCCTCCGGACCCATTTACCACTGCCATTCACTTATTTTAGCTGCCTTATCAGATGTATTTTGATATGTCATTCCATCTCCACAAGTCCCAACATACAGAATACAATACAGATCTTTCATTTCAAACTACAGTACAGGGGGACACACACACATACATACATACATACATACAGTACATACATACTTGTCAATCGTCATAAATTGCTTGATCATTCTTTCACATCATACATAGACACTGCAGCTTCCTGGATATAAATATTTTACCCCATCCTTATCAGCCATGACCTGTATTATCTACTATCCACTAATTAGTAATGTAATCTTTTTATCAATATTTCACTATCCACATTACCATAGCAAAGACCTGTTAGCTCATAATGTAGTGTCATTGTTTTCAAAAAAAATTTTTGACTGTTATTTGTGTGGTTTTTTTTCAGAAGAGATGAGTTTTGGATACTTGAAAAACCAGCCAACAAAAACATTACTTGCTTCACTGCTACAGAGCCACATACCTGCCACTGGTGACTGAAGTATGAATGTGGCTATGGACCTGTATGAAGTAATTCTTTTATGGGGATCAGCTGTTAGTGTCAAGCCTGTTTTAGCACCAAAAATGCTTTGTACATTAACATCTTAACTTTTATGTCTGCAAATGCTTAGGTACCATTACAGTGAGTGAGGGATTGTAACCATAACCTTCCACTCCTAACATTCTCGGGGCTTCATCAGTTCTCCCAGATTTTGTATCTCTCTGAAGACCTCAACTTTGGTTTGATTCATTCATCCCAGTCCCTGCCTTCCCCTGGCCATATTACCATCAATTTTACCTATTTATGTCCATGAGAATATGAAGGTAAAACCGGGTCCTATAGTCACTGCTGTTTGTATGAGAAAGTTTGGATACAACACCCTACATACTGATCTTTCAATACACAAGAGGTAGTATGGTTGATATTACACTTAACCACTTTCACTTCTCAACTGTAAAGTTAGGTACAATATCTATTTATGGCTGAGGGATCTGGGAGTGCCCCCAGGATCGAACCAGCACCAGGAGTCAAGTTTTGTATCTACTAAGCTACCACCTCCCCTGGGAGTATGACAGTAACTAAAGACGTCTGTGATGATTAACTACCAATGTTGATTTACTGTGAAGGTTGACACATTCATCAGTGAGAGAGGTGGCATTCTACTTGTGTTACAGTTTTGTGTTACCATGAGAAACAGCGGTACAGTAGTTGCTGGCCAGATGGGCCCCGGCCCTACTGTGTACCAATCTAATGTACTGTACAGTTGCTCACATATGTATTGTTCCTCACTTCACAGATGATTCAGTACATGGAGCAACACTACAGTGTTAGTTAAGGTACCCCTACCCCTCCACCATACCTGAGTTGGGGTGCCATGACTGTTGCCACATGTATTGAGGTGCCTGTGAGAGGAGGGACATTACATACACAGGCAACTGTACCATAACAGTGGGATCTAATAGGACTGGTTTCCTACTAGTGAGATAAGGATAGGTTGGGGTCCTGTAGAAATATTCTGTATGTGCCGTATGTGAGTCTTTAGGAGTGTGATAACTTCTTGGTTTATATTGGGTTGTTACATGATGGCAGTCATTGCCATAAAATCTTAGGAAAATACAGTACAGTATATATTGATATAAGATGCTCATCTTTTTTATATGTTTAATAAATATTTGGAAGTAAAAAATTTTAATTTTCTTAAATAGTCATGATGAAAGACACAGTAGTTAATACCTCTATGTGAAGATGGTCTTTAAAGATACAGTACCTGTAACTTGCTACTTAATAACACCATTTATGTTTGCTTCTTAAATCTTTATTCATGTACAGGTATTTGTTTTCCTTCACCAGCCAACTGTAACACACATTAATATACACTTGTCTTACTGTCTCCTTTTAATATAGCAAATAGATTACTTTCATAGAAACTTATGTACATTTCTTTCTCCTCATCATATATAATTATACAATACAATACAGTCTGAATAGAGAATAATATGAAATAAAAAGGCTTTAAATTATGGCTTGGATTTACTGTTATCCTTTTGAGTAATGTAAAAAAAAAATATCACGAAATATTGACTATTTCAATCAATCAAGAGTACAGTACTGTTCTCATATCTTAGGGCTGGTGACCACAGTCCTCCATTCTAAATGTTCGTGGATTGTTTTTACCAATGTTCTAAAGGTTTTGTCTCTGGGGACTCGGTTTTTAATTTCATTCATCCATCCCGGTCTCTGCTTTCCCCTGGCCCTCCTACCCTCAATTTTGTCTATTAAAGTTTGTTATTATTCACTCATTAGTATTTATATGCGCATAGTAATATATACTTTTTCTTTTTCTGTACATTTCAAGTATTTCTCAAAGTTTTTGCTAACCTTAGTACTTATTCATTTGTTTTCCTGTCAGTGTAAATTATTCTTAGCATTTGTCTACAACCACATTTCAAAGGCCTCCAACTTTCTGGTATTTGCTGAAAGTGAAATCTGCTTCTGACCCATCTTGTTCCTTCTGCTGTTCAGTTTTATCAAGTTAATGTATTTTCTCATTCTATATCATAACACTAAAGCGTTTAATCTCATTTTTCAAACATTTCTTAAAACTTTTGTCATTCTGTATCTCTTGTCCACCATTATTCGTGATTTTCCATCATTGTATACATGTACCCAGCCATCCAAGATACCACCAACAAAAACTGAATAAATAACATTGATTTTAACCTAATATAATCATGGTAACATCACAACAAGATCTCAGATCACTTCAAGAAACAGTATTTGATCATATTAATACTGTATTGCCTTGACTTGCAGGGTGTCTTATGAGAATTGTTCTTTGTATGTTGAAAAGTTCTTGCTATCAAAACAGAAGCAAGGTTAAGTTAAAATGTTAAAAGAATATTGATACATCTGTCATGTTCTGATGGCATTAGTGAAACAGGAAGTGGTGGTAAGTAACAGTGGAACAGGAAGCGGTTGTAAGTAACAGTGGAACAGGAAGTGGTGGTAAGTAACTGGAACAGGAAGTGATTGTAAGTAACAGTGGAACAGGAAGTGATTGTAAGTAACAGTGGAACAGGAAGCGGTTGTAAGTAACAGTGGAACAGGAAGTGGTGGTAAGTAACTGGAACAGGAAGTGATTGTAAGTAACAGTGGAACAGGAAGTGGTTGTAAGTAACAGTGGAACAGGAAGCGGTTGTAAGTAACAGTGGAACAGGAAGTGGTGGTAAGTAACTGGAACAGGAAGTGATTGTAAGTAACAGTGGAACAGGAAGTGATTGTAAGTAACAGTGGAACAGTGTGGAACAGGAAGTGGTGTAAGTAACAGTGGAACAGTGTGGAACAGTGTGTAAGTAACAGTGGAACAGGAAGTGATTGTAAGTGACAGTGGAACAGGAAGTGGTTGTAAGTAACAGTGGAACAGGAAGTTGTGGTAAGTAACAGTGGAACAGAAAGTGGGTGCAAGTAACAGTGGAACAGGAAGTGGTTGCAAGTAAAAGTGGAACAGGAAGTGGTGGTAAGTGACTACTTTTCAGAGTAGGTTTATAGCCATTGGATCTCAATTGAAATATAAGGGAATTATGGGTTTTATAGTGGTATCCAACACATATAGTCACCTTGTTTACCCACGTCATGTCACTCATACACTAACCAGCTCCAACAATTGTAAATAAAACTCTTTAACTGATACCAGACAATTCACATCGTCGAAAAAGATAAAAATACGAGTGTTTTATTTCTAATCAGATTATTCCTTATCGACACTAATGTAACGTCTAGGTCGGGCTGAGACAGCAAATTTGTGTCTCTTCAACCTTGATGCTGATAATATTCGATAAACACCAGCTCAACTGTTGTCATGATAACGTCCAGGTAAAAGACGCATGAGTGTGAAACATGAGGTAACTGATGTCCTTCAGATACAAAACTACATTTCAAAAGTTTGTTGTATTACTTGTTATAAATATCGTGCAGGTGGATATGAATTGATAGCTATTAATTATGTTAGTTAAGTGCATCATGTGTACACTTCACTTAAATATTTATAACTACACTATAATCGCCCAAGCAGTTAACGAGCAGGTTCAGGTACATTCAGGAGCCGGTGCATGCCCAATTCTTGCCAACAGTGTGTAACGAGACGTGACCGATCGCCCAAGCGGCTAACGAGCCGATCAGTGGTGAAGAGGATAAAAGTAAAAGTAACAATATTTTTACACTATGGACAAATAAGTAACAGGTTTTTAGGGTATGGTGTGTTTGTCTGTCTGTCTGTCTATTCGTCCCCAGAAGCCAAAATACTTATGATATTTTTTTATCTTGCACGTGTTTACTGTCAATCACAAGTGCATACGTGTACAGTAAACAGCAGTGCAGTTTGACGTAATAATTACCCACGCTGCAGCTGTTGTTCACTTCTGCTGCTCCACATTTACACTAACCTACTCTTACAGTCACACAGCTAAAAGGAATATTTATAAACGAAAGATAGATAGATAAAGAAGGGGGAAGGAAAACATGTATACAGATAGGAAGATATTGTACGTCGATTAACAAACAGATACAGACTGACTTACGGATAAATAGATAAAAAGAAGTAAGAGAGATATAAAGATAATTAGATATAGAAAGGGATAAATGGATATAATAAAGAGAGCTATGAATAGACTGAAAGAGAGAAAAATTATTGGATATTTTGAGTCACCGAAATTGTCAAGTTAGGTGTAATTTCGTTGCCATGTTATTTTATCTTATTTCTGAGTCATCTAAGTTCAACCAGTTAAGGACAGTCTTATATCTTCACTGACGATCTGTGCAGCATCTCTGAATGAGGAGGTACAAACTTGGTTAAATTCAATAGTAATAAAACTCAGTATTTACCAATTACTCTTTCTAAATTAGATGATCTCCCACCAATTACATTTCAGGACGCTATCATTCTGCCAAATTCTGAAGTAAATATGCTAGGCCTCACCATTTCCTCCAATATGTCCTGGAAATCATACGTCCTTAATATAGCTAAAGCTTCCTCCCGAAAGTTGGGAATGCTGTACAGATGCCGTAGCTACTTCACTCCTGAGCAGTTGCTCCAAGTATATAAGGGATTCATTTGTCCTAACTTGGGGTACTGCTCTCATATCTGGGGTGGCTCTTCTTCTGTCCAACTATTAGATAGGGTGGAATCAAAGGCATTTTATGTTATTAACTCTCCTCCTTTAGTCGACAATCTTTCTTCCCTTTCTCTTCGCCACAATGTTGCTTCACTCTCTCTCTTTTACAGGTACTTTAACGGGCAATGTTCGGTGGATTTGGCATTCTGTGTACCGCCGGCCAGGCCGTGGGTTCGTGCACTCGTCTTGTCCGCGGTGCCCACCGTTTCTCTGTGGATGTGGGTCACACGAGAATAACCCGTTATAGTACCTCCTTCTTTCCTCACACAGCCAAACTGTGGAATGCTCTGCCTTCTGTGTTTCCATGCTCTTACAATCTGTCTCACTTTAAAAGGCTGGTTTTCCGGCATCTTCGTGGTGTAGATTAACACAGTATAACCTTTTTCTTCTCTATTTTCAATTTCCTTCTGTTATTATTTTTTCGCCCCCCAGACCCCGTTGTGGGTCGTTTGACCTGTGCCCGGGTGGACTAATTCCCGTAAAAAAAAAAAAAAAAAAACGAGAAATATTGAGCGAAACTTTGCGAGTCTACACTAGGCTACTGTTTTTTCCGGTGTAAACAACTTTATACCTGTTTGGGTTATATAACTTAGACCTACTTGACAACAAAACAAGTCGTAAGTTAAAGCTCGGGCATTTAGTTAAATCACTTAATTGTTTAATACTGTATACTGTACATGCTCTGTCTATATACATTGTATTTTCCCTCACTGCCTATGTTTATTATTTGTTTACCTACACTATCTAGTATATACATATTGAACCAATGTGAACTTATATTAATATTTTACTGAATAAATATTTATCTATATACGATTTTAGCTTTAAAGTATTATAGTAGTGGATTCCTCCACTACAATAATCCACACATTAGTGTATGGTTATTATAAATTGGCATCAGGCAATAAAAAGCCACTATGGTTGTGTGTATAATTACGCTTGGGTGAAATAGCATTGTAGCACATGTGGACATTATAGAACTTCTCGAAATAGCTTTATGGCATTTTAGAGATGTTACAGGTCACTCACTGCCCTCACCATCTCTTCACGCTGACACTCTCATTTATTATCATGTGGTGTACTGTATATTGAGTGACTATAAGGGGGTTCACTGAGATAGACCATGGGACCTTCACCCACAAAAATGAAAGTTTGCCTCTTAAGTGAAGGGCACACCCAAGGTCACTTCTTTTTCACTCAAGGTTTTTTATTTAGCATATTTCACTCATTTCATAATCTGGAAATTAAGTTATTTGATTTCAGAGTGTACGAGAGACTAAATTTTGCAGATATTGTGATTTGTTATGAATTAAAATTTATTATTATTTTGAACTTGGCGCCCAGCCCTAGGGTGGATAACGTGGCAGACGAGCGTCCCACTGAGGCTTACGACCTATTTCTGTTTCGTAACCACTTGTTGCATTATTTTCTAGCCACTTGCCTTAACTTCTCATGGTAATTGTCACTATAAAATTGCTCTTGATAACCGGTCCTTCAGCCTGGTAATAAATTCCTCCGATGATGAATTAAGACAAGTCAGCCCTCGGTGACGTAGCTGAGTTGGAAGGGTTCAGACGATTGGTTACTTTAAAGTTTAAAGTAGAAGAAGTTTCCAACAATGACAACAGGACATATACATTTTTATATTTGAAGTTTACATTAACGTTGATGTTTAATATTTTTCCTTATTAGTTTTGGTTAGTACCATGCTGAGATAAGTTGGATGCTCAACGAATAGCAAGTACTACAATGTTACCACTCGTGGTAAAAGTCACATAATCTAGCAGTTTCTAGGATTCCTTGAGCTATCTTGTGGGTTGTTATCTCATCACTTTTAAAGATGATACAACTGAAATGAAGCCAATTTTAGATTTACTTGACAAATCTAAGCGCAGTGAGAATTTATTTGAGTAAAGGTCCAGAAGTGTTAGAGATCTACCATATAAATATATTGGGTATATACAAGTGAATATTATCTACTTTTGAAATTTCAAAACTAAATTTATGCAACACAGATTTATTAATAATAAATTTGACAGAGTTCAGGCAAATTTTGATAAAGTTTAGCAAATTTTAAGTGAATGTTAGCAATTATGTGAACAAGTTGTTGGAAGAGGGAGGTGGCAACAGTGATCACAACAGCTCTCTTGGATAAAGTGGAGGAGCGACACACAACTTACAGAAATGCAGAACCAGAATGATTTTTTGGGCAGAGCGGAAGATTTTGCGGACCAGGTGAGTGTATTTGCAGTGTATTTTAATAAGAAACACGTCCACTTAAGGGGAGATAGTGGCAACAATGACGGCGGAGGTGAGGATACCGGTATTGGGGTTTGACAGATGGCTCCAGCTGACCTGCTTTGGTGACCTGGCTGTTACCTTCTGGTCTCCAGGTCAACCCTCTCACTACCTCCTATGACAGGTAAAAGATGCTCGTAAAGGTAACATGGCTGTATGACTGTCAGGAAGATCACATTCATGGAGTAGTTTAAACCCCACGATTCGCATGGACCAACATCACTGTTCACGTGTTTATCTATTAAACTACTATTACCTCTATTAAAATACTATTAACTCTCTTCATTAAACTATTATTACCTTTCCACTACGTCTGAGTGAGAAAGCTTTAATATTCTCACATACAGATTACTTTTATTTCTCCACAGAATGCATCACAGTGGGCATATTTACAGGAACTTTTACTCCTTTTAAACTATCTTGATATACTTGCTGTCAATACACACTTAATATTACGATGTGAAGGTCTTTTGGGGGAAGAAAATGACCCAACCAAAATAATACTTAAACGGAGGTAATTAAAAGGTATTCATAGATAATTAGGTTTGCATGGTATATTTTTGTAAGAATATCTCGACAGGAGTGTGTGTGTCTGTGTGTCTGTGTCTGTCTGTGTGTCTGTGTCTGTCTGTGTGTCTGTGTCTGTCTGTGTCTCTGTGTGTCTGTGTCTGTCTGTGTGTCTGTGTCTGTCTGTGTCTGTGTCTGTGTGTCTGTCTGTGTGTCTGTGTCTGTCTGTGTGTCTGTGTCTGTCTGTGTGTGTGTGTCTGTCTGTGTGTCTGTCTGTGTGTTGATAGGCTGTTCACGCCATCAAATCCACTGCCTTTAGCTTGTATGGTATATCAAGTGTTACATATAGGTTATAGTATGGGTTATTAACCTCTTGTACAGTAGGTAGAAGATATATCAGGGTATTGACACATGCAGGGAAGTTTTTGATGTAGAAGTTTGTCATTGATGATATAATGTATAACTTAATGTGATTGTTTGATTGTAAAGGAAAATGACGTGACCTATTTTTTTTTCTTTGTTTTGTATTTGTTCAGTTTACTATGTAGAAGAAAATTGGTTCTGTTCATTGATGATTATGTATTAGTCACAGTTTTCAATTTTGATTATTTTTCTTATGGAGAGATTCTGGAAAAAAAAACGCTTAGTTAATTTGCTCTCCTAGTTATATAACATGGATCACCTGAAGATTTGCCCCCAGCTTATTTCACCTGAAGTTTAACCACCCTAAAACTAACCTAAGTTAATGTAACTTAATTTAACTAGGTAGCATTAGGATGGATAATGAGGTGAAATAAGCTGAGGGGCTGATGTTTAGGTGAAATGAAAACTTCTGTACAGTCATACATCAGGTTAAGTTTTGTATGTTGGCTAAAAGAAGAAACCATATAATTTAGCATAAAAGAAGCCGCATAATTTTGGTAAGGCGTGTCAACAAGACTTCTAAATGTTATGAATATTTCTTAGGGGTGTGTGTGTAATAAAATAATAAATAATAATAAATGGTTTATTAATAGAGTTGCAGCCGGTGGCTGAAAATATACACTTACATTTGATTTAGACATAATGATATAATATGCATTGAATACATTTACAGGGCTGTACAGTGCATAAATCAGGAGTTGTGTGTGTTTGTGTACAATACCATTTGGAGTAAGAATTGCCAAGGGACCACCATTTTTAGGTCTAGTAAATGATTTATCTACAGTAGTAGTATTTATTGATATTCATTGTAGCATTGCAGCTTTTTGCTTGGTATTTTTTGGGGGTAGGAAATTCACAGATGTGTTTATCATACACTGAATGTTAAGCTAGATAAGTGGGAGCATGGAAACACTAGGTTGAATGTGATGTTCAGTATGGGGGAGACAGCATGATCCAGGCGTAGTTTTGCTAAGGTTATGTTTGGGTGGCTCATGTGGTCTGCTTGTTTTGCATTACAGTATAACCATAAAATCAAGCAAATAAGTGACGATCCTGTGCAAAATCTTATCAAGAAACAAGGTTGTAGAGCTAGGCTGAACCATGACAGATTTATATTGAATGAGTTGTAGTTTGTGATTTTTATTATTTGACTTAAAATTTGTTTCATTCTGAGATTTACACTATTTTTCTTTCCCCCGATTCCAGTTTCTACGGTATAGTAAAAATTACCTGCCACACATAGCACGTCTATGCCTAGTGAGTACCTTCCTCGAGGATGGACTTCGCATGTGGTGGCAGTGGCACGAACAGCGGGAGTACATGGACATCTCTTGGGGTTGTGGCTACTTCCTGGCAACAGTATTCGTGCTCATTAACCTGGTAGGACAACTGGGAGGCGTGTTCATGGTGCTGTTCCGTAAGAAAGTTGAGGTGGCCTGTGGGTTACTTCTCTTCATTGTAGTTCTCCAGGTAAGACTTGATATGCTTGACACCTCTAATTAGCTTTTAACCTAACTTAACTTAACCTAATGGAGAATGATTTTATTTCCCAGGATTACTGTACTATGTCTGGATTGTAACATAACAAGAGGGTGAAATAACCATTATAGCATCATATACTGTATTTTGACAAGTATCTCTGTTCATATGCAAATGTACAATTTCATAACCATGTTTGTGATTCATTCACCGTTGCGTAAAGAATTTTTGCTATTCATTGCTTGGAAGCTTTTATACACGTGAATTACATTGTGTTTTAGTTGATCAGGTTGCAGATAGAATTTGGTTATGTTAAAGAATGTTCAGTAACAAGAAGCGTATTGGTTACAGTATCATGTTTGTTTGCCATTATGTGCTAAACATCTGTAACTTTGGCTAGACTTGTCTTGTCGGGAAGGTATTGGTAACATAGGTATCACTATATATATAGAAAGAGGGAAATGGAAGAGAGAAAGTATATACAGTAAAAGTTTAAAAGTCTACAAAACTAACAAGTGACATGTAAACAAAATGACTGACTTGCACAAGAAGTTATTGAGTTTTAGTGGGATAATGGAGCAAAAAGTGTTTAAAGTGACTACTGTAGATCTTGTTTACTGAATAATTGTGTTGAAATGATTATAATTAAACCAGTTGTCAGAATTAGTTGTACACTCCCTGAAATCCAAATTCAATTTCTAAGAAAAGACTAATGAATTTAAAATGAGACAAATCTCACAAGAAGAAGATTACATATATATAAATAGAATATTTAATAAGAGAGAATAAAGAGAGGAAGACTTTGGTAGCGTGGCCGTGTTAGTTATTTGAACTGTCAATACACTTATCTTATCTTATGCGTCAACACACATCTATTAAGTTCTTAAGGACGACTTCTCAAACACCGCTTCGTAACAACTGTTTATTAATTACGACAATGACATGGACACATTATTAACACCTTCTATTGAAGTTACTAGGACGCTATATTTACGTTAATGGGACATCATATTACGTTACTAGACACTGATTCTCGGACACGAACATGAAATGAATACACTTCCCACGTAAGTAACTCATCCCATGGAAAGCTCTGACAAAAACTCACGTGACCTAGGGGAGGCCTAGCAGGTGGTCCTGGGTTGTCTCTATGGGAGACTGCTTAGCTGGGCACCGGAGGAAAGTCGGGGAGGGAAGTCTTGCGTGACTCTCCTCCCGTGAGCGGGACTGGGCTGTGGTGAACCTCCTCCTCCGATCCCTGTGTGTCTCTCTCTCCCCGACTCTGTCTCTCTGACTCCCTCTCGCTGCTCCCCTGAGGGAGGGCTACGAGCGGGACTGGGGACGTAGTTGCTGGCCCTTCTTGGTTACAAGACACACTCTCGTGAGGGAGGACTAGGACGTCCTATATATTGGAAGATCAGCCGTCAGGTTGAGCTGATCGGGGGCGGCGGCGAAGGGTCTCCTTACATTTGCCCTCGCTAATGTAGGGTCAGGTCTGGACTTTTTCTGAGACTATAAGTTGTATATTCTGGAGAAATCTTCAGATGAATGCTTGCCTGTTAACATCGTTGGTGGGGCCGTGTGACATGAGAGGCTCTGGTTGATTTGTGGCCCCTTGACTTGGGCTCGAGGGTTACATTTTACCTGGCTAATGTGAGGTTAGGTCTGGGCCTTGTCTGAGATGTACTGTAGTTGTGTATATTGGGAGAGAGTCGGCAGGTGGTTTCTTACATGTTTGTTGGGGCCGTGTGACATGGGAAGGGGAGCTAGTTGATTTGTAACTCCTTGAGTGGCCGCGAGGGTTACCCTTACACTTGACCCCCCTAATGTTGGGTCAGGTCTGGACTGTTTCTGAGATGTAAGCTGTGGTCTGACAACCCATCACTACAAACTTTTTCTATGTAAAGTATATATACAACAATGTTCAACTGAGTATTCTGTGAATGTAGGGGAGGTAAACCATAACATAGTCTACAGGTAAACTTAAAGTAGCAGATGCATAGTAGGAGCCAGGAAACCGGAAAATCCCCAAAACCGGTTCAGTCGTGGTCCCGGGTTTGGGGGTCTTTACCTGTGCAGATATTATTTTCAGTTAGTGGGTTGAGGAGAGGTGTGTTACTGGGTCAAGGAGAGAGGTGTGTTACTGGGTCAAGGAGAGAGGTGTGTTACTGGCTCAAGGAGAGGCGTGTTACTGGGTCAAGGAGAGGTGTGTTACTGGGTCAAGGAGAGGTGTGTTACTGGGTCAAAGAGAAAGGTGTTACTGGCTCAAGAGGTGTGTTACTGGGAGAGGTGTGTTACTGGCTCAAGGAGAGGTGTGTTACTGGCTCAAGGAGAGGTGTGTTACTGGGTCAAGGAGAGGTGTGTGTTACTGGCTCAAGGAGAGGTGTGTTACTGGCTCAAGGAGAGGTGTGTTACTGGGTCAAGGAGAGAGGTGTGTTACTGGGTCAAAGAGAAAGGTGTGTTACTGGCTCAAGGAGAGGTGTGTTACTGGGTCAAGGAGAGAGGTGTGTTACTGGCACAAGGAGAGGTGTGTTACTGGGTCAAGGAGAGAGGTATTACTGACTCAAGGAAAGGTGTGTTACTGGTTTTAGGAGATGTGCCTAATTAATGCTCATGCACCCCATAGTTCCAAAAAACAATATCTTGCCAATTTTTAAACTTATTAAAATGACTTGTGCCACAATATCACTTGAAAAATAATAATATTTTTTATTACTGACATCATGGCCATTATTTAAGTCATTTTTCATGCTTGTGTGAGTTGGCAGTGGTTACTTGATGGCAACTTTCAATGATGCGCAGTTTCTTGCAGTCTCTAATGTTATATCTGGCATCCGCTCCCCATGTCCTTCTTGGTCTACCCCTGGCTCTCCTCCCCTCCACATTTAGGTAATGCATCTCCTCACCCATTTCATTTCATCCATTCTCTCTACATGCCCAAACCATCTCAGCCTGCCTCTATGTAGGACTTTGCCAATAGTACAGCCAGCCACCCTCTTGGCTTTGAACAGAGCTTTCTATCTTTCAGTGTCCCATTACACATCCACCTTATCATTCTCATTTCAGCTTGCTCAAGTCTACTGATGTCATCCACTTAGTTACTGCCCATGTTTCACTGCCATACAACATCATACTTCTCATTCCAACCGCATATATTCTTCCTTTCACTTGGAGGGAGGGTCCTCCTGCCATCAATAAAGCAACACCCACACTGCCACTGTTCATGTCACCAAGGTAACAAAACTCTTCGATGCGGTTCAGGGACATATCCCCAATGTTGACTCTCTCCAGCCTTTCTGTGGTCACAACACTTAAAAATGAGCAATATCCTGCAGTCTGCCATCTACTCCACTGCACCTTATACACTCATTGCACATTATAGAAGTTGCTGCTAATACCTTTCTTGCAAGGCAGCACATGGCCATTTACCACTTTCCACCCACACACTTGTTGATACTTTTGTTTTTCACCTCGTTCACATTGAAGTGCCTCCATTCGATCCTTCCACTTCTTAAATTTCTCCACTGCCTCTTCAGTACTATTTGTTACCAGCACTAAGTTATCAGCAGAATTTTTTGAAGGAATGATATACTGTAGTGCATGGTACAGTACTTTAGCTTTCCAGTGGATAGTGTGACATGTGGACGAGATGTGGCTCCTGTAAAATTAGATGAAAGTTTGAGTTATGTAACTTCAATTAATCTCATAATAATAACTTTTGTTACAGACAATAGCCTATCAAATTCTGTGGGACATGCAGTTCTTGTTCCGAAACTTGGCGCTAGTTGGTGGTCTGGCACTCGTCTTAGCCGAGAGCAAGAAGGAAGCTCGTACAATCTTTGCCGGTGTTCCGTCTTTGGGGGAGAACAAGCCTAAGACTTATCTCATGTTGGGAGGACGCATCCTTCTGGTGTTCATGTTCTTGACGCTAGTTAGATTTGAGTTCTCCGTCATGCAGGTAAGATGATAATTTATACTGTGTTAATGTACCTTATCTTTAGCCTTAACTTTTAAATCTTGTGTTTGAGTAACAGTAGAGTAAATCTTTTATTTGTTCTCACATAGACATCTGTGAGGTCTTGATTACTGTAGGTTACCACAATGTAGGAAGACAGTTATACAAGATTCCTTATTATGTATTCATCTAAGAAATTTTTCTGCATTAAGTTCTTTTCCTTAAAGTCTTATTAAAGATATGAAACTTCACTACCTCTCTCTCTCAGCCCTGTAACTGCATGCAACTGTCAGTAATACTCGTATTTTATTTTTCCTGTAGGTGTTCGAGATAGTGGTTGGAGGTCTTCTCATGGCTCTTGTAGCTGTGGGATACAAGACCAAGTTGAGCGCATTTATGCTAGTGTTAGTGTTGAACGTCTTCAATATTTACGTCAATGCCTGGTGGTCCATCCCAGCATATAAACCCATGAGAGATTTCCTTAAATACGATTTCTTCCAGGTAAGTATATTATTATTATTATTATTATTATAGATGAATACAGGATAATCACTGATAAATGATAATGATGAAGACTTGAAGATTTTGTTATTTTATGGTACTGTATATAGGTATGTGTCAATTAATTCCATGGCATAGATGATGCAGTCACAGACACATGAGGTATAAATACGCTGGAAAAAATTATGAAAAAATAATTAAAGGTTTTTAATTTGTAAATCAAAGCATGGGAGAAAATATCTTTCTTCTGTAACCTCAAATTTTCGTAAACCAAAATTTTGTAAATCGGGAAATACATTTAATAAGTGACAGGAAGGGTCTTAACCTCTCTCTCCCTCCCTCCCTCCCTCCCTCCCTCCCTCTTGTTATTCTGTCCATTATCATTCTTGATATCTCTATTATCTTCTTTCCTATCCTGTCTCTTCTCCTTCCATTTCTTTCACTTTAATATGGATCAAGTTGTTGGTACAGAAACATTAAATATTGGGTGAGAAAGATACAGGTGCAGAAAGTGTAGGAAATGGGCAAAGATAAGAGATTGGATTTCCCACACACACACACACACACACACACACACACACACACACATACATATTGGAAGTAAGCACAATAATAGACACGTGTTGAAGGTGTGCCCTCTGCATTATTGGGTTGGAGTGCTGTACCGTCAGTTGTGACTTATTTGATGGGTATTCCAAGTACGGTATAGTTTTTTGTTTTTAGATAAATTTGACTGGCGTTGGGTGGCTGTGAATGGAGTAGAAGACTGGATTGTGTGAGGTTTAAGCATCAGAAAGTATACACAAATGTGTGGGAGATTTTTCACTAGAATTGGTTACAATGTTGAGATGATGTAATAGTACTGTACAAGCAATAATCAACACTATGAAAATTTGATAGCGGTCACTTTCATCTCTTTCAACTTTCCTGTAACCTTTTCTTAAATATTTAAAGTTTATCAGCTAAGGATAGGCAAGGAGATTTATTGGTTGTCTGAGGTCATCCCATACGTCCTTGTCATGCCAGCTTTCGAGGTAAAATGGACACGAAAGGAGGAAAACTAATTACTGAAACCACAAATTTAAAACGTTAACTTGTATCCTTATTATCACACCTCCTCCCCCTGTCATTATCTCTGTATGTGAATGTGTTAAAGTTTGTGTAATACAGTAATTAAGTCATGTTAGTGCTACAGAAGTGAGATGCTCAGAAAGATACAGTACTGCATTACTACTTTACCGAATGTTTCCATATTATTGCTATAGTGATGTGAATTGATTGACGGATATATGGTTGATTGACGGGTGTTATTCATTTGTTCGTTTCAGACAATGTCAGTAATCGGAGGTTTGCTGATGCTCATTTCTCTGGGCCCCGGAGGTGTCAGCATGGATGAACACAAGAAGCAGTGGTAACCCGCCCGTTCACCCACCGCTCCATATTTTATTGTTTTATCACTAAAGCCACAAGTTAAAGTTGTTTTAGTATAGGTTAATAAATCTTGAAATATGGTGATACAATTTTGATATTTTAGGTAATTATCTCCTCCCTCCCTTTTTTTTTAAGGTATACTTAAAATTTGGTGTTATTACAGTATTCATTTACAAATATTTATACTGTATAGTTGAATTGTTGGAATAATAATGATCAATGTAAATATCCTAAGTGAGGCCTTTGTGTGTCATGAGAGTTTATATTTATCCATATTTTTAAAGTGTTTTCCCCAATGGGATGGTCTGAGCCGAGAATTTTAATGTTGAAATCGATTTATTGTTTTCTTTTTATGATTTATTTATTTACTTTTTGGGGGGTAAAGAATTGTCTGAATGGGTGGTAATTCCTGCTTTGTGTTCTCAACAAATTGACTACTATCTTGCAATATTTGGATTGATGCCTCGATTGTGAGAGGTTAGTCCTTTCTTTCATGTCTCCTACCGCCATTTGTATCTGTATATGTGACCTTGGTGTATATGACCTGTAATGGACACCATGCTGTGAACAAGTCTTTGCTTTGAAGTAAAAATTTTTTTTCAAACTGATGATTGGTTGCCATGCTACATTAATGGTGCGCTCGTGGCTCAAAACGGGGAGGTTTTTTCTTTCTTCCATAAGTCATCCTCTTGTCAGTTCTTCCTGTTTACCTGTGCTATGGTTAGCTTATTTAACATCACAATTTTATGGATATGCAGATAATACAGTACATTCTTTAGGCATCATTACAGTTTTGTAGAGGTTCATTCTCAAAGCTGTACAATTCTTTTTGCTACTGAACAATTTTACAGAGATACAGTACATTCTCAAAGCATCACAGTTGTTTGTGATTGATGTGGGTAGCATGGGCCATGGTTAAAGAAATGCCAATGGGTTTTTATTTGATATTGGAATGGGAAGGAAGCTTCATGTATTAATATCTGTTCTGCCCACAACTTTTGGCTTTGCAACATGTCAGTTATATTATTTTTGTATAGTTTTTAGTAGTAGGGGTGAGAACATTCCCCTGGCACAATGGATCTTGTATCCTTTTTTGCCTAATAATCCTCCTCAATTTTTTTTTATTGCTCCCTTGTTATTATTTAATGTTTGATGACTTTCATTCTAAGCTACACATAGGATGTTTCTTTGTCCTTTGTGTGTATGAAGGAAGTAAATAGATAAATACAATAAACTTTTAAATATACCCAGAGAAGGATAGTTTTGTAGAAAAAAGCTTGAAACTCAAAAAAAAAAGTGGTATCTTTTTTTTAAGGTTCCACAAGTCCTCAAAATCTTTCAAGCCCTTTTAATACCTTGAAAGTGTTTTATATTTATCTCAAAAGGTTTTATTAAACAGATATTCAATCTATGCTGTTACTGAAAAAGGTCTGTAACTTTTGTTAAGTGGCTCTAAATAAAGATTCTTCATATGTTCGGTCTTTTTTTGGGCGACCAACCTTATTTTATACTTTTCACCTGTGTTGTCTTTTACTGCCATTATACAAGGTGGCTGGGGGCTCGTGGAACAGTCCTCTTCACCAGTGTGTTTACAGGGGCTCTTCATATAAACATTCCACAAATAATTGTCTTTGAGGTACTGTATGGGTATATGTTTTAATTTGATACCATAGAATGTTTACTATTGTGAGTTACCTTCTCAAATTTAAACAAACACAGGGCTGCCACTGCACCAAACCTGACGAGCCCCTGTAAAAGCACTAGTGAAGGGGACTGTATGTGTTCTAACCACTGTCAATAGTTTTTCCAGCTGCCTTACCAGATATATTTTATTGTAGTGTTTTTCCTACCTAACAAGAGCTCCAAGATTTGTCTAGTTTGTCTTCTTATTTCGTACATCACACCAGCACTCGGTAAAGCCCAAATATTTTGTGAAGGATATAATATGATGGAAATAATGCTACCAAAAATGTAAGAGCAACTTTAAAACAAGCAGGTCAGTAAATTGTAATCACTCTGGGAGATAAAGGAAAGAAAGTGAGTATAATTAATGCTGTGACGAGCGATGTGAACAATTTGAATCGTTTAAAGATTATCTCGGGAGTATATTTCTCCTTCACAATAACCACCTACGCTTAACCTTCCCAAAATAGTCCAGTATTAAGGTGTTTAATCATCAGGTGAAATAAGCTGCGGGTTTATTGGTTAAGATAATAGAAGATGGATATTTAAAGACCCAATTGCGACTTCATAGGGTCGAGTTTGGTTCAACTATTGTGTCGTGTATTTTGGTCATCAACTGGACTTCGTATTAAGCATGTAGGTTGGGGGGTTCCTATTGCATACTAGCATGAGATTGGGGGGTTCCTATTACATGCTAGCATGAGATTGGGGGTTCCTATTACATACTAGCATGAGGTTGGGGGGGTTCCTATTACATACTAGCATGAGATTGGGGGTTCCTATTAATGTACATACTAGCATGAGATTGGGGGTTCCTATTAATGTACATACTAGCATGAGATTGGGGGGTTCCTATTACATACTAGCATGAGATTGGGGGTTCTATTACATGCTAGCATTGGGGTTCCTATTACATACTAGCATGAGGTTGGGGGTTCCTATTATTAGCATGAGATTGGGGGGTTCCTATTACATACTAGCATGAGGTTGGGGGGTTCCTATTATTAGCATGAGATTGCAATACCTTAAGACGCGTAACTATTTCCGTTTATTTTAAAGTCACGCTGCTGACTAAATTGGTACCTTGTTGTAATGTTTATAGGCAACAGGTAACTTATTTTAATTAACTAACCAGTAAGAATGTTTTCATAATCGTATTAAGGGTAATTAAAACTTCTACATTTCGTGTGTCATTGAAATCAATAAATGTTACAAACTTGTGAAATGTTCCTCGATAATGGTCACTGCCACGAATGCGTGAAATGAACAGCATTACACTTCTTGTCTTGTCGGATTCCTAAAAACGTTTGTATGACTGAATGGCTTGTAAGTGTAATGTGAGAAGTATAGTTACTATGCACTGTGAGTAACTAACGTTGCTGTGGGGTCTGTAAAAGTGACTCCAGTTACATCACACTTGGCATATATATTACAGAGTTTGGCAATGTTTTCCTCGGGCAATACAGTGAGGCGAGAAACCTGACAAGTGACTTTGTTTTAAACAATTTGTATAAGATATTAATGTGACCTAGCCATGGGTAGGGGGAGTGCCAGCTGTTTTTTTCAAATTATTGTAATTAGGTTGACCTCCTCATAGACCATCCGAGTGTGTGTGTGTGTTTAGTCAATAAGTTAACCCAAAACATGTGGCTGACTCCCCTGGCATTTCCGTTGTATTTTTATATTTTTTCTTTATCAACAAAGACGTGTCCAGATATATACAATCAATATATAGTATACTAAATCACCTGATGCATGTCAACAAAATATTACCTTATTAGCTATAACAAGATAAGAGTACAAAATGACATTGCATATTGACGTAAATTAAAAATTCAAACATTGTCTTGAAATAGGAGACAATTCATCTAGCTGAAAGGTTTCTTACGTTTCAAAATTAATTACCAGAAATGTGAAACGTTGTTGTGTTAATTACTTGTGTTGTATGTATGTATTTCTAGAGGTGTGAGGGGCTGTGCAACACATGTCCAATACACGTGATTTTTGCACACGTGTAGCCCCCTGGTGCATATGGTTTACACCTGTAGCCCCCTCCCCCGCCACCGTCACTCCACACCGCTGATTCATCCTCTATGACTGTACAGTTAGGTTAAAATTAGTTTGGCCATGAACGTGTGAATTATGTATCCCATATTAATATTATCCCTACAAGGACCACAATACACACCTACATTACTTAATAAAGTACCACTAAGTACCTGAGTTCAGTCTAATCTTAGCAGATAACTTTTATATTTAGATTGCCAACTAAAATACCCAAGCTTAAAGAAGTTATATTTATTGTTTACATGTATGTTGTTTTTATATATTTAAACAACGATATATGGTTTAAATAAGTATAAAATTTTAGTATATGTGGAGTGAGTGATATGAGAAAGGTGGCTGGGTGGAGTGGCCTCTTATTCACGAGTTATTTAGGGAGCAAGCTGGGCCGGGTACACACACACACACGCCCCTCCACACTAATACTCCCTCCAGTTCCTGCAAAACCATACTGACACCACCATGGATTCTCTACCTATGACTATGGACAGAGACTCCCTACAGCAGCTACTGGGTGAGATTGATACAGTATTGCTGGACTGTGATGGTGAGTATTGTGATGGTGTAACTATTTAGCTTTAGTTATCTCGAACTAGTTCTTGTGCCTGCATGACCCCAAGCAAATCCCCTTACCTGGACCCAATAAGAAAGACGAGTCAGTTAGGTCTTTGAATATGGAGCATTTGTCTATGTAATTAGTATACTGTATAAGCGTTTATTGCGTACTGTGTGTGATGTTATAGCCGACGTGCTCCCAGAAATATAAGAATTGCCTCAAACTTAACAAAACACTGTGAACGTTACGAACTTACGAATGTCGGTTATTTTCGAAGAATTGTGGTGAACTGTGCAGAAATATTTTAAGCTTAGTAATACTATAGAGATAATACGTGTACAGTTGTGAGAAAGGTGTTATCCAGCGAGACTCGGCCAAATATCTGAGGCTTCTTTCTGTTCTAACACTGAACACTGAAGATCGAAACGAAGAACGGACCGACCTCCCGAACGGCTAGTGGGCTGATATAAGTGGTAAAATTATAAAAAAAAGTAACATGTATTTGGTGTTGTCAGGTAAACTAATACAATTGATATAGTCTTGTTAGGTGTACAAATACAACAGGTATATAAATTAACTATGGGCGGTGTCATTTGGTTAATTTATTAACTAGAAAACGCGAAAAAAATAATTTTTCCCTGTAGTTCGGAGTCTCCTTCCAACGGTTCAAAGTTTCGTTCAGGCAGTTCGTAGTCCCAAGCTCAGGTGTAGAAGGGCTTTTGTTCGTAACTGTAGTACCTTTCGTTATTAGTTACAATTTTGCGGTTCTTGGACAAAATTTCATCGAACTTGATCTGAAGTACTGTATAATAGGTATTTTATTATTGATTATTATTATTATCATCATTGTTATGATACTTTCCACACCTGTTTTGGTGAAATTTCGTCCACATCTGTTTACGTATAATTGGCTTTACGACTGTTATATAATGATAGTTAAATATAGCCACTGTTTGACGACGCACACTCAGTCATTCACCACTTCCGCTTATATACTGTAATAGATCTCTCAGTGGGTTCATCTAGACTGAACCCCTGTTGTCGTATATATAGACAACAGTAACTCGCAAACCATTGAGTCACGGCTTAATTGATTTCGTTTAGTCTTGTGTGTATAAACGTTTGCCATAACATTCACAGGCAGATTATTCCAACAGTTACGACAGCTCTCACTCCACCTGAGGGTGACTGTGACCTCTACTGGGGCGAGCATCCACCAGTTCCACGTGTGAACGCTCGACTGTAATGTCCTCCTATAAACTTACATTAAAACCAGTGTTGCCAACTCAAGATTTCAGAAAGTCCCTAGATTCACTCTCAAAAGTCGCTAAAATGCCGCTAACGTGGGATGTCAATTAGCTAAAAAAATCGCTAAATATTTACGTGTTTTTAATATCAAAACATAGCCCGTATATTTTTATACATTAATTACTATACACATAGGCCTACTCTGAATACTTAATAGATGTGAAAACTTAAAAAAACCCGGGATAATTATCTCTGCAACTCACGTAATAATTCATAGAATGAATGTTCAACTAGTTTAAAGTACTAAACACTTACCAACAGAAAGGAGGTTACTCTAATATGTCAGCTAGTAGATCTTAATCGGCAACTTCTTCGATGAAATTACTGGAAGCTTCCTGTTGCAGAACCTGGATCATTGGAGCTTCCTGAAGCTCATGGTTGAGAGGGGCGTTGGTATGCACCCATGGAGCAGATTTTTCTTATCACATCCATAGGCAGTGTATAATAATGACAGCATTTTTCATGACGTCAAGGTCCATATTTGATGGCCATGATAGCATTTAAACTTCTGATACTTAGTCTGTTACGAAGTTTAATTTGAACAATATTCATGTGACTGAATATGCGTTCTACGTCCGCATTTGAGTGTGGTAGGGACAGCAGCGTTAGAGCTAACTGAGATATCCTCGTAAGATTTTCTCCCGTGGCATCTCTATATGACATTTCTGCCCAAAGGAAGAGAGTATCCGAGGCTTCTATCCATTTTATGCGGTGGACTTTCTTCCACTGAAAGTCGATTCGAGTGATAGTTGCTGCATCGTCAAAAACCATTTTGGCAAGATCTAATATGCCAGGCTTTATTGGTTGTTAGCACACATCAGCACTCAAAGAAGACATGGAGTGGAGAGCCCCAACATTTTCTGGCAACCGTTGGCGAAGTTGTTTCAGAAGTTCAACCAAAAAATGTATACAGTACATCTTCACCGGATATCTTCTTCATCTGTGAATTTACACTCTGACATCTCTCTCTCGAATTCAAATCCAAGATAGGGTTTCGGGCCCAAATAGTTCTCAAGCACATCATCTACATTTACCTTCCTCTCTGGGATAACAATCCTCGAGCTGAAAGAATCAATCAAGTGTACCAGGTCATTCAGGAGCTTAGTTGGATCGTGAACAGCAGCTTCAAATTTCTTATTTACATGCTGAACGTCTCCAAAAACTGACTTAAAAAATATGAGAAAGATGTGATTTTTCTTGTCGCTGAACATGGAATAAAGCTGCTCTGCTGTGTAACAGTGCTCTTCTTTTCTGCAAAGATCAAAATGCAGTTTCAGTTCATCCCATTGCTGTAGAATTCGTACACTGGCAGCCTCGATAGACATCCATCGCGTCTGGCATACCTGTACTAATTTTAAGGGAACCATTCCATCATTTATCAAACCATAAATTTCCCTGTACTTTGCTTGTGTGACAGCAGAATGAGAAAACCAATTACACCTGTATATGTTTCTCTGATCAAGAATTTGAGGTTCCTTGGTAGACATACACTCGTAGCATGAGAAACAGCAAGCTGTAAAGAGTGGCAAACACACATTATGGGAATAAGATGAGGAACTTCCCACTTCATCTTCGGGTACACACCATTATTCCCGCCCGTCAATACTGATGCGTTATCAGTACCGAGTGCAATGGGATTTTTTTTAGATCAAGCCCATTCCGTTTAAACGCAAAATTATACCGAGATTAATTAGATATATTCACACAGTACCAGTTAAGAGACGGTATCAAAGCAAAATCATTTCGAAAAACAATACATTTTGCCTAGTATTGAATGATCGTGTGGGGTTCGAGATTGTTTGGGTTCACACTCAGGATGGGATGGAGAAAGGAAACTCACAATGTGCTCTCTATATACATGTTGTATTGGATGTACAATGCAGCTTGGTGCTGGGAAGGCAGCATGGTTACAAGCGTGATGTAGAGAGAGCTGGTTGGTGAGGACGCTCAGAGAAGGACAGCTTGTGGGTCGCCATGCTCGCCAGCGGGAGAGAGGACCGCCAGGCAGCGGCGGAGGAGGAGGTGTTGCTGGCTGCGGCTGTAGGTAGAGAGAGAGATCACCACGAGGTCAGGTCTTAAATAGCGGGGGTAGGCGTGGCTTAGCAGTTGACCCCCGCTCCGTGGTGTATGGCGGCGCTGGTTGACCTAGACCACGAGGCATACACTGGGGAATTGGTGGGGTCGGCTAAGGAGCGACAAACAGCGTTTGTAGGGGAGAATTCCACTACAATCGTCTCTAATTGAATCTCGTTTGATTTTTGACGTCTTCGCTTTAATCTTGTTTATGTCAAATCAAAATGTTGTTGGTACATTGTTAAGCCTTCAGTTACGGGGAAAATTCATTGTGCAAGTCTTATGTGACTGAAGAATGATATTACATATTACACGTCAGTGATCTTTTATTTCCTAGTGTTGTTTTATGACGTATTTTCTTTCCTAAATCCTCTGTTGAGTAGGTATTAGTGAGTTAATTGATTCATGATAACTGTTGATTTGCGATTTGATAAGCTGTACTGTATTTTTTATTATTATTGTTGATTATAGATATTATATAATGACATGTAAGGTAATTTGTGGTTTATGATGGAACCACGTAGGTAAGTAAGGGGTATACAAAATAGGCTTATCTATCAATAAAATAAGGTGAAATTTATTAATAATATTTATAAAAACAATAAAGCTTATCAACAAAACTTTCCAATGAGTTTCTGAAATACTTACATACACAGGAAGGAAAATACATATATGGCAATGAAGTGTAATAAACCATGTATGAATTTCAGGTGTATTATGGCAAGGGGCACAAGGAATGGACCTCATACCTCGGGCTAATGAAGTCGTCAGTAGGCTGCAGGCGATGGGCAAGAACGTGTTCCTCATTACCAACAACTCCACCAGGACTCAGGACAGCTACCATGAGAAATGTCGCTCACTAGGGTTCAATGTTGACCAAGTGAGGAAATTTGTTACCCCACTTGATTTGACCTCACTATGACTGTGACAAAGGAAGATTAAATATATTGTTTGATAGCCGGACACATGTAGAAATATTTCCATGTCTTTATTTTGATATAAGTATGAAAATGTTATACTATACAGTATATACAAGCATGCAGTGTTACATAACCACTTGACCACTTGCATTATTAAAGAGCAAGATATAAAAATGGTTCAGTAGCTTGAGGAAGTTGAGATTTTCGATCACAGTTTTAAAGAAGAGGAGAATATTAGTGAAATGTTAATGGCAAATGAAATTCAAGGTGTCAATGGAGGCGAGGAGCAATGTGGAGGCCCTGTACACTCTTATAAGTTGGAATCTGAGAGAGAACTTGACTACACGAAACCCGACAGCTGACCGAAGGAAATCTTATTAAGTTAATGAGCGAATATTTGGAAGCCTGGCTTTATATTACATAGTGGATATAGGTACGGCAGCCGTATTGATGAACTGTGTTTTTAATGGTTAGATTAGGTTAAGTTAGGTTAATATAGGTTAGGCTTGTCAGAAAAAAGGCCATGGTGTTACTATCGCCTGTATACTGTAGTCTGCTCACCAAGCATGAGCATACAACTGCAGTAGCTGTATCCTGTGCTTTTTATTGGTCTTGTCATCAAGATTCTCGTCATTATAAACTTGAAGCTAGTTTGGTTAATATATTCGCTTTAGGACCATCCATGATTTAACACTTGGGATATTTCTATTGGTAAAGGTGGAGGAAACTCTTACTACCAGAAATAGCTTATGGAATTGAACCAAAATTTGTAGAGATACTACAGTAGTTAATTTGCCCAAGAAATGAATGCACATCAAATTTACAAGAGGCCTGTCTCATCATCTAATAATCTATTTTCAGCAAAAGAGATGGATTTGGTTACTGAATAAGTACCTTACTTCCAGGACCACATCCTGTCTGCACCCTACATCCTGGCCCAGTACCTGAAGGAGATCGACTTCAGGAAGAAGGTGTATGTGGTGGGGGCTCCAGGTCTTGCCCAGGAGATTCAGAAAGTGGGAATCCAGTGCATCGGAGTTGGGGTAAATATATTTGTACACTATTAGCTACAGTAAAACCCCCGTAATTTGGCACATATGGGGCCCGAGGCCTTGCCAAATAATTGAACTTATCGGTAATGTCAATTTGTCGCTTATAACTCGACTCCTGTTGACTTGGCACTAATTTACTGACTGCAGTGAAACCTCCATATGATCCGTTAAATGGGGGTTTCACATCTAACGGATCCTTGATGTAACAGACTTTCCTCTTCATATTGTCCTTTAAATGGGGGTTTCATTGTACTTCACAAATTGTCACCAAGTCAAAAGCAGGAGAGTCATGAGTGAAAACTAAAATCTGTAATGGTTATCCAGTGCCGTGCTGATTTATGTCAAATTCTGACTTATTGGATGCTGAGTTATGGGGATTTGACTGTATGGCCGTGAATGATAATACAGGAGAAGCCCATATTCATTAAGTGGTGTGAGACTGAATTTGTTTCATATAAAAAGGTTTTTCATAAAAAATGCTGCAGTACAGTACAGTAGAATGTTTAATTTAAAAAGTTTTATAGTTAGAATCAATATTTTGAAAGCCCTGTGTGTGTGTTGGTGTACATGGATTGTTACTGTGAAAATGTTGTATGGGAGAGGAAGACTCACATGGGTGACACTGACACTTTGCAGCAGTGGATGGAGGAATACTGAATGAACAAAAATATTGTTAAAAGAAATTAAGCTTTTGGAATGCAGGTAGATGAATAAAAATCTATTGGGTCAGCAGTCTCGGCCTTATAGTATGAAGTAAATGTTGTATTTTCCTTATTCCAGCCTGAAAAGGTTGAAGGTTCTCTATACAATGCTGTGGCTCAAGGCACCTTAGGGCTTGACCCCAATGTGGGTGCTGTTGCTGTCGGCTTTGATCGGGATTTTAATTATGACAAACTTCTTCGTGCTACAAGTTACCTGGCAAACCCAGAGTGTCTATTTCTGGCCACCAATACAGATAAAAAATATGTTGTCACTGGTACCAGACACCATCTTCCTGGTAAGTCAAGTTGACCTTCTGTTGTGACGACTTTATTTCTGTTGTAACTAAAGTTTAATAATTATTCAAGGTTATTTTCTTATGTTTGTGCAATTTTATTAGTTTGCTGTTTTAGCCCTTGAGTGACGTTGTTGGAAAATACATACAGTACACTGATCACATTACAGCCGCCATCGTAGTGCTCTTAGCACAGTGGTCCCTCGGTTAACGAGCGCCTCGGTTAACGAGATTTCGGTTAACAAGTTACCTTTCATAAGATTCTTAACTTCGGTTAACGAGCAATCCCTTGATTAACGAGTTTCTTACGAGCCAACCTCCACATGTTTTAGCTTGCATTTGGCGGTCCACCAGCTGTAATATTAGTCCGCCAATACAGTAATCGGTTCTAGGGCTTAAATTCCTTACCCTTTTAGTAAATATCAAGAAGTTTATACTATTCAATAATTTTAAAAGTTTAATATTAAATTTTTTAGTCATTTTAACAATTATTGAACATAATTGAAGGTAGGGTCACTAGTTTGTGGCACGCCATCCAGCCTGCCAACACAGCATACAGGAGTCGGTCTTTGTGTCTTTTCAGTGGAGGTAACATCTTGCTTGAGACTCTCTTCAACTAAACGCTTTTTTTCTGTGTTTACAAGCAAATTATTGGTCATTTTGAAATTTATTTTACATATTGACAATATAGTGCAGTGCAGTGTTGATTTAAAGAAAATAATCTTGAATTACACCAAGAGAACTAAAATTTTATGGGTGAAATGGCACCATGGGGGTGACTTCTCTTCCACCCCAATGCCTTCTCTTCTCCCTTCTCCTCCACCCCCATTCTAATTCCCATTATCATCATCCAGGAGCCTTCTACATACACACCTCAAAGTAAGTGTACTTTACTACCTTTTTTGTTGAATTTAGGCAATTTTCGATGAGCTGGAACCAATTACCTAAAAACCCATTGAAACAATGGTTTCGGTTAACGAGTTTTTCAGTTAACGAGCAACCTTCTAGAACAGATTGTGCTCATTAACCGAGGGACCACTGTAATGCTGTTTTGTTCTTTGTCTCCTTCACCTTGATCTGTGACCAAAATTTAGTCACATTGGTCAGCCAGAATTAATCATTTTATATTGAACAATTGCAAATCCTTACCCTTCTCAATTTACTCTAAGGCATTTGCAGTAATTCAGCGACAGATTTCAGATAAACAGTACAGTATTGTCATTCTGTCTAGATAAAAGAAATTAGTTCATCTATCTTTGTAAACTACTGTAGTACCGTATGTTATATTAAGGTGTATTTTAATATCCTACCGTAGAGATACAGCCCTCTATTATTTGGAATGCTGCCAAAAGGTTAGGTTAGGTTAGTTGTCTAAAGCATTATATCTTACTCGGAACTTAATTTAGTTTGCATCTCTGGATCTTAGGCTGTCTAAGAGTGGTTCATATTTTACATAAAGTCATACTTTAGGAAGCAAAATTATCATTGTTGTACTTCATTTGGTGGCAGAAGATGTCTCAAGTGGTTACTTTTCATTCATCCTTGCATAGCTGATTTTTTTTTTTTTTATTAAACTTTTTTGCTTCTTGTGGTTACAATTTTTGTCTTGATATTTTTCCCTCTCTGGAATCAAGAACAAACACAAATGTTCCCATCATTCAGTCTGCACAACAAGGCCCCATATATCACTCTGGTTTACCCTTGTTGCTTTATGGATTTGGTTATCTAGAATTAAACTGATACTATATATAGGTTAATTAGACTTCTTAATGTTGAATGAAACTTTACTATAACTCTTTTATGTAGGTTGTCAAGAAGTAATTGTGACATCCTCTGTATTTAATGTTTTCTCTGTGATTCATGAAATACATTATACTGTACTTACACTGTCACTGTTTCAGCGGCTGGAATCCTTGTCAACGCCATTGAGAACGCCTCTAGTCGGCCGCCCAGGGTGATGGGGAAGCCTTCCCTCAATATGTTGTACATGCTTCAGGCCCGCTATAATGTGCAGCCTGAGAAAACTCTCATTATTGGAGACACGTAAGCTATGTCATTCTATGCTTTGTACAGTATAGTGGTCACTTCAGCACTGTAACAATGCTTTAAGTGGTGCTTCTCATTTTCATCATAGGTGATTGACTCCATAAATCTTAAAATAAAAATTCTCGTCATTTGTCACATAATATAAAAAAAGAAAAATTGTATGCTGATATGTAAATAAATCCTTTTTACTATTAAAGAGTCACTTTCAGGACATTTTTAATGCCTGAATTCAAACTGATATTTTCGTTCACTCCCAGTGTCTACCTTACCGGTATCTTTTTAGGAAAGTACATCATCATTAACAAAAGCTGTAATGTGTTTATGATGATGATATACTGTACTAATGAGAAAGACTATACAGGGGTATGTATAAAATTAGATAATAAATGTTGTGCAGAAGTGCCACATGATTTCAAACCCTCTACCTAAGTTCTGCTTTCCAAACAGTTTATGTCAGGACAAGTGTGTGTAATGGACTGTAGGGTTGGTAGATGACACAGAAACAGTGATGGCTAACTATAAATACTGTACTGTACTGTACTATACTGTAGTGTACTTTAGTGTACTCTACTATACTGTAATGTACTATACTGCACTGTACTGTGTTGTAGTGTACTGTACCGTAGTGTACTGTACTATACTGTAGTCTACTTTAGTGTACTGTAGTGCATTGTACTATACTGTACAGTACTGTAGTGGTTAATGGCACGAAATCATCATCTGTATCCGTAACAAGCGGGATATCACAGGGCAGTGTATTGGGCTCGCTGTTGTTTGTTTGCTTTATAAATGACATGCCTGAAGCTGTACATTCCTCCATACAAATGTTTGCGGACGATGCCAAGTTATTCTGGGAAATTAAGAACCAAGTTGACTGTGAAAAGCTGCAGAAAGATCTGTGAGCTTCAAGAATGGTCGAGGAAATGGCTGCTGAGATTCAATGTCACGAAGTGTAAGAGGCTGCACCTGGGACGTACCGACGGTAAGGAGGCGCATCATATGTCCCAACGGGGCGAAGAGACTGCATTAATTGAGACTGAATGTGATAAGGGCCTAGGTGTGTATGTTGACAATGAACTGAAGTTCTTGGGCCATTGCGAGAAGAAGGTAAATCAGGCAACTAAGTTATTAGGTCTTATAAGAAGGTTGTTCAGATATCTAGACGGTCCGTCCCTCGTAACGATCTTCAAGAGTGAAGTGCTTCCCCACCTGGTGTACTATCACCCCATCTGGTCCCCAAGATATGCCAGGGACTGTCAACTGATTGAAAATGTCCAAAGGTGGGCCACCAGACTGGTGCCTGCACTGGGGCACCTCAGCTACCTGGAGAGATTGGAGCACCTGAACTTGCCTAGCTTATACTACAGACAGGCAAGGGGAGATCTGATTGAGGTGTACAAGCATCTGAAGGGCTCTACTCAGTCGAGTGTCCTTACCTGGAGCTGGTGGACTCTCGCCCCACAAAGGGTCACAGCTCAAGGTTAAAGAAGCCCAAGTCCGGAAAACTGTAAGGGGTAACTTTTTCGGAGTGAGAGTTGTGAACTCTTGGAACAATCTGCCAGCGAGTGTTGTGATGGCACCGAGTGTAAGCTCTTTCAAGACCAGACTGGATAAGCACTGGAGAAGGTTCTATTATATTCAGGAGCCAGTGCATGCCCAGTACCTGCCAACAGTGCGTAACAGAGACGTAACCAATCGCCCAAGCGGCTAACGAGCCGATCAGTGGTGAAGAGGATAAAAGAAAAAAAAAAGTAGTGTACTGTAGTGTAGTGTTCTGTACTATGCTGTACTATACTGTAATGTACTGTATTGTAGCATGCTGTACTATACTGTAGTGTATTGCACTGTACTTTACAGTACTGTATTGTAGTGTACTGGACTGTAGTGTACTATATTGTAGTGTACTATACCATAGTGTACTGTACTATACTGTAGTGTACTGCACTGTAGTGTACTATACTGTAGTGTATTGTACTGTAGTGTACTGTACTATACTGTAGTGTACTGTACTATACTTTACTGCACAATAGTGTACACATAGTGTACTGTACTGTACTGTACTGTAGTGTTCTGTACTACACTGTACTGTACTTATACTGTACTGTAGTATACTATTCTGTACTTTATTATACTTTACTACTCTGTACTGTAATATACTGTACTCTGTTGTGTAAAAGGTTACATATATGCTTGGACCAATGGACCATATGGAACTTATTACAGTATCTTTCCTTTCCCCAGGCTAGACACAGACATCCTGCTCGGTAATGAGTGTGGGATGTGGACAGTGCTGGTGCTGAGTGGTGTCACTACCTTACAAGAAGCCCGCCAGCTTACCACAAATCAAGACCCACAGAAGCAGAAGCAGGTGCCCTTGTTTTACCTTCAGTCTGTGGCTGACATTCTCACACTGCTTGATGAGCCAGTGAGCAATCAAGTAAGTGAACAACAATAATGCTGTTTCTGTGGTGAAGTTAGAAAAGCACTTGAAAAAATCCATGATGTGTAATCAGCAAATACCCCAAAACAAGTTTGAAAAACAGTTGAGCTAATGACTGTATTCTTTATGTATGGTAGTGTAGATTATCTCATTGTCACTGGTGTGTATAGTCTGTCTGTATCTCTCTGTACATTAACTTTTTCTTATTAAGGTCCTCCAGCATCTACATTATTGGCTACAAGGTTATCTGTAGATCAAACAAGGATTTCATCAGTAGTGTCAACATTTTAGAGATTTTTCTTGATACTGTATGTAGATTATGTAGAATTTCTTCAATATTTGTAGCTGTACTGACATTTTTTTTATTATATTTACTGAACCTTCTAGAGCCTATTAATGATGGTAAACTGAGATGTTATTGATGTGTTGACATTCTTGGATATCTTCATTATTTGTAAAATGTAATGAAGATTATATTGTCCGATGCATTTATCAGCCATTAACTTCACTGAAACATTTTTTTACAATTACAGTATAGATTAATTTTCAGTATTGTTTGTGTTGGCTGTTGGTTATTATTTTGAAACTTAAAAGCATAATTTATTTTCTTAGTGAGCAATTTCTCCATAATCTTTCAGAGGTTATGCTTTATGCTAAAGCTTTGGTAACTTAGACGTGCTGTGTATCAGAATTTTGATAATTCAAATGTTTTTTTGTTTTCATTTGTGAAAAAATACTGTATAAAAAGGATTGTTTTCTATTATTATTTTGCTGTGGCAACTATACATTTAATTTTCAATTTAATTTAGCATTTTCATTTTTGCCCTTATTTTTATGTAATGTTTCTCTGAGGTCAACAACCCCTCCAGCATGTGAGGTGGTAATGTAGCTGTTGTTGTCAGTAAGTCTGATCACAAGTCCAACATCTAGATTTAAAAAGACAATGTTAATATCATCCCCAAACTGATGTTATGAGAACATATCTATTTAGATGGCGTTTCAATGTAATTTTATGCATCATCTAGTATTCTAACAGAAGTTAGTCACATAGTGTGTTCTTATGGGAAAAACTTACACATGAATCTTTGAGAGTACAGCCCATGTCTGTTGCTGCTGAGCTATAGTTGGTTCTACTTAAGTTGGTGAAAGCAAACCCTGTCCCCAGTGGACCTGACTGGTGGATGCTAAACGGGGGACAGTGAGCCATACTTTTGGTCACCAGTCGAGCCCAGGCATTGTTATGTTCGTTGATGGGTTGTGTCTTTTCACTCTTTAACGCTTAGGCCCTGGGGGACGTTCCAGAACGTCCGCCTATTTCCCTGCCATTTTTATTTTTGTATTTATTTATTTTTTATTTTTGGAAAAGTTGATTTTTTTCTCGATTTAACCCCGCAGGGGGGGTACTGCCAGCAGCACCCTAACCCGGGGCTTAAGGTTTAACCCAAGAAAAGTGCATTTATAAGTCAGAATGGTAAATGCCCCATATATTCCGAGTTATCAAGGGTTTACTGTACTCCTTAACCTCTTTTGGGTTAGGATGACTGTAAATATCTCTCTCATGCTGTCAACTTTCTGGTCTCAGAGAAACACTCTGGGTAAAGTTCCAAGTCTTGTTTTGTGTACTTTATTCTACTTATCTTTGTGTTCTTCACTATTCTTCCTTCCATGCCAGGAGAGAACATCAGCCTACTCTGATAAACTATGGCACTGCATGAGTTTTATATATACAGTATTTAAGTTATTTACAATTTTGTATTTTAATATATATAGCAGTGTAGAAGAAAATAAAAAAAGTATTACTCGTGCCAGTAACTTAGAGGTCAGATACTGTTTTTGTATTGCATATTGTAATTATTGTACATTAGTAAATTCAGTACAGTATTAGAGATTTAAAGTACAGTAGTGTTGTCATTATAATCTGGTAGAACACGTTATCTCTCGGAGGAAACTGAAGATTATCCAGTATTGTATGTCGTAAACTCTCATTTTAATAGGTACATTTACACAACACTGAATAAACATTATAAAAAATATAAATATTAAAATTGTCAACACTTAAATATAGATATATTTATATAGTAATTACTGATGTGTTACTACTAACAACTGGTTTATGACTTATTAAATTAAACTAAAACTTGTGAAAATATATTTATAGAAGACTGGATATATTGTGAAAAGTATGTAAACAATGGATAAAACTTTGTTTGAACTTTGATTTTAAATAGCCTAAAACACTTTTGGCATAAATTTTAAATTACAGTACAGTATTTACAAAAGCTTAAGAACAGAGCTTTTCTCTCTCCTCCAAAACTTATGTGAGCACTTGTGGTCTTGTTTAAGTTTAGAGTTATACAAAGTAATGTACAGTATAGTCAAGCAACATTTAAAATGAATTATTATAGCAATTATTGATGATATCAGTGTCAGGATTTTAAATACAACTATGTTTTATGCATCTTTAAGGTGTTTGTCCACACTAGCAGTGAAAATCTTCAGCAGCACTCACAATATATGATATATCATGTTATAACAGCAATAGTAAGGCATGAGTTTGGTGCAAATATGTATTGTATTACTGTAAAAGATGCCGGCAGAGAACTGTTAGTGTTGTATTTACTGGCGTTGACTTTCAGTTATGTGATTACAGTAACAAATCTATTTACAAGTTAATAAAGAAAACTGGTGAGGTTGGACCAACACAGATGTGAGGGTGGACCACCAGATGGGTCACTTGCACCTCACAGTTCAGTTTCATGGATAGTTGCTTGCTCATACTTGCTTGTGTCCTTCCTCTGGGCCCTGAGTAGTAAGATGGATTAAAATTCAATATTTAGTAATACTGTACCTGGAGAAATCCAATATTATTCTGATATAACACATTTCTTTCCCTTTTGTCTTACTCGACCCAATCATCAATATTTTTATTGATAAAAGTGAGATAACAAGAGGATTATAAAAGATATCTATTTTTTTAGAAAGAAAAAGCCAGGCACTTACAGAACAATTTCAACATTGTCTAGGGCCCATTGATCAGTGCCTAACCCATCGTGGTCTGGCTGCCACCACCGTAGCTGTACACCATACTGCCGCGCATCCAGTGGTAAAGTGTAAGCCACACGACGAGGCTGTATCAACAATATTAGTTACTAGAGGTAAACATGGATCACAGTTATGGAAATCCAATCCCAGTACAGTACATGGAAACTACAATTTGCTGTACTGTACATGATGTGTTGATGAAAAGGCACAAGGAAGTGATGTATCAATGGCAGGGATGAAGAGGATGGCTGTGTCACTCCGGTGTAAAAAATTATGATGAGATAACGACGTATAGATTGTATATATGAACTACAAGTGTGTCTTATGGCAACTTTGTGAAAATTTAACCAACCTTTCTAAAGTCAAGTGGGTCATGAACGTTGATGGTGGCCCAGGTGACGCCATTATCAGGGGAGTACTGGAGAATGACTCCCTTGTCCAGGGCCCTCTGTGGGTCACTTAAGTCCACATGGCAAGATGGTGTGTGGTCGTGGCTCCCAATCCTCAGTACAAACATCAGTTTGCTAAAAAAAAAATATCAGAATTGCTGTTAAGAAAACATATGCACTGATGATGAGCGCAAGCATTATTTTGATGCATGAAAATGGTAGTTATCATTAACACAGTTACTAGGTTTTTAAATATACATAAGTAGAAATAAACCAGTCCTCAACTTTCTGTTTAGAAATACACTGTCAAGATTATTACTGATGTACTACAGTAAACCCTCTCAATAACCAGATAATCCCAACAATGGGTGACTTTTTGTCTGGTTTAATTAGTCAAGTCAACCAGTAAGATCTAGTGATGAGAACATTGTTCATTATTGACTATACAGTCAGTTGGGACATGGTGGAGCTTGCTAGACTCAGTGTGGCTGAGCATCCCAGCCAATATACCGTGCAGTACAGGTATACTGTAGTACATAGATTTATATTTAATAATCATTACACTTTATTTGGAGAGTTTGTATTGAAAATAGTACAGTAATTTATGAAAAATATCTCCATAGTTTTAATAAAATGTGCTTAAAGGAAATAATAGTGTGTTTAACTTATGTTATCTCTGTGTGTATCGTTGCTATTGCTGTGCATTACTGTTATCATTGTGACTTTTATGGGTTATTGAGTACTGTATGGACTGTTCATACAGGTACAGTATTGCATAAAATGAGTGAACTTGGAAAAATGTCGGGTAAGCATGGTGCTGTTTCGCCTCCCTTATCAGGCAAGGCCAAGCTCTCCTGTAAGTCCTTGAGCTTGGAATTGAAGCTTGACATTATACGGCATCACGAGAGCGGTGAAGGGACAAGCTACAATGCAAAAGTACTTGGCCTTGCACAGTCAATGGCGTCGACCATCATTAAGGAGGCACATTTTCTGACGTGCCGGCCCTAGCAACAATAGTCCTCCAGGCCCAGAGAGGACACATGATGACGACTATGCTTCTGATGTTGATTTTCTGAGTGTTGCTTTACTGTAGTGTACTGTACTGTACTTTATTATTATTATTATTATTATTATAGCAAATTATTGTTAAATACAGTGTATTTTGGTGAAAAAATTCCCCGAAGACTGATTCTCTGTGTTATCTCTTGTTTAGTGATAATTTTGCTTAACATTAGGTTATTCAGGAATGCAACCCCATCGCTAAATGAGGGATTCCTCTATATATTATAAAATATTCGTTACCATATAAGATGTGCATTTTGATGGTTGAGAATGTGTAAAAAAAGTTTTAATGTACTGACTACACTGTACAGTATTCTTTGTATATATATGGGACAGGGTTTGCATGAAATATTTCAGGGAGGGTTTATTGTACAGTATAGCTCTCCTGCATAGCTTTTTTTTTTTATTTACTCTCCCACACCTCTCTCCTTCATGTTGAACCAACTGTAAACAACAACATAAGTACTGGTAATCACCTTGCAGTACGAGTGTCAAGATCCTTGGTGACGGCTTGGCGGGTGCCACAGCCAGAGAAATAAATATGTTTGCCATGGCCAAAGGGAGCTAGGGAGTTGCATCCAAGTCCAACACCTCCTCCAGACACCAGGGCCCAGTTGGCGAGCACTCCACCCTCGAACCCATCCACCAGGCTTGTTGGCAAGGGTTGGGCTCGTGATGGTACTGGCTCACATGACTCTCCTGAAGGTCAAGTAGAGATTATGAACAAATAAGAAGGTAGTTTGTAGAATTTAAAGTGAGGGCAAAGAGAAACAAAGTGAATTTACAGTGATTAGGAGAACTACTTAAAAGAGAAAATTCTGATATGGAAAAAGGATGATCATTATAATACTGCTGACCTAAGTATCCTGGATCACAGTGGCAAGCAGCCTTGACACAGTCTCCACGGCCATGGCAGTGTTCTGGGCAAGGGTGACCCACGTACACATCATCCAGTGACCAAGGTGTCACCCTACTACCAGGTCCACGCACCCCTTGCACCCACCTCAGTTGTGTTGTACTGAAACATGACAAATATGCCTTATAGTTACTGAGAAACTCTTCAAACTTAGGGCCATAAATTCTTCAAAACTTCATATACAGTAGTCATTTTACACCCCAAGCCCCTTCAAGGTTATAAGATTCTTGGATGTGGAAGCCATCCAAGACAAGTATCACATCCTGAAGGTTAGTTTTGCCTGCCATGACAATGATAATGTTATTAAATGCAATATTTTGTTTTGGATGGTTTTTTGATTAAGGGAGGGGTTAAACACATTGTTTTGATTTTTAAGATGGTTATGAAGTTTTAGAAGAAAATTATTTGGCTGTCAAAGTGATCATGGTGTTTTGAACACAATAATTTGGAAGTTCTTGAATATAGCATTTCAGTGGTGAAGACAACCCACCTGCCCCAGGTCTTCTCAGGGAGAGGGATGGTGATCCTTCGCCAGTGTGAATGAGTGTCAGAGTGGAAGACTGATTGTGGGTGAAAGGTGTAGGGCAGACAGTCAGGGTCTGGGGATGACCCAGGTAGGCAGGAGTCCCTCACGAGGTCCCAGCCAGTAACCCCTCCATCACGGCTATACTCCAGTCTCACTCCAGGCAACTCCCCACACTCTCCCTGGGTTTCTCCACACCCAACTGACACCTGTGCCATACAATGGGTTATATAAGTAACATCTGCAACACATCCTGGGTAACTAATGGCGTCTGTGACACAACCAGCCTATCTCCATGCCAGATAGACATGGCATTCTAGAGATTATTCTAAGAGTGTCTTCATAACAATACAACAAATGTGATACAACACTAAGGCCTTTTAGGGTTGCCTGAGTTCTACCAACATGACTCACACAAGTTTATCCATCTCACCTTGAACTGTAGAATGTGACCATCGTGGATGATGAGCTCCTGGGTGGTGATGGCACGGTGCCCAGGAGAATTGGCTCCCCACACCAGCGAGCCGTTAGTGCCGCTCGAGCAGTAGTCCTGAAGGCTCTCACTTTGAGGTGCAAACAGCCACTCTGACACCTGCCGGGGATATATATTACGTACATATTTTTGGTAAAGTTGTATTCTGGTTCATGAGAATAACTGACAGGACATACATCACCGTCTTGTCCACAACAGTTACCAGGTGAATGCTGAATCATACAGTTACAAGCCAGAAGAATATTTAATCATATACATTTACGTACTTGCAAACACAAAAGAGTGCAATGGAAAAAGCATAAAAAATTATTTAAAATTTCCAAAAGAGCCATTATGGTATGTAATTATTCAAATATTTGGGCCTGTAAATCCTTTTCTCTTACAATTGGAAATTAATGTGTTTTGAACCCAGATCCTTAACCAGCATGTAAAGCAATACCGTACCTTTGTATGAAATCTGAACAAAATCTACGTCTTGACCTCTTATGCCGAAACATAAGGAATTAATTAGGTCAGGCATTTTCAGGATGAACAATGACTATTTTTCTGAAAAGTGAAAACTAACGTGCTTAAATGGTGCAAGATAGTCTATATTCTTAAAAATATGTATATGATGATGATTTAAAACTTAAAGGCAAAGTAAATGACATTTGAAATACAGTTATCTCCTTGCACCGGAATCTTCCCTCCACAGAACCTTCCAATAGCCGGAATTAATTTTTTATCTTTCCGTGAAATTCTGGGAAAAATCTCTCCAATCTGGACATGGGAAAGAATTTTCCAGGAGTTCCAAGATAATGCATATACAGTACATGTACAGGAGAGTAGAACGTCGATTTAAAGCGATTAAAATTAAGATTATTGATTTAAAGCGACACTCATAATTAAGGACAATGTTTTAATTTAAAGCGAATCTTCCTATTTTGCGCGAGTGAATCTGGCACATCATATTTTAAAATTTGCACCCAATGTTTCTCTGGGCAGGCTACATTGTCCTAAGGGCAAAGCTGTACTGTACATGTATACTCAAAATAATGTACTAATTGATTACTAAAATTTTTGTCTAGTGCAAACTATAGCATGATTATATTCAAATTAATCACTATCTTATAAGAATTCTAGCAATGCAAATTATATTCTCCCCGGCCATTTCTGTGACATTTTGTAAACAAAAACTCAATCTAAAGAACATAAATAAACAAATAAATACTTCACTAGACCTTCGGCCCCAACTGTCAAACGTGTCACTGTCAGCCCCCCCCCCCATCTTCCCAGCCAGGGTTGGTTGGTTATAGGCTTATAGTTTTTATCTTATATAATATCACAGTCTAAAGATAGGAGAATATAAGTAATCATTTAGACAGCAAATAATTTGAATATAAACGTCATATATTTTGCACAAGAGATAAAAATTTGAGCACTTTGTAATAAAATTGGTTAGAACTAAAATTTGTATGTCTAATGCGAACTATAGCATGTTTATATTCAAACTAATCACTATCTTATAAGAATTCCAGCAATGTTAATTATATACTCCCAGGTCGGTTTAGTGATATTTTATAAGAGAAAAACTTAGTCACTCTTAAGGATAGATATAAAAATAAGCACTAGACCTTGGCATCAACTGTCATATTCCTGTCAAACATATCACCTCCCCCCACCCACCCCATCTTCCCATCAGCTGATCGCTAGTATACAGACCATTTCACGTCCCATAATTTTAGCTGTGTTTATTTATGAGTGGGTAGACTCTTAGTCTTTTTAGTATTTTGTTTCTCTCAAGTACCAAACTAAATTATTTCAATGAAACAACACTTCGATTTAGTGCGAATTCGGTTTAAAGCGACCTCTCTTGAAATGTATCTTGTGTTATATTGATGTTCTACTGTACTGTTATTCAGTAAGTGTAAAAGTACTGTGCTGTACATAGCAGAGTGAACAGTGTATGCCTACTGTAGGCCAATGTATAGCATACTGCAGTGCATGTACAGGACACTCCTTCCTACATGAAGGAAGAGGAGAGTGACAGTTAGTAACACCTGCTACAGTAGATGGTACAGGACAAAGGCAGGCCATCCTGTATCATCATATCACCATTTGGCCTACCTGCATCACAAGCCCAAGACGACATTATATGCTGGTTAGTACTGTACAGTATAGAGTATACAGTACAGTAGTATATTTTCTTTATTTACAATATATTGTACGTATACAGCTGTGTCTGCATAAATAAAGACAGCTCTGTGTCAAGGAATCACTCACAGTTGGTTCTCCTTCAAATTGATCCATGAGCTCAGCTGCACTGATCTCCGAGCCTCCTATGTAGAGGTCGTCTATTGACCAAGCAGGGGGTGGAGAAGCCAGTCGAGGCTGCCAAAACCTGTTGGGTGGAATTTTTATTGAGACATCTAATAGGAATAAGTAATTACTATGTCTAAAAATGTGATTTGTTAATGAAATGGGAAATCAATAAAGTAAATATAAGAAAAGAGAGAACACACTAGTTTTGGTAGTGTACATTCAGAAATCTATGGAGAGGACATGTAGATATAATATAAGTCGATAAGTCAGGTAGAAAGCAAAGGTCTTGTACAAGATACGAGTGTAGGTCTGGGTCCAGTGAGGGTTCTAAAGGCAGGGAATGACTCCTGCTAAAGCAAAAGTAATGATTGTAGCTAGTTGGTGCTACTATCAGAGAAGGTCGTTGTTAATTATTGGCTCAGAAGAGGTTCACTTGTCCAAGGTATCAGAGGAAGGAGACAAATGGTAAAGTGAGTTACCTAAAGGTGGTGGCAGGGCTCCTGGCATGAGGTGGTAGCAAGATGTACTCTTTGTTGGGTGAGGTGTACAGCTTATAGTCCAGCTCCCTTAACAGGTGCCAACGGATCCCTGTAAGTATACAAAAAACATCAACTACAACTATATTTACGGAGTTTTTGACATTTGCAGTTTTAATTTTTTATTGTAACCTTTTTACCTTAGTTAAGTATAACCAAAAGATACTGGAATGACTACATTTCAGACCAATAACTTTGGCTCACAGATGTTGGAGATGCCTTAGTCCAGTCATGGGCAACTTTTCCTCGGTCGTGGGCCGCATTACCCACCAAAATTTACATCCTAACTAACCCAAAAGTAATACTGTATTAATAATGTATGAGCACGGACAGTGAAACAGTTTATCGTCACATCAACCTCACGATATTTTTAGTTTACAATCACAATTTTTTTCCCATTTATGAAACAACGCCATCATAATTTTTAAAGTAAAATGTTAATGTTTCTTGGCATTTAACAGAAGATGAGTGAAGAAGTCTGTGAATATATTGATTTTTCCTACAGTTACAGCATTTTTCTAATTATGAGACACACCCACCAAGAATAATGCACTACCAAGAATAATGCACATGACAATCTACAATGAAACAACTTGTATAGACAATTATAGATAAAACATTAGATTTCGGTGAAAATCTCAATAAAGGTATTCCTGAGCACACTGATTAGGTTGTGGGGTAATTTGTGGTCATAATGATGCTTGGAATATATAATTACATTATTTCAAATATTTCAATGCTAATTACTCACCAACTATGGGTTAGGGAGGTGCGATTTTGGTGTATGTGTGTTATTCTGGAAGTACTTAATTAGATAGACTCCTTAAATTCCAATTCTGAGAGAAAAGTATATTTTGGTCGAAAAATTACTAAGGTATAAGTCTTAATATTTTGTCAGTTTTGGCTAAAAATTAAATTTAATTGAAAATCTCAATAAAGGTACTCCTGAGCACACTGATTCTGAATACATGGTCCATGATTCGATTACGGGGTAATTAGTGGTCGTAATGATGCTTGGTAAAGATAATTACATTATTTCAAAGCTAAGTACGAGCCAATTATCAGTTTACGAAGTGCAATTTAGGTGTTTCTGTGTTATTCTGGAAATACTTAATTAGTTAAACCCTGTGTGACCACAGACCGTGAACCCAACTTTAGTTTATTCCCAAGTGACCTACTTCCACATAGCAGCTAATGTATCAAATAGATCGATCTGAACTTGGCCCGTAAACTCACACAAGTTAAAATGTTTATAAATTATTGATTATATATACTTATTTCACTGTTACATTCCCATTGTTACTCACTCTTAGGTGATGAAACAATAACAAATTGCATGTGAAGATTATTCTTTTAATAAATATTGCTTTAGTCACCATAAGCTGGCTGCATCTACCTGAATTGTGGGCCACATTAAATAGAATTTCTCATTTACTCCACAATTACGCACAAACACATGATCTGGGCCATGCATTGCCCATGCCTGCCTTAGTCAAACACACACACACACATAAGCTTCCACAGTTGATATTAGAATCCTACATTCAGATTTACTTGTTTTACTAACACCATACTTGTGTTCAAACAGTGTTATTCTAAATTCAGATTCGTGTTACACAAGATTAATACAGTACTCATCACAACATACACTTAGTGACAGACAGGAGTTCATGTCATCCTTTAGAGTCATACCTGCATCTATGGAGTACTGGAGGTAGACATTGTGGAGCCTGTGCGATGGGGTGGAACAGACTCCACTGCTGTGAGGACTACCTATCTGGGCAATGAAGTGAACAAACTTGGCACTGCGGGTGTCGACTGGACGGGTGAGTAGGGTGCGGGTGTTGGGGCCCTGGAAGGTGGCAGTGGGCGGCTCTTCCAAACCCCCACATCCCTCAGACAACAAGCCACCCTGGACCTGCACAAAGTGGGACAGGAACACACCAGCAGAGAACTGGTCCCTGATGAATGGCTGAAATGTGGAAAAGGAAAAGTTGCCAGCCACAATAGTGCATCAGCATTATTTACTAACCTGCTATTTAGGTTGTGAGAAATGTAGCATTGTTAAGAGGTTGGTTAAAGAGGAAGAGAAGAGCACTTCTGAAAGATATGTTACTCTTAATATCAGATATAATGAACCTTGTCAGTCAAGGCCATATCTGCTTTTTTCACCTCAATTCCTCCTACTTTTTAAATACAGTGCTGACAGAGATTCCTTTACAGTATATTTTTTCCTTGACTCAACACTCACCACATTGTCCATTGTGACGTGCTGGCAGTAAGGCCCAGCGTATCCAGGATCACAGTGGCACAGACCCTCCACACAGGACCCACGACCCAGACAGTGGTGGGGACATGCCTGCCCGATGTACACATCCCTCAGTGACCATTGGTGACGACCAGACACATCTGATGATGGTTCCTGCACCCACCGGAACCTGACATACCTGTTTACGGTGACACAAGTGATACTATTCATATGATCATAATCAAGTGTCTGGAAAAAGTAATTTAGGTGACTTTTGCTGACTAAGCAGGACAATCAAGAGCCTATGTCTAAGAATTTGGCTACTGTATTAAAACTTGGTTGGATCAATAAATCTTGAGATGTCTACTAACCTGGCTGGCTCAATATGGCTCAGAACATTGTTACAATATTAATATGGCTGGTTCTACATGTCTTAAGATGGCTGTTAACTTGGCAGGAACCAATAACTATCAACAATTAGAAATAGGTCTGTGTGTATGAATAAGGCTACTAACTTGGCCGGTCCTATATGACTGAGAGGGTAGACATATCTGTTCCACTTGAGGGGAGCGTAGAAGACAGAAGCATCAGCTATCTCAGTACAGCTGCTGTTCCCTGGCAAACACATTTCTCTCACCAAACGCCAGCTATTGCCGAAGTCCACTGAGTACTCCAATCTGGATCACAAGCAGTCAGTCAATTACTGGTGATTAAGTGAAAAAAAAGCTACATAACTGTGTCATCCTTATCCTTCTCGAATTCTGGCCTGTTGTGTAAATACCATCATCCTCTTGTGATTTTATGATGCAAATTGTGTTGTGCAAAATCATACCAGTTTGTGCTCTTTCATCACAATCTGCATCACTCAATAAGGAAATGTACCTCTGTAGATACCGAACATATTGTAAAAATAAAGGATGTAGAGTACAGTGCAACTATACACCGATAATAAATACAGCATATTACTGTATTATCTTACCAGACTTTAAGGGTTTTTTAATGGGAAAATAGCTTATACTGTATTAATTTTGTAGGCAGCTGTACTTATGACTCAGGGTTCGAACAGTTAACTGGACATATGGGCAGGTTTGTTCGTATCTCTGAAATTTCCTAAGTCAAATGTTTGTATACTGAGATGTTGAATAAACTCAGACTTGGAAATCAATGTGTGCACTGTAACTATATTAGTGCAATAAAAAAATCATAGGTAGCATGTGATTAGCATTGCAAAACTAATAAAAAATTTCCAAGGAACATTAGAACAAGTTATTACCCAAATATAAAATTTGTAACCATAAATCCTTAATCAGCATGTTGAGGGCTACCCCTAATTAGTGGATAAATGAAAAAGAAAAAAGTGTTCAAAACTATCAGGAAAACATAGTTAAGCCTTATAAGTTTTGAAAAATAATTGTTTGAGAGGACTTAATGATACTCAGGTTTAATGAACTTACATTATAGAATATGTTGTTGAGAGACTTGGCTGACTATGCAAAAATTAATTTAAGGCTTTTGATATACTATACAGTATTGGTGTTCCTGTGTTAAAGTGTTGCAATTCCACATTGGGAAAAAAGCACACACACACACACTGATAACTACATACACAGGGCTGCCCTAACATAAAATCTGATCTCACAAAAGGTATTTGTAAATGAAGTTGATTTTTCACGTTTTAACAAAATAATTGTGAGTTACTGATACTCCTGCACTGAACAATGATACAGAACTGTTGTGGGTTTACCTGACTGGTTGGGCAGTGTTGTCCCAGGTGGCTCCACAGCCCAGTGCCAAGAGGAAATTAATAGCATGGTCCGTCCCCACCTGGCGAAACCACAACACTTTAGCCATGGCACCTAATATGTGGATGTCACTAATGTCTCACATAACACCTGTGGTGTCTTATGTAACACCTGCCACATTTTAGGTAAATTATATGTGTCTTGTTACACCTCTAATCATGTCAGGAAGATCATATACCTTATTCCATATTGTATACAGTACACTGTGTTATGCACCAACAGAGTACAGGTTTTATATACTGTACAACATAATACACTGTAGAATTAATCTATCATAATCTGCTGCATTAAGTGTCATTACTCACTTATCAATATTTTACTATTTTTATACAATAGAACAAATACAAGTGAGGGAAGGTCCTGTACCTCCCTGGCAAAACCTACATTGCTTAGTTAAAGTTTATTGCATGAATAGGTCTTCTTCCCCTTGGCTGAGGACTTACCTGCAGGTCTGTGGTCTGGATGATGGCTGGCTCAGAAGGGGTTGACATCATGACATGCATAGCCAAGTGATGGTCACAGTAAGTGTCTGTAACAAATCAGTGTTTAATAAAATGACTATAAAGTACACTATGTAATATTAGCAAACATTTAAAAGCATTTTAATGATGATATAATACTTAGCAAATAGATGGTACAGAGATAAAAAGATGAGAATTAACCCTTGTTAACCAATAGAGGAAATTTCACCTCACCTTCCCGAACATTGTAGCGTCGTAGCCACAGGGGCGGAGCCAGGTGGTGTGGGTGGGTGTAGGTAAGGTTCTCTGGGGGCGTCACACTCCCACCTACCACCACTCCATCCATCGCCCAGTCGTAGCGGTTTCGTTCACCACTGTCAGGCTGCCACCACCGCACCCGTCCTCCCAGACAACGCAGGTCTTCTGGTAGTTCCAACCACACATATCTGAGGGCATCCACAAATTTATGTCCCTCATTACCTGGAATGCTAAATCTCAGTTGTCTCACTTAAGAAGAAAAAATTAAATAGGTTATATATAAGTACACTTACTGTAGTCATACACTTATAAACGTTCTGCATTATAGTATACACAAAATACTGTACAACACTTCACATCCCAGCATAAACACACAAAACTAGACAGACACAATACAACACACAAATAAAATATAACAAATTCAAAATGTAACATCTCCTTTTCAGGTTAATATTCACAAAAGCAGTAAACACCAGAACACTTACTGTGGTTGGTGATATATAAGTAGGAGCTTCCTGAGGGTAACCCATATGATACCAGCATCACAGGAGACCTGCACCAAGATACTGTGGTCCCCGCCTGCCTCCCTCCCACTCACAGGGTCTAAACAACCTGTCCGTAGGTCAAACTGCACAAAGAGTGCCTCCTGCAGGTCCAGGTCCACTGTCTCTAGGTACCTGCTACATCCCTGTAATGCAATAAAAGATCTGTACAGTATAAATAACAGAATGAAGAGATACAGTCAGGAACAATATAGAGCCACTTGGGCCTATCTTGCTGGATGAGGGAATATGTTATCCAGTTTTCTTCTTTTGTCTAATCAGTACAGAAGCTTTGACATAGAGGTGCAGTGCTATAGAGTATGCCTAAATTACTTAAACTTTCTCTCATCCTTCTTTTTGAAGTGACTGACCCCAAGGAAGTGTAGGGCCTGACCAGAGGCGATGGGTCCACAGTGTTCAGTGACCTGGCCACCCACCACCTTCCTCCAGTCTGCCATCCAGCCATCACTGCTAAAGTCTGCCACGATGTATTCTGCCAGGTGGCTCAATGGCTCCTCACAGCTCGCTCCTGCAGGAACATAGACTTACAGGTATTTGTATGTTAAAAATTGAAATATTAAAACATACATTCACTGTTATAATGCTATTAAAATTAAATCAATCAATCATGCACGGGCAATTTTAATATGTTGAATTATGTTCACAATCTATTCTTCTGAATGATTATGTACCAACACTGTTTATTGAGAAGGATTTTTGTCCATTTGTAAGATGAGATAATTTATTTATGATCCCAGTATATGGAATTGGCTCTTGGCTGCCCCACTAAAGTTCCCTGTCTCAAAATAAGAGGCTAACAGTGCAGAGAACTATCAGACCTAACTTTTTTGTAGTCTGTGCATTGCAATTTATTCCAGTACAATCTGACTTGTATTTTACCAAATCAGAACTTCTTGACCATACATGGTTTCCTTACCCAAAGCAGAATGGCAGTTATTGCTTGGCTACAGTTATACACAAGACAAAGTAAAAATAACCAAGTGACTAAGAGCAGATCAGTGACAAAGAGAATAAAAGTAAGACTTGTGAACTTATTAAAGATCTGTTCATATAAGGAACTCAATGGTTAACTTCAGACTATGCTGTGTTGAGCAAAAATCACAGTAGACAAGACAGCAGAGATGAAAGATATAATCTTCATCTCGTGTGTGTGTGTGTATGTTCCTGAGTCCTGTTGAAGTCTATGGCATTTTTCATGTGTCACCTTATGGCAGAACCAGGTGTTGAGTCTCACCCCATTCTTAAGAGTCTTACTTGTGGCCTTAAAACTTTTACCTGTCCAGCCCTTGTTGCAGTGGCAGACACCAGCATCACAGAAGCCTCTCCCCGAGCACAGTAGGTAACACTCGTCACCCACATACACATGTGACAGTGACCACGAGTGTTGTTGTCTCCACCCATCACGCTGTATGAACCGCACCCGTGTCAACTCAGACCTGGGATACAGTGATGTGGAGATACAGTCCAGGGATTTAGTGATCATAATTGTTGCTGCCTTGGGAGACAGTACAGAGAACACAGAGATACAGAGATACAATAAAAAGGACACATTAATGAATCATATAGTCTCAGGATACAGTTCTCTTCTCAATCAAGTGATACAGAGATACAGCTATGAAACAGTTGAGCTGAAGTATCTCACTGACATAAAGTAATCTACACAAGTGACCTCTAGTAATAGACAAACTGATTCTTTGACCCTATACTAAAAGAAACAGCGAGACGTACTTGATCCTTATACCCGATAAAATAACCCAGAGAATGATGATACTGAACTTCCTAACCGTTCATAATGGCTAAACTGATTTTCTTGAAACCATAACAAAACGAATTCTGAACTACATAACCCTTTACAACAGGTGATATGATTCTTTAACTCCAATAAACTGAGGAAAGTTGACTCACCTGACCCTGTGTGGGGCACGGAACATGACCTGGGATGGGTCAGTGTAGAGGTCAGAAGTGAGGGTGGAGGAGGGCCAGTATTCAGTACAGTCTGGGTCGGAGGGGATGCAAGAGTCTCTGATAGGCCACCATGACCCCCCCTGGTCAATGGAGTACTCTACCTCCACCTCTGTTGGGGTAATGTAACTTTTATATCTTACTCTCTCTCTCTCTCTCTCTCTCTCTCTCTCTCTCTCTCTCTTCTTCTAATCGTCTTTTTTCTTTCTCTCATATTTCTCTCTTTCTTCTAATCATCTTTTTTTCTTTCTCTCTTCCTCTTTCTTTCATATTTCTCTCCCTGTCTTCTAATCATCTTTCATTAATCTTTCTTTCTCTTTCTTTCCTTCTTTTATATTTTTCTTTCTCTCTTTCTTCTAATTATCTTTCTTTCATATTTCTCTCTTTTCCTCTACCCCTCTTTCTCTACTCCTACTCTACAGTAAAGAGAGACAGAACGCACAGATGAGCAAATTAAAGAACAATGTGAACAGAGGCATAACACGGATGAACATATTAAAAAATACAATGTGAACACAGGCAGAACACGGATGAACAAATAAAAGAACAATGTGAACAGAGGCAGAACACGGATGAACAAATTAAAGAACGAAGAACACATATTAGGGTAGGACTTACTGAAGCAGACTCCGGTATCCTTACAGCCCAGAGAGACGGTGAACTGGATGAAGCTGTGTTCCGTCATAACAATGTCTGGCGTCTCGGCAAACCTATAGCCATCGCGACCTGTCCCACCATCACACCGTCTCTTATTAATAATTCCTTTTAATCCATTAATCTATCTCCTATGACCACTGTTATAGGTATTATTAATGTCATTACAGTACAGTACAGTACTCAGAAATAACAACAATGCTAATATTACTGCTTTTACTAACAATAATATAGTGATTTTATTTTGGCCTTTCATGTCTTTTACTGCTATAATGTTACCCTGGGCTTTTGAGGGAAATTTAATACAAGGTGCACCTCCCTCCCCCCACTCTCCTATACTGTACTGAGGGGCTGGTTTGTCTAGTTCTGAGTAGGAGATCCATTTTTTATCATGATTAGTGATAACAGTGTTAATATCATAATAATAATAATAATAATAATAATAATACAGTTATCATAATACTGTAATAATAATAATAATAATAATAATAATAATAATAATAATAATAATATTTTTTGAAAACATAAAATTCTCCTCTCAGCTTCTGTTGGTTGCCTTTAATATCTTTTAGTTCCTGTAAACCTTCATGACCTCAGTATAAAGATTAGACAGAATGGTTAAAAGGTTCACTTACTTGTAAAGTGTAGAGAATTGTGGACCTGACCACACACAGGTTCCATGACTGAGCCAGGTCTGAGTAGCCACCCAGCTCCTGTGTCTATATCAGTGAAGGCTGGGATGCCCAACACAGAACTGCCTACATGAATCTGAACACACACAAACACACCAGTTATTAGTGGCCTCATTACTATAATTTATCAGTTTTATTTTTCAGTCTTTATTATTTTCTCCTTATGTCTTAAGGTCTTCACATTCCTCAATATAATTCAAGTAATTGTAGACAAATCAAAAACTGGCTTTGTGTACATTTGTCCACATACCCATATAGGTGAGAGAGTCATACCTGGTCTATGGCCCACTGAGAGGTGAAGGTGCCGTCTTTAGAAGGCTGCCACCAGCGGAGACGTGTTGCATTGGACTTAGCGGTATCTGTAAGTAAAATAGGCAGGATTTAGCTGTATCTGTACAGTATTATGTAAGATTGGTGGTCACAACAAATTGCACTGTGGAGAAGAGAGAGAGAGAGAGAGAGAGAGAACAGATTATGGTCACAGGCTAAAGTAAGAGAACCAGTTTCTTGTGGTGGTCCTGGAAACCTAACAGTAATTCACCTCTGCTAGTGTAAACAAGGTCGATGTACTGTGAGAGCTTGACATACCTGGGAGAGGCAGAGTGTGATGCTGGGTGTGAGGCTTGGACCCTGGGGGACCAGACTCAGGGCTCAACTCAGCTAAAAGGGTCCAGGAGATGCCCCCATCGCTAGAGTACTGGAGGAGTACGGGTCCATCCCTAAGTACTGCGTCCTCTATTGTACACCCGAAGCGAATGTAGAACTGTACCACGCTGGGAGAACCACACAAATACTATGAAGATACTGACATGACAAATATTTTCACTATTAAATGTAAATCCTCAATCTACAGTACCTCTATTTCTAAATCCTGTTCATGTCTTCAGTTTCTAATTAAATCTATTACGTTCATGTCTTCAATCTCTAATTCAACCCTGAAGTAATTTATTCCAACTTTACCATCCTATCACTGTCTTTATTTTTCCTAAGTTCATCATCAAAGATTTTCAACACTACCCTAAACCGGTTTATTTCAACTGAATCATCCTCGCTGCCTTTATGTCAAAACTAAATCCTTTATCCTTTCACAATAATCAAATAATTCTCTTAAATTTCACAGAGACCAATGTTTACCATAAGGAAGAGTTAAAATATTATCCTGCTTACCATTATAGGGGTCTAAACCTGCTCACTTACTATGGGTGAGGTCAAGATCTACCTACCTGCCAAGGGAGAGGTGAAGATCTACCTACCTGCCATGGGGGAGGTCAAGATCTACCTACCTGCCATGGGGGAGGTCAAGATCTACCTACCTGCCATGGGAGAGGTCAAGATCTACCTACCTGCCATGGGGGAGGTCAAGATCTACCTACCTGCCATGGGGGAGGTCAAGATCTACCTACCTGCCAAGGGAGAGGTGAAGATCTACCTACCTGCCATGGGGGAGGTCAAGATCTACCTACCTGCCATGGGGGAGGTCAAGATCTACCTACCTGCCAAGGGAGAGGTCAAGATCTACCTACCTGCCATGGGAGAGGTCAAGATCTACCTACCTGCCATGGGGGAGGTCAAGATCTACCTACCTGCCATGGGGGAGGTCAAGATCTACCTACCTGCCATGGGAGAGGTCAAGATCTACCTACCTGCCATGGGAGAGGTCAAGATCTACCTACCTGCCATGGGAGAGGTCAAGATCAGCTGTGACCAACATCCTTTCACCTTGCTGGGAGAAGACTAGGGCCTCCCCGGTCACCACCCCACAGAACCTCGACACCTCTGCCCCAGACCACTTGATAAACTGCTTACCTGGGACTCCCTCTGTTGGTCAGTGTCAAGTTAATCACAGGTAAGAGATTCTGTTTGTTTTTATCCATTGCATTTTTAAGGCATCACCTTTATGATACTTTGGAATTATTGTCTCTGTGCTGTATATTGCAAAATTTGGCTTTCAATTCATATTTCTTATTAAACTTTCTAATATTAAAATGGATAGCCTTGTAGTCATTATAAAGGGCAATGACTTAAGACAAATTCTTTAAAAGACAAAAAAGAAATTACAACATGAATGTTAAAATGAAGGTACTGTGTACATTATTGGAATGCTAAAATATTAAAATGGTGAAATTATATAGATTTTTTGAAAATTTGGATAAATCCTGAATAAAAACTTAAATAAAATCATAAAAACATACAATGATAAAATGAAACAGAATAAAACATAAACCACAAACACTGAATGAAAAAATAAAACAATTCAGCATCACAGAGGATCAACGGGAAGGCACCACTAACTCTCAAAGTCTTCACGAAGCGTCTGTTGATTTTCTTTTGTAAGTCGACAAGACTCATCACCATCGTAGCCGTCATCACACACACAGTGGACACCATTGAGGCAGTAGCCATGGCCGCCACAGTGGTGGACACACGCTGGGCCAATGTACACGTTGTCCACACCCCAGGTGGCTGATGACTCGCGAGCACGGTAGTAACCTTGCCACCACCGGAACCTTGCTACCCTGTAATGAGGCAGTACAGTTAGATGAATTATAATTCAATAATACAATTCATAATATACTGTAGTGGATACTGATGAAACATTATTATAATTAGGGATTAAATTATAACATCCAGCAGGGTATTACTGTACTTTCTTGGATCTCAGCCTTTGGGACTTCTAAGTTTATACTTAAGTCCTTAACTACTGTACAGTACTGTCAGTTTTCATGTTTTGTTCACACGACAAGTTAAAGTTCACAAAAAGCAGCAAAGATCAATTAGAAAATGTATCTTTTTTCAACTAACTGTTGGTAGAATACAATCTCAGTTCTCAGAAAATAGCCCCCACTGTTCTCATCAGATATAACAGGTCAATATGGTACAAAAACAACATATAGTACGACGCAATGAGGTAAAGCGCTGCACAGTTTATAAAGCTCAAGATAGTAATTACAGTAGTTTACAGACAGTGTGAAGCCACTAAGGTGACAAAGGTCTGGACTTACCCACAAATCCGGAGACCTTTGAGAGGGACGACCACCCTGGTCCACTGACGTTCACTGTTCGGGTAGAAGATGGTGGGCGTCCGTAGCTCATGAAGGCAGTCTGGACTAGAGGACGGGAGGGTGGGCAGTGGCCGTAGTGTCTGCCATGTCGCTCCGTAGTCACTACTGTACTGCAGACTCACATTGTGCTCCCTGCCCGTCACCTCCCCGCACCCTACCTTAAGCTGGAGATCAGATGTTAAGTTGCAATCTATTTCCTTTAATACTGTATTGTCAACAACAGCCAGAAATACCAAGGAGAGTAATAATACAATTAACAGGATTGATAAGTAAAGTTTTAAGGTCTCAGTTCAGTAGTTTTTTAAATTTCCACTCTGTCTTGAGCTGAACCCCATACCAAAAGTTAATGATGCAAGATAATATATACAGTACAGTAAACCCTCCCAATGCTGGAAGAATTTATCCAAGCCCTGTCTGTTACTGTTATTTAAAAAAAAAAATTAAGATTTCATAATTATTCTAAAAGACTTAGAAAAATTTTAATACTAAGTCATAGTAAAATCCTATATGACTGATGTAATAATTAAAGTGATCAACTAAAAAGAAAATATGAGAAAGGTACAAGAACTTACATCAAACTGTATGACAGAGTTACTATCAACATGAAGGTCTCGGGTGTAGAGGGCATGCTGGCCCTCCTGGACGTCAAACACCAGCCTGGTGTCTGAATCATGCCTGTCCACCACAAAACAATCCAATGTAATATTACATAGTATACAATAGTACTGTACAATAAATATAATAAAATACATGACAATCTGATGTGAAGACTCAAGTAAGAGCTGATGGAACCTACAGGACAACAATTGAGAAAGAATGGAAAATTGGCTTTGCTTTAATACAGAGTATTGCCAGATTCATGAGACTACATAATGCACATTATTTTTTGTCTCTCTTCTTTTCTTCCGTTTATTCTAAGGCACGAGAATTTAACCCCAGCATCACACGAGCACACACGGCCATCATAAACTTACTTCTCACACGTGTAGCCAGTTTCACCTGCAGGCCAGTCAATCCAAGCATCAGCCATAGGGGAGAGCTTGTTGAAGTCATCATAGAGTACATTGGGCCAGATGGGCATCCCACCAATGAACATGTTGTCTATAGCCCAAGTGTGGGTCATAGTGCCACCATGGTGAGGCTGCCATACCCTGAACCTAGTGGCATTAGTGAGGGACATGGGGAAGTCCACTAAGGCGATGGATACAAACACTGGGTCTGGGTGTGTCATGTAGTGCATCTCCTGGTGGGGAATAATGGCTGCATTTAGTATTTATGGATCTCATTGCCTCTCTGTCTGTCTCTCTCTCTGTATTCATCTTCTCTGAATGCCAATCTTGCACCCTCTCTTATCTATTTATTTCATCTATCATTCTCTCTCTATGTTTGTTACCTTCTACTACCCTCTTTCTTCTCTGTTATTCTCTTTTCTACCTCCCACTATTCTCCTTCTTCCCTTCCTCCCTCTCTTACCTTCAGAAGCCTCCAGGTTATTCCTCCATTAGTGGAGTACTGGACCAGTATGCCATATTTCCTGGAGGGTTGTTCTTCCACCAGCAGGGGCCCAACACTCTCCAGGGCTGTCACACTCCTCTTTCCACGCCCCCCTGATGCCTTGTCACAGCCCAGACGGATGTGGAACTGCAGGAACTGACCCGCTGTCATGTCCAGGTCAATGGTGGTAGCCATCCTCAACCCATCCTGCAGGAGAGAAGACAAAATAATACACAGCAATAAAATATGAAAGACAAAATTAGTTCCACAAACACACTGTACAGTATACTGAGCCTTTGGTACATAGGAGGCAGCAGGCTGGTACCCATTTGCAGCTGGGTGAACTGAGTGCCCCAAGATTGAACCAGAAACCAATAGGACTGTAGGCAAGTTCAATATCCGCTCAGCATTAAAATACAGTACAATACAGTAGCATACAATACAGTACTTGTCATCCTCAGCCCATCTGGCATGAGAGAAGGCACTATACAAAATAACAGAATAGTGTAAAACATAAAACATTAACTTCTTAATAAGATACTCTCTAAATCCTACAGCAAGCATGACAATACAATACTGAAAGAATTATATAATATCATGCAATATAACAGGACAAAATAACCCAGACATTATACAATAAGATAAAACATATTACAGTCATCCCTTGGTTATAGCGCACTTGGTTATCGCGATTTTCGTTATCACGCCTCCATCAAAATCTGCACACCTGCTGTTATAGCGCATTTTTCAAGCCGAGAATTTCGTTATCACACAGTTGCCTCCAGGTGTTTTTACCCATTTGCTTCACCTACATCTATTGAGGATAAAATCTTTCACCTACAAATTGACAATAACACATTTGCTGTAATCAGACATATCTAAGTTGCCTCAACAATTGCAACCCCAGTTGCAATTTCAAATTCTGTCATTACTAAGGAAAAACGAAGTCTCAGGTGCACTCTAAGATTGAGAGAAAACAGAGGACTCGGGCGTCCTGAAGCAATGAAAAAACGGACTCCTCAGACGGGGGACTCAAATAAAGAAAGCATAGCTACATGTTTTGTGGACTACAGTATTGAGCGTACCCTTTTCATCACTTTGTAATAAACCTAGCCATGCCTATGTGTTTTTCTGATACTTACCATAACATTATCTATATATTTAGTGGGTCTAAATCAGTAGTGTCAAACTCAATACTTTTCGAGGGCCAATTCTTATTTTAGTTACCTTCTTCAGGGCCAACACAAGTGCTATATCACATATTTGTAGGATTGAAGTATACAGCTTCACACATTGCCTTACCTGGCTTTACAGGAATACCTCATTTGGGTTTGTCTGATCTTAAGTATGTAAAATTAATTTTACTAAATAAACATGATTATGTCTACAGTATTTCTTTCATATTTTCACGGGATGATTAATTTTACGGTCATCCCGGGGCCACACCTGACCATCCCAAGGGCCACATTTGGCCTGCGGGCCATGAGTTTAATACCCCTGGTCTAAATGGTCATAAAATGGGAAAATTGGGGTTGGGTCTTGGGTGCCTGGAACCAATTAGAATAAATCCCATAGGTTCTGTACTTCCGTTATCGCGTTTTTCGTTATCATGCACTCGGCGCGGTCCCAATTAGGAGTGATAACCAAGGGATGACTGTACCATCAGCACCTTCTGCTGGGTGTGATGAAATACAATTGTAAAAAAATACTGCATGTAGTCTAAATTGTGATCCTATACAAAACAATATACTGCATAATAGTACAATAGGATAAAATGTAATACTGTACAGTATGTATGTATATTATGTATGTTGTATGTATACCATGTACGTACTCTATATATACACATTATTTCTCTAGTCAGTAGCGTGTGGCAATGCCCCTGTTTCATGTCACCACACGCTTAGATAAATGTGCCTGGCGACATCTGGAAGCTGCTAGTATACCACTTACCACATGTCGCCTGAGAGGTCAGAGTGAGGTCAGTTGACCCTATAGGAGTGTAAGGACTACCCGCGCTTGTGAGCGCACCATTGTATATTTCCGTTAATAAGAACCTACAGAACTCTACAGGTGTTTATGTTCGCCCCTGTAGTTAGAACCAAGTACCCTGAGCATCTCTACAGTACACCTTATTAGCTGAGTTTATTTTGGAAAGAAAAAGAAGTTGAGCTTGCCTGAACAAAAGTAAATAAGTTTATCTTATAAAGAAAGAGGGAACTGGGTTTAAAATAGAAGTCTGGTTTACTTTGAAAGTTGTATAATTTCCTAAAAATAAGTGAAAGTAGAAAACAAAAGGAGTTGAGTTTACTTCGAAAAATAAGAGAAATTGGCAATAAGGAAACAGAGTATAGTACAGTATTGGTTTATTAAAAAAAATGAGTTGCTGAGAATGCCATTAAGGAAAACAGAGAGTAGGTTATACCTTGAAGAAGACTAGAGCAGTGTCGGAGACGAGGACCCCACACCTCTTGGTGACCTCAGAGCCGTGGGAGTGTCGCCAGAGTGAGGGCTGCAGGTCTGGCTGGCTGAAGGTGTCCAGTAGCTCACAGGGAAGGACCTCTGCTGGCACACAGTAAGGTCCAAAGTAACCCTCATCACACCTGTCAATGTTACAGTGGTGCAGTGGTACAGGGATAAGGGTGCAGGTACATAAAAGGGTACAGATATACAGGTACAGAAATTGACATAATTATACAGTGGTATGGATCAGACAATGGTAAAGTAACCCAACCTTATATAGTATATTGGTATATTCCTGCTGTTAGATAATGGTGCAGTACTACAGTTACTGGACTCACCGGCAGCTGTTGTTGTAGCAGTAGCCATGACCGGAGCACATCCAGGGACAGGCGTCACCCACGAAGAGGTTATCAATGGCCCAGGAATCACCCCTTGATGTTCCTCCTCTTCCTCTACCTCCTCCCTTGCCTGCCACATCCTCTGGTGCCTCCACCACCCGCAGCCGTGTACTCTCACCTCTGGAACAAACACAGAGTAAAACTTGATGAAGCAGTAGAACACAGGAGCACAGTTCCTTATGGAAGGTGAAGGTAAACAAGAGTACAGTATATCAGGAACAGGAGAGTCTGACTAACCTTCATGTGACTTATCAGCACCTGCCATCTCAACTCTTGGTACAGTCAAAAGACATAACACAACAAAAGGTCCTTACACAGTAATCTTAGGTAAAGTGGTGGTGACCCGGGTCCAGCCAGGGGTGACGGCGGCAGTGTAGGTGGTGGGCAGGTGGAAGGCATCACACTCTACCTGGGGAGGGGCACACAGCTGGTGCACCAACTTCCACGTCTTGCCATGGTCGGTGGAGTACTGGAGCTCCACCTTAGTAGATGGTGATACTCCTTCTTCACTACAGCCAACCTTGATGTCAAATTGGATCATCGTTGACTCAGAGGCCTGGAGGTCCCATGTCTCTGCATATTTAGGCACTGAGGGAAGAATGAATATATTAAAGGTAACAGATAATCAAATCGGTGATAAATTTAAAGATTTGTATTGGCCACAATCCATTAGTTTGTGTTTATTGGTAAAATTGGTTATATTATTTCACTCCCAATATGTCTTAACTACTGAACTATCTGTCAATCTTTGTTTGATTATATATCTATCGATCAAATCATTTACTTATCTATCTCAAGGAACAGCAACAACAGTACCTTGAGGACCAGAGAAGAGGAGGACCTCATCATCTCTGCCACAGCCTGGAGTGAGGGAGGCCCCGGACTTGAGGAACCAGGGGGAGGCAATCGACCTGTTACCATCAAAAGCATCAAACAAGGTGAGAGGCAGCGTCTCATTGGCCAACACCATCACGTTGTCCAGATGCCACTCAGCCCGCTCCTCTGGAACATAAAAAGCACTAGTGAGGGTGGCAGTCATATACTTACATTATACACACACATTTGAACGTGTAAACATGTACATACATAAGCACAAATAATTGCATCACCACACATTGATCAGACTCACCCTGGGACGGGTCATCCCCCAACAACATGTCATTGTAGCCTTGCCACCAGCGGAAACGAGTCTGTCGTGTGCGGGCCTTCGTGGGCAGCGGGATGAAGAAAGCCTCCTTCCTTGAGGGATGAAAAACAACATGGATCTTCATAAGTGACTGAGATTTGTAGCTTATCGACCATAATGATATGAGCACACAACAAATGCCTGAAGGAGATTGGTGTGAAATTTCTCTTGCATCATAATATTGAAAAGATTGAGTCAAAAAGACGTGAAATATATTTTGGGGGATTTAAAGCATTAAACATTCTTCTCATCAAGAACAATTTGTGTAGAATAAGACTTAGATCCTTACTGCAGCCACCACAGTTAGGTGTGTCACATCACCTTGACTTAAACTGCTGTAGGAGGGACCAAGTCTAGGCACAGTGTGTGTGGGTGCTGGAGGAAGATGTTGAAGAGGGAAAGTGAAACAATAAGAAGAAAAAGGGACATTATATAAAGTACTGTACCTGTTAGTGGTCTGGGTTGGCTCAAACTGCTGCAAGGCTGACCAAGTCTGGGCATTGTCGGTGGAATACTGGAGAAGGACATTGTCCTGAGGGACCTGACCCAGCTGGCAGCGGCCCCCAGCCCCTTCAGACGACCCGATCTGCAGGTTGAATACCAGGTACCTGCAACACAGGTCATGTTAGTGCCATTCTCTTCTTCTATCTACCTCTATATATCAGCAATGCCTGAGTAATGGTATTATTTGTACAACAATTAAAAAGCTCCCTTATTTCTATGCATCTTCAAACCTGGTTACCTTGTTATTGCTTGTACAGAAGTCTAAATACTTGTAACATTCTCCATAGTTTATATAATTTTGAACTTTCCATATCTGTAACATATACAAACATCAACAGACTTTGTTCACCTCTGTTATTCCATGTATAAAATCAACAGTGTCAATATATATTAAGAATGTGTCAACCAGTCAAAGATTATTACTTGATGTATCTGGTATCCAAGGGTTTGGTGGTAGCAAAGCGGGGTCCAGCAGCAGAGAAGAGGAGAGCATTGCCAGTATGGTGAGGACCACAGCCCAGTGAAACAGCCCCTCCCTCTATCCGACCCCACATGGAGGACACATTACCCTCGTTGAAGTTGTCGTGCATCCACTGAAGATTCTTCCTAGGGAGCCTCCCACAGTAAGTCCCTGGAGGTGCAGGTAAACAAAGGTGAGCACCATCACTTGAGCTGACATAACCACCTGGCCACCTTGCTCTCAAGTATAGATTAGATGTTCAAGTTCATAGTCAGACAGTGTGAGAGATACAAGGAGTTTTGAACATCAGTTTCATTTTATTCAAGTGAGATCAGAAACCCTCAGATCAGGGAGAAATAGTATATCAAAATTTCTGTATAATCTGAACTTCAAACTCACTGACAATAATTTAAGACTCAAAAGCAAAATCTTGTGTTCAAGTGACTCAAGCATAGCAATGTGTGTGTGTGTGTGGATGTGTGTGTGTGTGTGTGTAATTATGCTAATTTCAAATGTTTTATTGTCAACAGATGAGACTTACCATTATAGCCTTTATCACACTTGCACAAGCCTGCTGCAGTGCAGATGCCATGTCCATGGCAGGCATATGGGCAGGGTGGCCCTATGTACAGTTCTCGCAGGGCAAACTCTCCTGTCGTAGTCTCCCCGGGGTTGGCCTGCACCCACCGCAGCTGTACTGATCTGTGATACAAACAATCTTAATGGACTATGGTACATATTTACTTACAGTGCAAACCTGTACTACTGTACACATGTATACATACACTTTTTTGATACAGTCATGATGCACAAATGCACATACTGTACAGTATTCTCCAGCAGTCTGCATCAAAACAGTCTTTCATTCACTCACCCCTGGGCCAGCCTGTGGTCTACAGGAATGAGAATACGGGCCCATGGTCCATGGTGGTCAGGGCGGTACACACTTGGCTCCCTGGGCCCCTGACAATGTAGGGCTGATGAGGGACACCCATCATCCACCAGGGCCCATGTCACACCCCCATCCTTGGAATACTGAAGGAGCACTGGATGTCCACCTCCCCCCTCCTTCAGCACTGTCTCGCTACATCCTACGCTAATCTGAGGGAAGTGATGATGTTTTAGAGGTTGTGCTACAGTCATCATGTTACTTACAACTACTAAACATCATCACCTTCTGATCAGCATGGGGGTAACAAGATAACTATTTGAGGTTTATTCACACACACATAATACTTATGCTAAAATATACAACTTGTAAGATTTTTACAATATTCAAACAAATCTGTAGCTACTCAATCATTCTGCCAATAAGACATCCATAATTTCATAATAAAGATGTATCTCTCATTATGAAGCCATGTAAACCGTTATTCAAATGTACAGAGTTATCAAGTCATATGAATAGTATTTAGTACATATTGTTTATACAGGAATACACCTACAATTGCCTTATATTGTAGCCATTTAGAAATCGAAATTACCTATAAAAAATATGTTGTGTATCCAGAATGTGTAATAAAATACTCACACAGTTCAACTTACTCCTCAGAAGACAAAGTAGAATCTAAAACTATTAATCTCTTCAGTAAACAATCCCTCACCTCCTCCATCCCTCAACTTAATGGCTGATGATCCAATTTAATTTTTGTTTTGTTTCTACTGTTATTTCTAATGACAGTTTGCTAATAGACTCCAATCCTCATCCCCCATCCTTTACAACCCAGTCAGAATAATACTGTACATCATTCCTTATCACAACACCTTTACTCTGTGCAATTCACCTTTAGTCTAACTTCATCATCGTTCACCGACTTCATTTCTTATTCTTTTCAATTATGTAATTTCCTTCTTACTCATTCTCTTTACTCACCTAAGGCCTAAAGCTCTCTAAGTGCAGGTTATGCACCAACTCTTACTGTACAACTTAACATGTACTCATGCCCTCTCTTCCATGGTGTATTAGGCAAGATTACCTTGACTGTAGGCCACTTACCAGTTACAAGGCCCTTCATAATGTAGAATAAAATTATTACTGTCCTACTGCACAACAAGATGGGGACTAGTACCTAATGCTCCTTCAGGGTGAGCAACACAGACAGACAAAAGACAGTGAGAGAGAAGGTTACAGAGAAAGACAGACGGATGATTATATACATATTACTCTACCTGGAAGGAGATGACATCCCCCTGGGAGAGAGACAGGGGGTTGGTGACAGCCTGACGTACAGGTTCAGTGCCGTCCATAACCTGGGCTGTGTCGTCCTCGTTGCAGTACTGGGTATGGTGGTTACTGGTCACACTCAGCCACGGTGATGCCATCGCTGAGTTTGGCTGAATGAGGAATACAAACTGATATTACTTGTGTTTCTTAAGCCTTAACACAACACCAGCAGTAGTGGTCAACATCCTCTACTAAGCTTACAAAATCTATGTTGAGAAAACAGGAACTGGAAGACTAAAATTATAAAAATAAAACGAAAAAAAAAAAGGAATAAACAGACTTTAATATAATTAATTTTCCTTTTTTTAATGGTTTAAAAATTTTTATATGGAAAATAGGAACATGCAGACCACTGTGTAAATACAAAAAGAAAATAAATACTTTACAGTATAGTATACGGAACAATGAAACAAGGAAACAGTATCTAAACAAAAATGTATAAACACAAACAGAACCCAAATTAGGACTGACTGAGAAATCTGCCTGGATGGAGTTCATTTGTACACCTGGGCTGATCCTCAGGTCGTCCAGCGCCCACTGGTTCTTCTCACTGTGGGTCGGCTGCCACAGTCTAAACCTCACCACCCCAGAATCACTCTCCACAACCTCCTTCTCCAGCTTGGCACGGAATAACCTGCAATATTATCATTAATAACAGGACTATTACCAAATACTGTACGTACAACCTGTAGTAACATTCAACTGAACACAAAATAACTCTTCAGGTAACCACAAGCGGCCACATTATTTCAATGATGTCATAGATGCTCTCCACAAACTATATTCACAGGTGATCGCCACTAAGGACCATCTCTATATCCTTGTGGGCTCACCAACACTTGACACATGTATTGACGAGTTCTGCTTATTTTTAAATGCAGACTATATAGATTCTGGAGCAATCAGATGACCGAGTCTGATAGTGTGACACTCAATTAAGATGTTAAGATGTAAAGTAAGTTCCTGTTCTCTAAACATCATGGCATCAATACAGGAGTCCTTACCTTACTATAGCTTCACCTACTGTTGATAAACTAGGGAACATATACTGTACAGTATGTATAATGAAGCCCATGGTTCACAACTAACCCATAACCTGGTAAAGTTGCTCACCCTCTCGCTCCCCCACATTTTGCTACCAAGCTTTAATATGCTGTCGTCCCTGGTGAGTGCTACGATTGTATTTATGTTATATTTATTACTGCATATTCATTCATGATTGAGTTTAGACCTAAATAATTTCTGCCCGGAACAAATATCCATTTATGTCATGGGAGTGTTAGGAAAACATGCTTCATTTGATGTAGTTTCAATAAACATAACACTTTTATGGGATACATTTACTGCACTATGCTGTACAGTACTTCAACAATAATGATAACAATAAAGTAGATCAACATCTGTGTGGACATCAACAATCAATAATAAATGGGGTATATTATACATGATTGAGGACTGACCTGGGCATCCTGTACTGTGAGGGAAGGAGCTCCTGCAGGAGGGACCAGGTGATGCCACCATCAGTGGAGTATTCAAGGACGACACTACCAGCACTTAGGGTCTTCTCCTGATCAGCGGGGACACAACCGCTCCCAACGCCGCTCCCCACCACTAGTGTGAACTGGATGCTCTCCAGGTCCTCCGCATTCAAGTCATCGCTCTCCCACTGACGTACACCGGGCTGCAACACCAACACCTCATAAATTACCAAGTGTAATAAGTGAAAGGGAAAATATAAATATCTGTCCCACACTATAACTGTCAGTATATTTATCTATATCTATCTACTTATAGTCTCTTAAACTGAACAATAACAAACTTCTGATATCAGAACTTGAAACAGATATCAATGCAACTCACAGCACCGAAGTACAAGCTCCTGCCGCTCACGATGTTACCACAGCCGTCATCCTGCGTCACTAGGGAGCCACCTGTAACCTGGAAGCTGTACTTGGCTATGTCATCACCGTCATCAAAGGTGGCATCAATCTGGTGGTGGAGCTTGTGGAGGGGGAGACACTTGTGGCCATGGAAGTTGTCATCACAGCTGTTGGAGTGAAGGTGGATGTGTGTGGTGTCAGTGGAGGTATGGAGAGAGGGAAAAATTATTCTACATGGAAACACTATTTTTTGCTATTCAGTTATGATAGTACAGTAGGTAGTTACAACATGTGTAAGTGTGTAAGATTTTTTCAACTGGTATGCAAAGATGTCCTGAGAATTACAGCAATTATTCAGACAAGCAAATTAATTTGATTCTCTGATATACTCAAGTCCTGTACAGACAGTGTTGGTGTAGAGACAAGGTTGGTGTACAGACCTACAACCCTCAAGTGTACAGTGGCCGTGACCAGAACACAAGCCTGGACACTGTCTGCCAATGTACAGGTTGTCCACTGCCCACGACTCCCCCACTTCACTCTCCTCTGTCTGGCGAAGCCGTAGTCTCGTTGTTGGTGACCTGTGTGTGCATTGAAGAGCCAAGTAAGCAGACATTCACTGTTAAATATGTACAGTACATACTCCAGGGACCTGATGAGAGTGTCATGGCTTAAAGAAATAGCCCCTGAACTGTCATGATTGTGATATTATGTACAATGATTATGTTGACTAGTAACACAAACTCATATAATCTATTAAGACATAATTGTAACAAATAATCAAGGTGGAACAAAACAATAAATCAGAAAACTTGTGAAGAAGTAAATGCTTAAAATATGCTTGATTTTTAATTGACCAGAAGGAAAGGGAGCTTCCCATTTTTTTTATATATCTTTTACCTATCTTTCCCTTACTCTTTCCTTTCTCTCTCTATCTCTTTCCACCATCTCTCTCTCTCTCTCTCTCTCTCTCTCTCTCTCTCTTTCTATCTCTTTCCTCCATCTTTCTCTCTCTTCTCTGTATACTACTCACATGGTCACCAGTGTTACAAAATGACTCCTAACATTACCAGGTGTGTTGAGGCAACCTGAGTGTCACTCTCTTCCAATGGTTGAACTCCGAGGAGTGGTAAACAGTGCCGCGGGTGAAGTGCGACTGACATCCGGGGGTGGAGGGTGAGCATGGCCTGTGAACCAGCTGCCAGGTGATCCCATGGTTCACTGAGTATTCCAGCACCACCTGGACACATGGAGAAAGGTTTAATACACCACCTGTGGCATCTACATCACTATATGACATCGTTTAGTGGACCATCTGGGGCATCTATACACACACACACACACACACACACACACACACACACAGTACTATAGAGTACTCCAGCCTCACCTGGGGATGCAGGGAAACATATAGAACACAATCAAGGAAGGCTACACAAACACATCAGTTATATTCAGAAATTATCCAGATTTGAAGACCTTTTCACTTAGTTGGACACTTTGTAGTCACATATTATGTTAAAACCACAGCCAGTCAGCATACCTTGTTGAGGGATTCTTCCTGTTGCTGTTGTGTGTCTCCACAGGCAATGGCCAGGTCAAACTGGATCATGTAGGAGGGGCCAACACCTATGGACTTTGTCTCCACAAAGCGGGAAGTGCCACTGGCAATGATGTCCCAGAAGACCAGGGCAGAGTCGTGGCCACAGATGTCCTCACCCATCTCCCCAAGGTGGAACCTAACTCAGCAGCACAATGGTGGAAAAAAATCCAAATTTCCCTTATTTCCTGGTTTTAGTGTCAATTTTTTTTTGTCTCAGAGCTGAAAATTAACTTGAAAAACATGCTTGAGATTAACTGGTTGACAGATCATCTTACATATTAGGTGTTGTATTAATACTATAACATCTGTCAGTGGGTACATTTAATACAGTATTGTTTAGAGTCAGATAATCAGAACTAATAATATAAACAATCCTATGCAAGTACAAATAAACTCTAAATATTTTTGTCAACAGCATCAAACAGAATCTGGCTCAGTGAATAAACCTCGTGATCAGAAACAAACACACACACACACACACACCTGAGGGAGTTATTGGTAGCAGCTGGATCACTGAAGTCAAGCTGGATGCTGTTGAAGATCTTGGAGGTGACTGTGAGATCATCGAGGGCCCAGATGTCCCGTCCCGCTCCTGAGTGTCTTTCCTGCCACACCTTGAACCTACAGCCAGAGCCCCGCGCCCCACCTCCCAGCTCCAGCGAGATGTGGCTAAAGAGGGGAGGAAACAAGTCACATTAAGAGGCTGTGTTATGGTTGTGCTCTTTGTTTACACTGCTATACTCTGTCCCTGATGAGGATAGATATATAAACTTTTATCTCTCTGTTGTTTATCTGTTTCATTTTTATTCATTCTATGTATTACTCTCTCTTTCTTTGTCTGTCTATCTCTCTCTGTCTTCTATTGTCTCTCATTTTCTCTTCCTCTCATTTTCTCTCCCTCCCCTCTCTCTCTTTCTCTATCTCCCTCTCAAGTGTGTGGGGAGGAGGAAGAACTGCATCACCTACCTTGGTTCCTTGTGGTGCCTGGCGTGGAGGGTGTGGAGGAGGTGCCACGTCACTCCACCATCGCAGGAGTAGTGGACATACACGCTCTCGCTGTCCTCATCTGGGCCTGGACACTTACCTACCTGTGTCATGACATGTCCAAAAGAAGTTGATTAAACATGTGTCAGAGTGTGAGACATTTACATATGTGTCATGGCATCATAACATGGCCAAACTTGCTTTATATGTGATATAGAAAGTTCAAATGAGTTTTTTAATTTGTATCATAACAAATTAAAACTAGTTTAGAGGATCACACAAAGAAACATAACAGTAACTGCAATTTCAAGACAAATCATTGAGAGAATTCAGAAGATGAGATTCAGATTTTGTTGAGTTAGGAGAGGTGGAGTAGGTTAAATTCCAGTTAAATTAGCTCAGGTTAGACTATATAAAGGTGTGTTGGGTTAATCTAATAACAATCTTGAATAAAGACAATTTGTTAAAGTGGCTGCAGAAGGTAGGTTAGGTTAGGTTACATTAGGTTTGGTTAGATTAGCTTAGGTTACATTCAGTCAGCTTATGTTCGACTAGATTAGGTCAGGTTAGGTTTGATTAAATTTAAGTTAGGTTAGGTAAGGTTAAGTTAGGGTATTAAGATACTGAAATCCCTCAGAAATGCAAGAATTAAATTTATTTACTGAAGTACCAGTCGGAGGCAATACTTACATCACTGTAGGTGCCAGCGACATAGTTGAACTGGAGGAAATGAGCGTGTGTGGTGTTGACGTCGACGGTGGTGAGTGAACGAGTACCACGGCCACTGAACACTGCTGCTGTGCCCGTACCCACTACCCCACACCTGAAGCTGCTCCTTCCACCATTCATCTGTCCATAGGTACACACTTTAATAAACCATAAATCCATAAATTTATCATACATGCATATATAAAAAAGAACATTATGTAGAAAGAAGAAAATCCGAGAATACGTATACATTTACACATAGTAGCATACCTTTCAAGTGTTAGCATATGTGGTACCTTCAGTATACCAGCATGAATACACCCTAAGTATATCAGTATACAGAGGACACATGTATGTTTTGTTCTGTACCTTCAGGATGTTGGCACTGTTGATGATGGTGGTGGTGAAGGGTTCAGACACATAGACGGGATTGTCACGGTCTGGGTCCCCGCACTCTGCCCCACTGTACCCATACTCACACCTGTCAATATAAAGCTTTGATGGAGGTGAGTCTGGTTGGTGGGATGGATTAATTAGATAAAATAGATATAAAGATAGTTAGATAGTTATACAGGTAGATACACTAACAGATAGAAGGATAGATGGGTAAGTAGGCAGGTATCTAGGTAGAGAGAAATTTAATTTAGATTATAAAATTCTCAACACAATCCCTCCTGTCACATAAACATGAGGATATGGACACCAGAAACATCTAAGAGGTGGACATACTTGCAGTGTCCTGTAGGTTGGCAGAGGCCCCGCCCGTTACACCCCCGAGGACACCTGCCGATGTAAACATTGTCCAGTGCCCACCACTTGGGTCTCACAGACTCGTTGTCCTCCAGCTGACGCACCCGCAGACGAGTGTTGGGTGTGAGGGAGACGTAAGGTAGAGGCAGTGTCACCAGACCCCATCTACACCCAGGAGGGAGACCATGATAATGAGTGACTCAGTATTATTCCACAAATTATCACAATATGGTCCAGTATAGGTCAATGTCTGTACCCAGAGAAGAACAATGAAAGTGATTCACTCTTGAAGTAATTCTGGTTTATTCCACAACTTATACTTTAATAATTGTAGTAATCATTACAGAACAGCAACATGTGTTTTCATAACCCCTCTGCATCCAGGGGAAAGCCATGAAAGTGATCCAACTTAAAGTGATCCTGTTTTAGTCCATAACTGTAGTCCTCAGTACAAGTATAGTACAACACAAGGTGGCAATGTAATGTTTATTAACAAAACATAAGTAAAACCTGATGTGAGGTGCATAACTGAGGTCACCTCAATCATCCACCACCACCCTTTATCCATCTCAATTACACTATTTTGTTTTGGTATGAAAATGGACTGATGAGGAAAAAGAACGCGTCTGGTATTGACCTGTCGATTTGGTCTGGCATGAGGGCAGAGGTGAGGGCTGAGTGGGCTCCCTGGCAGGCTCCTGGGAGACAGCGGCGGTGGAGGGACGTCCAGGAGGTACCACCGTCAGAGCTGGTCTCCACGTCCACCTCACTCATGCCTCCACCACACTCCAGGTTCACTCGTGCCTGAGGTTATGATCCAAGGTTTTGGTTAATGTTGTATGGGAAGGACGATCATGCTGCTATAATAATAATATTGATAAGACTAGAAACTAAAGCTGTTGCTGCTTCTATTATTATTACTACTGCTGTTATTACTATTATTAGTGCTGCTGGTGTTACTGTTGCTGTTACTAATGTATCATCTGCTGTTACTTCTGCTGTTCCTGGTACCATTATTACAAATACCACAATCCCCATACTGTCACTTTTCACATTCACAAAACTAGTGGTTTCTCTTACCCTTGTATCTTTCAGTAAACAGGAGAGTACTGTACAGTGTGGTATAAGATAGAGTCACACCTGGAAGAAGTGTTGTGGGTCGGATGGCAGCCATGGCAGTAGCCGCAGGTAGTCCAGCACCCACACGTCAGAGTCATTCTTCCCCGTGCCTGTCTGCTCCACACAGAACCTGGAACAGATTAAGTATTAAGTAAATTACTGTACTGTTCATAGAGACAGTGTCATGCAGGTGGTACCCTTTACTGTACTAAATTACAAGTTTTGGTATAAAGTAATTACACAATAATTCCTATTTGGTGAAAACGTAATTATAAAAGTGGCAGCTATCTTTAGAGACTCAGATATATGAACAATGTACAGTACAGTACATATTTCAGCAGAGTTGGCTGATTTAAACCAATGATCTCACCGATAATGTTCAAAATCTCAATATATGTACTCCTGAACATGCTGATTAAAGATCTGTTGTATGCAGCTTGATATCTGTATAATTACTTCTCCAAATTACATCTAAAAAGTTTAACTGCTTTTCTAATGCCTATGGTTTTTCAAAGTTACTTCTTGGTGTTTGTGTGTTATTCTGGATGTGTCTTAAAGCTTGCTGTTCTTTCTGGTCTTATAGTATAAAATCATTAAAATATTGCCAGCAGTGAGCATGTGCAAGTTATAGTGCTAGGAATGCATGTCCTTCTGAGGTGCTGGTGTGTTCATGAGTCCTACACTTATAGGATTAAGTCCACTAATAAACTGTACTCTATAGTGTGCTTGTGAGTGTCTCAGTGCTTGGTTCTGGACAGCTGTAGTAGTCTATACTTCAGAGTGAGCTACCTGGTGTTATGAGAGGAGACTCACCTAGTGTGTTGTAGTTGAAGGTGTGGTGGGACAGGGAGGGTGTACTCCTGAAGACTCCAGGTGAGGACCTCTTCTCCCATGACAGCCTGGTTGTCACCTCGCTCACTGTACACCATCACACTCACCTGTCCGCTATGCTCGCTGTGACACTCCCCCAACTGTGCTGCCACGCTCACAATACCCACATGCCTGAAAAACAACCCCACGTTAATCTGAGATAAACAACTGTAATATATATGCATACCACACAAACCACAAGCTTATAGTCACATACATCCAATAAAGTACATTCACAGCCATAGCTACCAACATGTACACTTGTTCCAGTAAGTATCTTTATGGTGGTGAGCGATGAATTTCAAAATGAACACTGTGACTCCTGTTGTCTCAGTAAGGTTGTCAAAATCCTTCGTCCGTTGTGTCAAATTGTCTCACACAAAATCGTTAAAGACAATTTTTGGAGCGAGTGTACATATACTGTATACCTGTACAGTAGAAGAACATGAGTCCTTCACATGTATACATATGTATATCTAGAAACAGGTTTTTATAATCTAAATCATATGTATACTGTACTGATAAAAAGAAAATAGCATGAATGGATGAAGGTGAGTGAAAAGAGAGTCTGTCATTGATTTTGTTGCTGAGCACTCTGAAGCACAGCAGAAAAATGGCATAAAAAATGAGAAAAACTACAAAACAACACCTGTAAAAATAATTCTTCACTAACTTAATTCATGATTTTGCAATACGTATCTAAAGTACACAGAATGACCTGATAGATGACAAGAAAATGAAGCCAAAGAGTAGCGTGAATCTGTATCTGGCTACATGACCAACCTGGCATCAAGGTAGGGGGTACACAGCCTGCGGACGCCCTCACCAGAGAACACGAGTTTCTGATGACCTGCACAACTCTTCACCATCGCTGCCTTCACCTGCCACCTACGACGCCATAATATACAAAACGTTAAAATACGACATAATTCCCACTCATTAACCCCTTGTGCATGGGATCGCCTCTGAGCTGAATAAAATCATCTGGGGGCTGACTAAATAAAATATCAAAAGTGGCATCCTGTAATGAAGGGGTGACTATTCCCACAAAAAATTATCTTATCTTTATTTTCAAAGACTGGAATAGGTAAAACTTCAAGGTACTAACCCGCCAGGAGGTGAGTGCAGGAAGTGATGACCCAGGATGATGTCTTGGTCAGGTGGCGTGACTCGTAGGTCCAGGAGGCGAGTGGTGGTCCAGCTGTTGCCTCCACCACCCTCAAACACCAGGCTGTTCCCCTCTGACCCGCACCACTCCTGAAACAACACACCATTATATAGTACACAAAAAATCCTACACAACAACATATCAAAAACTATAGAACACAACAAATCCTAAACAATACTGCACAATATACAAGACACAGAAACCTATAACCTAACAAAACAAACTGTACACTCAGCTGGTAGGTTTAATGTTGCTACATTGTTGAGGACTTGATATTAAGTGATCAAGTTTTCAATAATCTCTCTCTCTCTTTATTAATCACTCCCTTACTATCATAACTGTTTTCTCTCTCTCTCTCTCTCTCTCTCTCTCTCTCTCTCTCTCTCTCCAGTGAAACATACCTTAACCTTTGCTCCAGGGAAGAACATCCAATTGGTTGGATCAACAGGATCAAAGTCGTCAATGACCGGGTGTTGTGAAGCATCGTTGGTGGTGAGGGCTACATTATCCAGGCCCCAGCATGTGTTGTTGAGGTCCCTGGGGTCACTGGGGACAGTTTGCCACCCCACACACACCCCTGGTCCACGGTACCTCTCTGGGACTGTATGGATGTGGACCTCACTGGATGACTCAGCTCTGGTCCACCAGGGATGATGATAATGTAAATATTGATGATAATATTAACAAATACTGTAATAAGAGAACTGCTATTGTCGATGAGGATAATAATTATAAAGTACTTCAATACTCACAAAAATAATAATAATAAAAATAATCAAACAAATACTGTAATAATAATAATAAAAAATATTAATCAAGAGAGCCACTAATGCTTTGAGATCTCTCTCCAAACACACACTACACCTCGTTATCACAGAGAGGAGTCAATCAAACCAATCTACGGTACCTGTATCACACACCTATAAGTATGGATCACTTCCCAGGATGTACACTCCTCACTCAATACATATTCGGCAGCAGCTGAGGCAGAGGTTTGATCAGACTGATAAGCTGATAATGGACTCCCCTCTTCCCCGCTCCCTTCACCTATACTGCTGTCTGCTTCCACTAGGTTGTAAGCACTGACGACAGGCCCGTGGGTGCGGTACTTCTGAGGTGAGGATTGTAGGAGCTGATCCTCTTGTAGGGCTCTACCGTAGACAAGCTGGATCTCAAGGCCCTCAGAGCAATCACCGCTGCCCAGAGCGAACTGAAGCTGTCGAGCTATAGGGGAGAATGTTAATGAGTGTGTTGTTGGAAGCATTCCTGATTGTGTTGGTCATAAATATTTTTTGATAGTTCTGACAGAAATCACTTTTGGTACTTGTTTGATGTGAATGTTGTATTGTGTCAAAATTTCAGGTTAAATATAAAAGTTCTGAGACTACAACTAAGAATAATGTATAACAACTACAATTTTAAATGGTCTAAATATTTTGAAGATAATTATTACCAAAAGCTGAAAATATTATGACAAAATCTAACAAGAACTACAAAACATCAAAATATAATCAGGGAATAATCTAAGCACTGTGAGACTTTCAACCAGGAAGCCGAAACGTTTTACAAGTCTTCGCAATCCAGGAAGTCCTTCACCGGTTTGCATGATAAATATTCTCTGTAACTGATGATGTAAGAATATAGTCACTCAAAATACTACCTATACAAAATTGTGTTAGAAAATATAACACAACAGATGAAGGATTTTGACAACTCTACCGAGACAACATGAGTCGCAGTGTTTCTTCTGAAATTTATTGATCACCCCAAGTACAGAGTTTTTTTATTAATTATACATAACTGTTTGACTTGAGCTAAATAAAAAAAATAATGAGCAAAAGCAACATAAAAATCACACCAAAACTCTACCTTAATAAGAAACATTTCCTTACCACTCAGACAGACTTAAGATAGAGAATCATCTGATAATACTCTGCTTGTTAGTTTTGTCTCCCAGCTGGTGTTGCATAAATGAAGATAAAAAGTCAAAACCAATAATGTTGTCAAAATCAGGTGTTTGCCAAAATTCCCCTGCCAGTATTATGTTTCTGTTTATAGCACATAGATTACGGTACACTCTTTCCACCAACGTGACTGGACTGCAGGTCAACTGTTGGTCATGAGGTATATTCACCACACGAGCCTTTAAGTCTTCAGAGCCAAGTCAAAGATTAAAATACTGTAAAACAATCTATCGGAAATTGTAAGTATGAAACTTTACAGTATATTAGTGTTTCATATTTTGTGACCTTGACCTCGAAAGCAGATTTTTACTTTAATCCAAAGCGTTAAATTGGTCATTGTTGTTAATTACAATCAGAACCATTCTGGTCTGTATGAGGGTTGAAGGTCAGAGAGAGAGAGAGAGAGAGAGAGAGAGAAGGGTACTGACCGTGAGAAAGATCCATGGGGAAGGTGTGGACCTGAGCTTGGGGTTGGGTGAAGGAGAGGGCTGCCCCGTGGATGATCTTACCTACACCTCGCCCCACACTCCCTCCTTGTACCTTACTCCTGTCAGGGCAATGACACAGTGATCACCAAACATAAATCAACTATACATGTGACAGCTGCACCACACATAATCCATAATGTGTTCAAAAGAATATATATTACTCTACTATATATAAAACATGTACAGTATAAAATAAGTACATATAACTATACATCCACAAAGATCTATTAAATTTCAATGTGATGAATGACAATAATGAAATAGGTCCAGGTAAGTTGCTGGTTGGAGTAAGGAGGAAACACTAAGAAGTGAACTCATCCTTGAGGTTAGGTTATTGTACCAAATATCAAGACTGAGAGAACATTTTACACATCACCTAAAGATTGGGCACCTTAGGTTACTTCACTTGAAAATTATCCACACTAGCTTATTTCACCTACAGATTAACTACCCAAATGCTAATCTAACCTCACTTTCTTGGGTAGTAATAAGGTTGTTTAATAAACTGAGGGGGGTTAATCTTCATGTGATCCAATACTTTTTATTTTTTCCTATCTTGTTCAATTCAATGAGTGACCTCTTGACCTACGACTCAATTAATGACCTCTTGACCTACCAGATGTTTTGGTCAAGTTGGTGGTCTTCAAAGTCATCCCTGAAGATATACCCATGTTGGTTGACCCCCGTGAACCTTGACCTCTGTTGCTGCAGCTGATCTGGAGACTCATCTGTAATCAGGTCAAGTGAGGTCAAGTTCTTCCTTAACATCACCTTACTAGTGTTTAATACAGCTTCAACCTCGATTATTGACCTTTAACACACACACACACCTGAAGGACCACCACTGACCTTTCTCACACACCTCCAAGACGCTCAGATCCTTAAACAGGATCTGGTTCCTTAACGACCCTTGTGCACTGAGGAAATACAAATGGACCAAGTCAATTAGCAATTATAATTTATCCATTATTATATTAATTATTTATCCATTAGAATGATAAATTAGTGTATATGGTATCACTATATTTTGTTATCTTCAATTATATATTACTACAGTATCATCATCAATTATCTTGTTTCTATCTTCAATATCTTGTAGAATCAATAATGAATTAAAACCAGCAATTAATTAGTCTCCCCAATGAGTATTATCAACTCTCAATTATCATCATGAAATATCAATTAGTATCATAGATTATAAATTATCATCGTTGATCATTTATCTATTATCAATTAGTATCATCAATTAGGATTATTAAGTATCAATTATAAGGTCGTGTATCATCAATTACTAATTAAATCGTTAAATCTTATGTAATTTGTTTTGTTAAGATCACTGACCATCTAGCTGCTGAATTAACTGACAAGAACAGGTGGCATCACAGAAAAGCTGACTAAAAAACTTAGCTGATAGATTAGGTTGTGTAAGTAGCTGGACTCACAAGAAACTAACTGGAAAAACTAAGCTGACATCACAAAGGTGTAACAATAGCTGGACTCGCAATAAGCTAATTAGAAACAAAACAAAAAACTTAGCTGACAGTTCAAGAGTGTGTCAGTTAGCTGGACTCACAGGAAGGAAACACAGCCGGTGCCAGAGGGCGGGGCCATCCAGAGGAAGGAGAGCGTTGTACGAGGCTTGGCGGAGATGTGCGAGTGTAGCACCGAGCACACCAGGCCCTCTGTCGCACCTCCCTGTATGTGCGACAGGATGGTTAGTTAGTCGACTCTAAATTCTAGGAACTAATAATAAACACTAATGAAGATACACAAAGAAATACACACACACACACACACACACGCACGCACACACAATCTGTTTATGAGCACACACAGTCCCCAACACCACTATTCACACATGCATCCTCCCACACTTTATGCACACACACACACACACACACACACACCCCTCAATCCTTTAATAGAGAAAAACAAATCGCCTCACTTACATGGATGGAGGCGGGCAGAGTGAGGTAGTTGGCTTGAGTTAGTTGTTTGGTGAGGGCATGAACTCCTGTTATGAGGAACCCATCGAACAACACATTGGCCATCACCAGCACTGTCGACACAACACACACACTTATATATATATTTGTTTACAGTGTTAGGCTGCATAGTACAGATTCAAAAAGGTCCGTAAGATGAATACTCTCATTAAACATAGTGTTTGGTTAGCTTAAAGTTAGGTTAAGTTACAGTTATATTAGGTTAGGGTTAAATTAGGTTAGCATTATGTTCGGTTAGAGTGAGTTTTGGTATGATGTGAGGTTTGGTTAACATTAGGGTGGTTAACCTTGAGATGAAATACGCTGTGGGGGATAATCTTCACGCGATAAGCGGTGACGTAAGGGAACAAGGACTGACCTTCATACACAGCGAGGGGTTGGTAGCCGTTGTCAGGAGTTTTCTTGCCGGTGAACTGGACCTTGAGGGTGACATCTTGGTGGTTGGCGGCCGAGGGCTCCCCGGCTCTTGGGTACTGACACATGAAAAAGAATGGTGATGACACTGGCCCAAAAGATGTGCTTGGTTGACCCTCTGCTTTCTGACCCACTTGTCTGTCTGTTGGCACTACCTCCACTTCCTTCACGTCTGTCCTGCTACTGTCACTGTTTCTGCTGTTGTCGCTGTGACTGCCACCACTGTTGTCGCTGTCACTGCCACCGCTGTCACTTTTACTAATGTCATTGTGAACTGATTCGCCAACGTCGTCCACACCAGGAGACTGTTTAACACCGCTG